CCCCGCCACTTTTCCTCTACACTTAAAATAATATTCTGCACAGATGTTCCGAGCAGACAAGATATTTGAAATGAACCATAGATTTTAACGGTCGAAATGTTCGATTTTAACAAATTTGTCTTATACCTTTTTGCCCAATTATTTTTTTAAAAAACAAGTTCTTTAAATTAAATATAATTTTTATAAATTCATTAAATTCTTTACACTTTTCGCATGTTCGACCGTCACCTTATGCTTTTGACTTTTTGTTAAAAAAAACATGCTACTGGTATACGATGTTATTTTTTTAATAGTTATAATATTAGTAAATAAAGCACTTCCTATTTGTTTGTTTATTTCCGAACGATTAATCACGTTTGTCTTTGATTTATGTAGTTTTTTAATCTATGTAATGCTGCTTTTTCCCGCGCTAAACAGCTTATTGAATTTTAGTTTTTAGTAGTGTTTCACATAATTTGGTTTTGTAACGAAGTAAAATAAAATAAATTATTCTAGTGGTATGAATACGTACCTTATTGAAATGTGATACAGAAATAGGCATAGATTTAAAAAATGTGTATACCAAGAAAGTGTATTTTAAAATAAAATTATTTTTATTACATTTATTCATAAGTACCAATTATATTTAATTAACACTTTTTTTATCGCATTAAAATATCTAAAAAGTAAGGTTAGGTTAGAAAACATTTCAGTATCTAAATACGTGATTTTTTTGTCTAAAAATCGCTTTGTATTAAAATTTTGTAGTTATTTTCGTAGTTAAGCACTTTTAATTTGTAATATGTTATAAGAGCACTGTTAATTTAATTTTGAGTAAAATAAATCTTTTTTAAGTTTGTTCTAGCGTTTCATTTTTATTTTTTTGCACCAATTTATTAGATTGAACGCATGAAATACGAACGAGGTAAGTTTTTATTTTATTACAATTAACCACTGTCTTAAAGTAAATCTTGATTTGCTAGAGTTTGTAGATTAAATTGCTGAATGGATCTCTATGGAAATTGGCATAGATGTAGAGGATAGTTTGGAAGAACACATCGACTTTTAGTTCTCCTAATTACACTTGAAGAGTTACAGACGTAAAGCTAATTTTAAATAAAACACAACTATATTTTAGTTATCCATAAAACCATTTAGCGCAAACAGCGCCATTGAGGAATTTCAACGGCCCTTTTTAGACCATACCTGAAGGGATCAGCGTTAGACTGAAAATCACATGTGTGCCGCCATTTTTTGTCTATCGCCCTGGGCCGCGCTCTACAAACGTCATTACTGATGATTGTTTTAATAAGGGTGGATAAGTTTAAGGCATGTTTCTGGTCATCCGTCAAGAAATTATCGTATTAACTGGTTGGTAATGCCGGTAAGGGGTTGATACAGATGCAGAGCAGCCTCGCGCAGGGCATGTTCCTGGCGGGTGGTCGGGGGGCGTACGCGGGCGCGGCGCTGCAGGGACCTCTTGCGTATCTGGAGAAGACCGCTACCAATATAGGTATTTTAGGATCTATCATCGACCTTACTTCCGGTGTATTAAACATGGGTATTGTAGAAAAAGTAATAGATACGGTTGTTGTATTGACTTTTATTATAATGCGTGGTTCACACTTGGCCAGTACAGTTGGTCGTAGCGCTCTGATTGCACCGTCAGTGCAGAGAGTGAACGCTAACAGACGCCAATGAGCGTCGCTTGACGTTGCAACTGTCCAACTGTACTGGCCAAGTGTGAACCGGACATAAAAGTCATTGGAGAAAAGTTTGCATTTCCGACAAGTATAGTTACAACATCTCTTGCTTAACTACCGCACAAGTGTTTAGTCGTGTTTTGATTCCAATCAGTTTATATGGAGGTGTACACTACTCGATGTTTAGTTGTGCAACTAAACAGTTGCTTCGAAACAATCGACAATCACACAACAGTTGTGAGATAGTTTAGAAGGGGTAAAGTTTAAATTATTAGAGAATTCACGTCATATATGATGATCGCTTTTCTTGTTTGCTTTTGTTCTATTCAATGAATGATGCATTTGGTTTTGTACGTTTACAGACATGGTGGGTTTGGGCGACGGGCGAAGGTGACGCGGCCGCGGGCGGGGCAGGGGCCGCGGTCGGGGCAGAGGCCGAGGTATGAATAGATTTCGATTAATTTTATATAAAATTGCTCTTGGTCTTGGCCTTGGTCTAAAAAATACCCTTTAAGTTAAATAAAACACTAGAAATAAAGTCACATTTTATTAAGATACAATGTGGTTACAATATGAACGTTTTAAAATATAGTTTTTTGTTCAAAGGTCGTGGCGCGTCCCCTGAGTACGGGGGCAGCATGACGCCCCCATAGCGGCAACCTCTCCCGGCGACAGCGCGCGCGTCATACGACCCCTCAGACCAGCTGGACTACTCGCAGTATTTTCTAGAATTAGACCAGAGTCTGCAGTACCAAAGGGCACATAGTACTGACCCATGCGAGTGCGATCTAGGAATAGCCAGTACTAGTACAAGTACTGGAACGCACGGCTGCTCGTCACAGTGGAGATAAAATTGCAACCAGAGACAATTGTGTAGTTTTTAAATTTTAATCTTTATCCAGTTTGTGGTTCGGTGTTTATGTGTAGTGTTGACAGATTTGTAGTGTTTTGACAGCTGTCAAATAACATTAAAATCATTATTGTAAGGAAATTTCTACCTTTTATGTAAAGTTATGAGGCTATTTTAAAATGATGGAAATTTTATATTCGTACTATTTTACTATTCGATATTATAATTTTAAAAAGCATGTAAAAATTACCACACGTATAGATTGTAAATTCAGGTCACAACCCGACACCGCGAAGCTTCGCCTCAACATTTCTGATTGAGCGGAATAAAGATATGAAGTTACACTGACTTCTATAAAAAGATAGGCTATAAACTGTGGCCTATCTATTTTTCTTTATCCTACACAATCAGCGACGTAGAGTTGCGATCGCGAGTTGGGGCGAGAATGGCGTACGTTCACACTTGGCCAGTACAGTTGGAAAATAGCGCTCAGTAACTCACTGGCATAGTGTGAATACTAACTTAGCTTAGCTTTTTTGGACAGTTCAGCTGTTCCACCGCGACTGGCGTAGTGTCAGTTAAATAATTATTAATGAATAGGAAAGAACTAAACTTATAATTTAGGAATTTAACTTTCATATTTGACGTAAGCATACGCACCATTAAATAATTACGTAGTTGCAAATTAAAAATGGCTTTATTTGCTATTGAATATATTCCGATTTCTAGTCATAAATAGTAATTTTTCTAATAAAAAATTTCTAACGTAATACTTATATTGAATGTAGCATTTTATTCTATACATTTTCAGCACGAATTTCACTACTTTTAAATTATAACCTATACTAAAAATTATGCAGTTTTTACATTCGAATTGAAAATACTAGGTTATTAAACAAAACTGTGTAATCCTTATCAATTGTTAGCGTTTGTAGTATTCATTGTAGAAAGTTTAAAATAAATTAAAACATAGCTTTATGGAGTTTTATTACCGACCTTACTTTGAACTAATTTTCTTATTTGCTAAAACCAAGGGATTTTAATACATAACGTGCGGGGAATATTTGCGCTGAAATACATGTTATATATATATTATATGTTATATCGTAAAATATTTAGAAATAAAACTATTTTTAACGTAGACATGTGTATTGGTAAAATATGTACAGAAAAAGTCTAGAAAAAAGTGATGACGTCGACAACGTGTTCTAATTTTAAATAATTTAATTTCTTCTTTTCTAATGGCTTGACTCTAAAAACGTGTAAAAACTCCTTGAACATCGGGTTTTGTTTTAATAAATCGCGGGGATATTTCGTTTACCGGATATATCGCAGTGAATCGAAAACGACTATATTATTTACAAAGAATGTTTTAAATACGTATTTTATTAAAGCTTTTGGGGTTAACAGGTTTTTGTCAAACTGTAATTCGTAGACCTGTGGTGTCATTCGTTTCGCCCAACAACACTGGAACTGCCTAAGTCATGGGCTGGCAATGTCAATAAATATAGACGTCTACTTAAAAAAGTTTCAACCATTAAAAAGAAATTAATTGAAAATTGAATTAAAGGGTTCATGAATAAAACACATAATGCCAAGCGCACAACAATTTAATAATCAATAAAATAAAATAGGCGAATACACAATTATTCTTACATATCTAAATTATCGATTTCCATAAAAATAAACAACACAGATTAACTATCACACACAGATTATTTACGACGTCTATGGTTTTTGAAACGCGTTCAAAAATAAAATGCAATCAGTGCTACCAATATTAAACTTTAAAAATTACATTTAACGGTTGGTAGTTCTGAAATATTACGTTCTTTTATTATAACGTGGATTCTTTTCAATAAAAAACACATACAAACTAAACATATACATACATTATATTGACAAAAAGTATCATTTCATAGGAAATCTGATATTTACTGTATAATTAAGTCGTATTCCTTAACTGGGTCTTTAATATTTGTGACTTTATTATGAAAAAGGAAAAAAAAACTATAATTTATTGTCTTTGTACATTGTAAAAGATTAACACTAATCAGCTCATTACAATAGGCCGATTTATCACTAGTTATTATTAAAAAACAAAGTGTCTATGGTTTTCAAAAATGAGATTCCAATTTCAAACATCGTAATAAAAAATCACTATTTAAGGACTAGTATCGTTTTAAGTACGTATAAATTATATACCTAACTAAATTTACAAGTACTTTCGTTTGAGAATGAAACATATTAAAGCATTGTTTATGGTTTAAGTTAAATTGTAAAAGCACCTATAGTTTGTCTAAATAAGATAGATTAGTTTGATAAATGACGCATATGAAGTATCGAATTATTGTATGAAGTCAAATGCCGTACTTAGACAGGTATCGTAGTGACGAACAAACACGCAGCGAACAATTTGGAACTATCGATATTCGGTTTAAACAAAATTTATCGAACTGAAGTAAAATTATTATTTAATTATTAACTAATTTAGAGGACATTTCTAGTATTGATTATAATGTAGAGAATTTAGCGATAAGAGAAATAATAGCGAAATCCAATTCGATTACGTACGGCTATAGTAGTAATATATTTATTTGAGTAAACCATTACAAATAATGAGAGTTCATTATTTGTAATGGTTCAGCAGGTCATTATTAATTTAAGAAAGCGGTGTTTTTTTAATTCAGTCATAACTATGAATCTATCGATTCCAACTTCTATAAGAATAAAAATCGAAAATCGACAAGATTCATGATTTTACACAACCCATCCCTACTAAATTGTCAAATTCATTGTCAAACTAATCTATCTTATTTAGACGAACTAAAAATATAACGCACAAAGAATATCCATCTATAGATATACAAACTATAGTTAGTGTGTCATACAAAACGTTCAGTTTGCATTTTACAAGTCTACTAAGAAAATTACCCCAAAAAACCCCCGGAGACCTTTTCGCCCCACTTTTGTGCTCCAGATTTGATATAGTTTATATATCTATGGATACAAATTGTAACATAGCAAAGCAAGACACAATTCTTGGTACAAACCAGTATGACAGTTGTAAACTGGCATCGATTGTTTTCAACTACAGTTAGGGTTTACAGCATGCCAGTTGTATTCCCGCGCTGAAATTAAACGCTACTATCCAACTGGCTAAACCAAGCATAAAACACAATTAACTATGTAGATTAAATTATAAGATATTTAAAATATTAAACATAAAAAAATGGCGGGAAATATATAAATAGCGGGAAAAAAAATATTTGAAAATTTAAAACATATTAAAATAAATAATTTGAAGAAATTACGAATTCATCAGTTTCATAAACAATAAAATTATAATTAAAAATGGCAAGATTTTTTTAATGAACAATTCATTTTTAAATTTAATTAAAAGAATTTAAATAAATAAAAATAAAGCTAAGCTACATTTATTGTTATTTTATTTAAATATTCATATAAATTACGAAATTCAACAACAGAAACTTTTTTTAAATTAAATATCAGAATACAACCTTACTTTTAACGGTTTTAACCGATTTAGTAGATTTCTCATAGATTCTCCACTAAGGGGACTCTTTAGGGACCTATAAAGTTGTTATTAAGATAGAAATTGTATAAAATATTGACCGTTATATACAAATATTTAACCTATAGTGCAGGCTACACCTAAATAACAGTGCGTCTCTTTCTAACCCCTTGAGAGTGAAAGAGACAAACGTATTAAGTACGTATATGAGATGGGAATGACATTTAGTGCTGCCAACGAAATGAATGAATGAAACGATTTTATATATGATGTTATATTTAGTTTTTTTTTTTAATATTTAATTATAGAATAAATATATAGGTTATAGCAATATTGGTTATATACGAAAGTAGTAATTTTTTTTAAAATCGTTAAACATAGATTATAAATTTTTTTAAAAGCATTTTTTCATTATTTTTCCTTGATAATTAAAAAAAAAGTTACATGTGGTATAAATTGAAGGTATTAGAAATAGTAAACTAATTATTATTTGCCCATAAATTTAAAATAAATTTAATATATAAATACATTATTTGGAACTATAGATACATAATATTTATAGTTTGTCTAAACAAGATAGATTAGTTTGATAAATGACGCATATGAAGTATCGAATTCAATTTGTATGAAGGGAAATGCCATACTTAATAGACAGGTATCGTAGTGACGAAACAAACACGCAGCGAACAATTATGAACTATCGATATTCGGTTTAAATAATTATCGAACTCGACTAAAATTATTACTTTCTTATTTACTAATTTATAGGACAATTCTAGTATTGATTATAGTGTAGAGAATTTAGCGATGACAGAAATAATAACGAAATCCAATTCGATTACGTACGGCTGTAGTAGTAATAAACATTTATTTACTCTCATTATTTGTTATGGTCATTATTAATTTGAGAAAACAGTGTTTTTTTATTTCATAAGTTATGACTATAAGCCTATCGATTCCAACTTCTATAAGAATAAAAATCGAAAATCGATAAGATTCATGATTTTACACAACCCATCCCTACTAAATTTGAAATGAATTGTCAAACTAATCTAAATTATTTAGACACACTATAGTGTTCTAAAGTTTGAGGTAAAAGTACATATTACAAGCCATTTTGCATTATAAGTAACTAAGGGCCGTCCCACCAAATTGTACAGTGTCTGATAACAATCTGTCGGGTTAAAATTTGCAATGGCGGATTGTTCCCTTATACAGTGACGTCATTTCAAGCTATCTGAGGTTCTATAAGCCAGTGGGACAGGCCCTAAAGAAATTTACTCTAATAAATGGCGTCAGACTTTTTACCTTTTTGATAGATACCTATATTTATAGAATTAATATTTCAATAATACTGTAAGCTTCATCATCATCATCATGTCCCCAGTGAGGGGCTCGGAGCCTACCCTAAGGGTGACTAGGCCATAGTCAACACTGCACTGTGTTGACTTCACACATATCTTTGAATTTCTTCGCCGATTGCATCATGTTTCCTTCACAATAAGAACATCGGGTAAATTATGTACATATGAAAAATCGAAAATCATTAGTACGGCGGGATTCGAACTCAAGACCTGTAGATTACAAGTCAAGTGCTTAAACCACTGAGCCACCGACGCTCTTACTCTACCACTGAAAGTAAGCTTTACTGTAAGCTTATTTTCCTGTACCTTTCATTCGATACACGTATGCAAAATATCGGATTTTGTTACCTTATACCAGTAACGTCATAAGCTATCTGAGCCTCTATCAGCAAGTGGTGGGAGCCCTTGGTGTAATTTTTCAGAAACCTTTACTATGAAAGGCTTAACCACCATTAAAGTCGAATTCAATTGAAATAATTATGACGGAATTTACATAATAAATAAATCCATAGATAATAAATGATTATTTTTCTAGTGTATATATCTTTTCTTTTAAATTCGATAATGAGTACAGTTAGGAGATTTGGCGGTGTTAACAGTTACAATAGTTTGAACATTTTGAAACGAGACGGTACAAAAAATCAATTCAACGGACTTGCATAGTACACATTTGTACAATTGGGAAATCTGGCGGTGTTTCTTATTACCAACAATGGTTTAATTTTGAAACGAGACGGAACAAAAATCAATACAAGGCTTATATATGTATACCAAAAAAGTCCTTTAGTGAGACACATTTTTTTTATTATTATCCCTTCGTTTACACTCACTAATCTAATTAGATGAGAGTTTGTCTCGTAAAAAAGGGTAATTTTTTCTAAAACGAACACCGCGAAATTCCGTGATTGTACATTTTTATTACCAAATTTTTTTCGTGTATACGGTAATATTAAGTGGCAACACTGATCTTATTTGAGTAGTTTTTCTTGTTCGTCGGCCTTATCTCCACTCTTGTCTGGTGATGCGCGGGCAAATGATGACCTGGTTAGAGGGGACGCGGACACTGGCATCGGGTTTGGTGATACCTGGGGGTGACAAGATTCATATTTGTCTTGTTTTAGGGGTGGCCAAGGGTTATAAAGAAAAATGTACAAAAGCTTTGATTACAGTTGTATGGCCTTCAAATGAAAAATCTACGATTCTTGTTCTGTTCATAACATTATACATTATACTTACTTCATACCGCGTTTAGTGGCGTCCATAAATTACGTGAGGTGTTTAAGGGGGGAGGGGGTTGAGTCAAATCTCATTTAATCTTACGTCGGAGAGAGGGGGGTCTCGGCAAATATCACGCAATTTTTTTCTGATTAAAACAAAAAAAAAATATAATATTTTGGTCGATTTAATTCAGATTGTACATTTTGAAAAATCTCACGCGAGTGGGGATGGGGGAGGGGGTTGAATAAAATCTCGCGACATCTCACCTTAGAGGCAGAAATTAAAAAAAAACACCTTACGTAATTTGTGGAAGCCGCCTTATTATTTGACAGCGGTTGCACGCCTTTGACTAATCTATCGCACAACTGTTGTCCGATTGTCGATTGTTTCGTAGCCTTCAACTGTTTAGTTGCACAACTAAAAATCTACTAACCTCCATATAAGCTGATAGGAATCAAAGCGAGATAACAGTTGTGCGATAGTTTAGTCAACGGTGTGTATAGATATGATTGACATTGAAATGGTATGACTGTTCTTAATTTCAGTCGTTTTTTTTTTACTTAACATCCGGAGGCCTAATTTTAGTCTCTTTCCCTTTTCACCCTTTTCTTAAGAGGAAAGGATGAGAAGAGAAAGTGGATTTGACTGTGGAGGAGACGCATAAGAAGGGGAAATGTCCTCTTTATGTGCGTCTCGCACACTCTTCTCGGTCGCTTTCCATTTCCGGTGGATTCAGGTGGCCGCTTGCTCGTTTGCCACCTTATATTATAAAAAAATATGTATTGTATAAGAGTTCTTACAGTGTAAGCCTACATTAATATTTACCTGACGGGAAGGTGTCTTGTGTTCACCGCTGATACTGATGTCTTCATCAACGGATTGCAGGAGCTGAAAAATAAACATTATTCCAATGTAATAAAGTTCAAAATCATTTGTTAAACAATAGTCGAAGATACTACCCACCACAATTGAAACATTAAGGGCCTGTCCCACTGGCTGATAGAGGCTCAGATAGCTTAAATGACGTCACTGTCAGATAAGATAACAAACTCCGATATATCCATAACTTTTTTTACACGTTGCATTGTTATCTGACAGTTTACAATTTAGTAGGACAGGCCCTTAGGTTTAGAAAATGTATAGCAATATACTTAAATACTAAATTACTTTCTGTTTTGACGCTAGACTAGTAATTGTTTGTTAGGATTACTTGATATATACTGAAAAAATAAAATAACAACCTACTAAATAAGGTAGAACCTCGATAATTCAAACCTCGGTAACTTAAAAACCTCTATAACTTAAAAAAATAATATGTTCCCTTTCCATTAGAGCCCAAAACCTCTACAACATGGTAGTGCCCGCTTTAACATGTTAGCACTGCAGGGCACGCCCCCAGTAATACCACGACCACACAGAACACAGGCGTCAAATGGAAGCAATTCCTTGTTTCGTCTGATAAGTGTGGTGCCGGAGGCCTAATTTAAATCCCTTACTCTTTACCACCATTTTCTTATAAGAAGAGGTTAGGAAGAGGAAGTGGATTTGACGGTGGGGGAGATGCATAGGAAGGGGAAATATTCTCTTTATGTGCGTCTCCTCCGTCCTACAAGGGTAGGCAACGCATCTGCAATTGCGGATGTCTATGGGCAGCGGTCGCTTCGCCATTTTGGCGGTTTCAGGTGGCCGCTTGTTCGTTTGCCACCTTATGTTATAAATAAAAACATAGACCCTTGATAATTTAAAACCTCTATAACTTAAAATATTTTGGGTTTCCCTTGGACTTTAACTTATCGAGGTTCTAATGTAATTAAACAATATCTACGAAAATTGAATTAGCTCACGTTCAAGTTAAATCCTTTTTCTCTAAAATGCGTATAATTTTTGACAGCTGCGTCAAAACTAATTGTTCATTCTCCCGCCTTCTGTCATCTCTATCGTCTATCTTGTCTATATCATTCCGATTAGAATCGATTTTAATCGACGTCAAATCGATATTATTCGTTTTAATTATCGCTTCTTCAGTATCGATTGAATTGATTTTTTTCAGTTGTGAATCGGCTATCGATTTTGTCGATTGGCATCCGGTATCGATATCGGGAATCGATTTACTATCGATATTATCACTGCTCGATGATAGATTATGTATTATTAGTAGTGACGAATCTGTACGGAACGTGGTTCGTTTCTTTTTACAACTTTGGTTTGAGTCTGGGAACAGTTATATTTCCTGTGACTTCGAGATATACAATGAATATAAAATTTTACGATTCTTTTAAAATAATCTAACTAACATTATAAATGCGAAAGTTTAGATGGATATTAGAGTTTGTAATCTAAACGATCTGGATGAAATTTGGCAGTGACTTAGAGGATAGTCTGGAAGAACAAATAGGCTACTCATTTTTTTTAATTCCACACGGGCGAGGTCGCGGGCGAAAGCTAGTTAATTATTAACGAACAATTAAATACGAATTGGTATATATTACTTGTAAATATCAACGAAAATTATAGAAATTACTAACTGATTTACAGCCTAATCAAGTGGGCACTTCAAATGTTTTCTTTTCAAGTGTTCATATTCCCGATCAGACTATAAGTGCAATCTTACTAATATTATAAATGCGAAAATTTAGATGGATGGATGTTTGTTAGAGTTTGTACCCTAACCAGCTGAACGGATACGGCTGAAATTTTCCATACATGTAGAGCAGACTGTAAGAACACATACTTCTTAATACTACGCGGTCGGAGTCGCGGGCGAAAGCTAGTTCTAAATACATCTTTAATACCATTAAAATATCTTACAATTTTCACCAGTAACCGGTTTTATCCAGAAATTATTTTTCAAACACTCCGCACAGTTATTCGCGTCCAAATTGTTCGCCAAATCGTTGGACGAGCTGGTGACGTCATCGCGCGTATCCAAGAAATCCGCTACGGATTTAGTTAAAGTCCGCCAACATTCGGTTCTAGTGCTCGTGTTGGCCAACGATTGGGTTGTAAAGTTCGGCCAACGTTCCGATTGGTTCAAATGTTGGTTGGAACGGTTGTACGGTTTGTCGTTTACGTTGTCCAAGGAGACATATTTAGATTTAGGTATTTGCATTAATTCTATCGTATTCTTTGGATTCGACTGTAAATATATATAATTTAAATATATTGTCTCTTTCGTGTCTATGATTTATATGTCAACATCAAATATGACAGCTGTCAATACCGTAGCTGTCATATATTTTTAGTTTTTTACTGCACTGAATCTGTTTTGTCATTATTATTAAGGGACTACTTACGTTTTTTTTTAATTAAACGCGAACGGAGTCGCGGCCGTAAGCCAGTAAATCTATAATATAAACACTATGGAATACAACTACTAAAGTTTAGATGGATGGATGTTAGAGTTTGTAGCCTAAACGGCTGAACGGATTTGGATGAAATTTAGTATAGAAGTAGAGGATAGTCTGGAAGAACACATAGGCTACTCACTGGTTTTTTTAATTACACGCGAACGAAGTCGCGGGCGAAAGCTAGTATCTAATAATAATAAAAATCAAACAAAAATCGACCTTATTACTATTGAAATTAGTTCCAATATCTTTAAACATTTCAAGGCTACGAGAGCGCAGCAAGCGGCCTGTATGTATGGATGGGTTACCATTCCACGTTGCCTAAGAGATAAGGAATGTTTAACGATTAATATTAATTTAAGTGACACACTTAGTATGGTCACTAACCATCGAATTTTGTCTAATTTTACGAATATTTGTAAAATTTGATAAAACCCTTATGACGTTAGTAAAGCGATCGGACAGAAGGTATCGACTTATACTAATCTATACTATTATAATAAAGCGTAAACACACACTTCTTTGTTCCCTAAGATGTCAGCAATTACACCATATTTTTGAATAATTGTTTTTTCAATAAACAGCCCTACACTTACATCACGCTTTAGGCTTTATATTTTACGCGATTAAACTTAGGGAGTTAATATTTTGGATAAAAACCCTAATGTGGGAAAGAGACCATAAGTTGCTGCCAACATCAAGGAAGCAAGATTGCCAAAGATTGTCATGTCATGTCATTTTGACATTTGCTATTGACAATTTGACAAATGTAAACTATAAAATGAAATTTTCAGGATTTCATGCGGATGAAGCCGCACGGGAACAACTAGTCTATGTATAAATGTCTCATATGCGGTTACCATGGCAACCTTGCTTCCTTGATGTCTCCTAGTAGTTTTGTCCCTTTCTCGCTTACAGTTTTTACCAAATTATTTACCCCCTAAGTTTAATAACGTGAAAATATATAGCCTAAAGCGTGATGTAAGTGTAGGGCTTTTTATTAAAGAAAGAATTATTCAAAAATATGGTGTAATTGCTGACATCTTAGGGAACAAAGAAGTGTGTGTTTACGCTTTATTATAATAGTATAGAAGTATAGATTGGCTTTATAACCTATAGTACTATAGTAGGGTTACCCTTAATGACTATTGTGTGCTCACCTTATCGACTTCAGTATCGAATTGTTCATTAGTTGCACCCTTAGACAGCGCCCCTTTCTCCATAAGGGTAGCTCGCTTCGCCGCTAAGTATAGAGAACTGAAAATATATAAAAAAATAATTATTTTATTGATAATCTATATTAATATCATGAAAAGGAAAGATTTGTATTTCTGTATGTATTGAAATATTTCAAAAATACTGGGCTAATTAAAAAAAACTTTCACCAATGAAAAGCTACGTAATAATTTAGTAACATTTTATTTTTAGTATTGTTTAATTCCACGCAGACGAAGTCGGAAGGAACAGCTAGTATATTGATATATGTCCCATTAAAGTCCTTCAGGGGGTCGTGATCTAAAGATTTTTTTAAATACTGCATCTTACATACCTAATCACCCCCAAGGGGGTTGCGACTCTTTGAAGTTTTTTTTAATTACTGTGTATTGGCCTATTGTAGTCTTTACCACCCCCAAGGAGGTCGGAGATCACATTTTTATTAGAGGTTTCAAGACCGCGTGAAGTATTTTCAAATATGTAGGGGGTCTCAACTCATAGTTTGTCTCTAATTTCATTTCGCACTAGATTTATATACTAAGTGCACTAAGGGGTCTTAGAGACCCCTCGGAGACACAGTTTCAGATATTAATGTATTTCTGCAGTTTAAAATAATTTTCATACTAAGACCCCCTAGGGGGTCCCAATCCATAGTAAATTTAATACCTACCGTTTAACAGTAAGGTAGTAGAGTTCAGTGATTGCACGAACGGAGTAATCTGGTACAAAAGTGTGACGCAGCATGGAGTCCATATTAATGTTCTGTAGGGACCCCATAGCTGAGGGTGTTGGGGATTCCGCTGAAATACAAAGAGATTTTTATTTATCTAGACTTAGAGGTACGTTAGTTATGAGTGTACATGGATAGAGGTAGACATAGAAAGAGATGGATTGTATGAAAGGTGACATGAAGGAAGTGACAGATGACAGATGACAGAGTTATTTGGATGACAAAAACCCAGTATGTCACTATGGTAGTAAGATAAGGTAGGGAAATACTAATTTGTAGCACTCAGAGTAATTTAATTGAGATTAAACATGAAACTTGCACTTTTTTATTATTTAGATTTGTCAAATTCTCAATTGCAAATGTTACCATAATAACATTCTTTTTTTAATGTTGGCAGCGTGTAGTTTATGGTTCCTTTCCCACATTAAGGTTTTTTCTAATATATATAGCCTAAGTTTAACAATGTGAAAATATATAGCCTAAAGCTTGTCGTTAGTGTAGGGATTTTTATTAAAGAAAGAATTGTTCAAAAATATACTGTGATTGCTGACATCCTACGCCACAGAGTAGTGTGTTTACGCTTTATTATATTAGTATAGATTTGGAAGTATAGATTTAGACGATAATTTCGAAAGGTAATAATATAAATGCCAAAAGTTTAGATGGATGGACAAATCTACAAAATTAGCACAGATTTAGAATATTTAAAACAACACAAATATATCTTAAAAAGTCTTACCAACACCAATATTCTGTGTGAGTGCTTGCACACCGAAGTAAGTGAAAGGTCCCGCTTCGAATACGAGGTTTTCTCTGCCCACTGTCACCTCCACACGACCTTCCAGCACCAGCACGAAGTAATCCACCTGAATATGGGAGAACTATGACGTCACAAATCACAAGTACAGTAGGGGAATGTGACAGTGTTCTAACTAAAAATTACTTGAACGTTTTGTTCACATTGTGAGAATAACCAATAGGATGCAATTTTAAATGTATAAAAATAGTCGGTTAGTGGTAAATAGGTAATTAATGTTACCAATATTATAAATGCGAAAGTTTAGATGGATGTTTGTAAGAGTTTGTAGCCTAAACTGTCAAACGGTTCGAGAAAAATATTCGCATAGAAGTTTATGATAGGCTAATAACTTGTTTTTTCTAATTCCACGCAGACGGAGCAGCGGGCCAACGCTAGTTTTTTTAAACTCACTACCTTATTGGTAATTTAGAGGAGCTGGAGTTTGTATTATAAGGCAATTATTCTGTAAGTGGAGTACAGCGTATTTCCGCGATTGTACATTCTTGTCGTTGGAGGAAAAGAGATAGCTAGTGTTCGATTTATAACTTACCGGCTTCCCTTGCTGGAAGACATAAGTACATGCGTCTCGTTTGCTTTTATTCTTTACTTTAATATGTTGAATAACGTCTTGTTTTAGTAAACGACGTAATACAGTTTCTGATACTGTGTCAGGTCGGAATGCGTCCACACCTAGAAAAAATAAAAAAAATCACTATAATAATAATAATACTTTAAAATCAAGCCATTTTTCCCAGATATTTAACGGACAGACAAAAGATTGCACAAATATCTCGATTTTTCATACATTTTACATAGTCAAATTTGCAGAGGGCAAGAGGACAACTGTCCTGGGACTAGTGATGGTCAACTCGAGTTCGTAACTCGATTCGACTCGAGTTGAATTCTTTTTAACTCGAGTTCGAAAACCGAATGGAACCGACATGGAGCGAAGTTTGACCTCTGTGAAGTTAGCCCCCTCACTTCTTTACTTTTTTATGCATCGTTTAAAAATTGTTAGAGATGGTTTGAGAGAAAATAAAATCGTTTGAGAGTTCCTCCGTAAAAGCAATTTAAGTTTTTAACGTGAAGTTGGCCCCCACACTTCACTTTTTTTTTAATTTTTCTCATACAAATCGGCAGAGAATCGTTGAGAAAAAGACTGCTATATAATTTCAGTTTATTTGACAGTAAATTTTATTTTTATTTAAATTCAAGCCAAAAATACTTGAAAAACGATTCGATTTGAAACAATAACTTTTTTTTTGTTTCTTTATTTAGTAGATATAACTCTCCCAATACATTATAAATGAATAACATAAAAATAAAGAATTGAAACAGATAAAAATATAATTTGTCTATTCCAATTTTATGCCAAGCCGAGGGAATCATTTGGAAAAACTCAAAAAAACATTTACTTGTCCATCCAGTTAACTCGAGTTACGTAACTCGAGTTCAACCCAAGTTACGTGGATTTTAACTCGAGTTAACTCGAGTTACGTTTTTCCCGAGTTGGCACATCACTACCTGGGACATAGTGTTGGGAGACGCAGCGGTTAAGATTGTAACACATGTTGCAAACTACTGTCATCTCTTTCTAACTCGCTAGTATAACGAATGTGTGGTTGAGTAAGGTATACAGTTTGGTGCACTAGAATTGAAATGTAAGCGAGAGCGAGCTATTTTGTATTAATTTTTGTGCTCGTTATAACTATCCTTGTATATCCTTCTAGTGTACATGTGCGAGTAAGTAAAGTATACTGACTGGCGCTAAAACACTGAAATGAACGAGGCGTTGTAATGAGTTGGTTCTTGTGAGAATTATACCTATCTCTGTCTATTCTTAGTAGTGAACCATGTAGAGTAAGAAAGGTATACTGACTGGTGTTCAAGAAATAGAACGTAAGAATAAGTTGCTTTTGAGTTAGTGTTTGCAATAATACTTCTTTTTAGTTTAAGTTATATGTGAGCATTGAAATGAACGAGAGTGTGAGCTGTAATGAGTTAGTGCTTGTGAGAATTATACCTATCTCTGTCTATCGTGTTAGTGTGAGGTATGTGCGAGTGAGATACTGACTGGTGCTCAGGAACTGGAATGTAGCGAGTGTGAGCTGCGGAGAAATATGTATTCGTTGGTTCTCGTGTCTTTCCGCGAATGCTGCGAAGTCTTGCAGCTTGTTCTGTGGCCGGTTGCGACGTCGTTTCGTGCGGTTGTCCACTGAAAGGAAAAAATTAAGGAATTGGTCCCTCGAGCAGGAATTTTTATTATTATGAAATTTTGTAAAAATATGTACTACTAGTTTTAACCTGTGATATTAAGAGCACGCGCAGACCTTTAACTAAGCTATCGCACAACAGTTTTGTGATAATTTTGTCAAAGGTGGCCGCTCTAAATGTTTAGTTTGATTTGAACAAATCAGATTATCTTCTTCTAAATAGAATATTTAAGAATAAAAAAGGCTTGAATTATTCCTTGTTTCCATAGTATTCAATTGCAAAGGTTTTAAATACAAATAATGCTTTCCGATAGATGAAAGCCTTATTATCATCCAATTAGAAAAATGTATATGGTCCTTCAAGTCGGATACTCACTGAATACATCAGTTTCATCAACAATCTCAGCTTGGATCATCTCCTCAATCACATCTTCGAGGGTCACCAGACCTATTGTCTCATAGAACGGGTCACCTTCACCTTCATTGTTGATACGATGAACAAACGCCATATGTCCCTTGTGGCCTGCAACAATATAAACACTAATAGCTTTCGCCCGCGACTCCGTACGCGTGGAATCAGACACAAGTAAGTAGTCTATGTGCTTTTCCAGATTATTCTCTAAATCTATGGCAAATTTAATCGAGATCCATTCAGCAGTTTAGGCTACAAACTCTAACAAACATCAACCGGAGTTCAATTTTAAGTCCCTTTTCCTTCCCATTAACTTATACGGAAAGGATGGGAAGGAAAAGCGGATTTAATGGTGGAGACGCATAGGAAAGGGAAATATGCTCTCTATGTATGTCTCCTTCTTCGTCGATTAACGGTAGGCAACGCATTTGCAATTGCGGATGTTTATGGGCACCGGTCGCTTCGCTTTCTCGGCGAATTCAGGTGGCTGCTCGCTCGTTTGCCACATTATGATATAAAAATCATGGTTTACTCACCTTCTTTGAACTGCTTAAACATGACATCCAGGGTGACATCTTCAAAGACGAAGTTGCAAGGGTTCTGATAGTACTGGCAGAGGGTCTTCAGCGGCGTGTTGTCATCAGGGTCCACGAACGCCAGGTCTTTGATGAACAGCACCGTCACCACGTTGACTCTGCTACCCTCGTATACCGGAATACGAGAATAACCTGGTTAAAAACGCATTCCTATATACAACGCTCAAATCAAGAGTATATTGAGTAGACCATGAGTAGACTAAGTAGAAATAGAAATTATGGTAACCAAATAGTGTCATAATAAATACATTGTAACACTACTCAATATACTAATCGAGTAGACTATGAGTAGACTGAGTAGACCGTAAGTAGACTGAGTAGACCTTGAGTAGACTGAGTAGACCTTGAGTAGACTGAGTAAACCGTGAATAGACTAACCAGATTTAATGATCTCCGACATAGTTTCAAAGTCCAATATGGAAGTAATGGGCAGCATGAAAGCGTCTTCTAACTTCGTCATCACATCGGAGACTGTCTTCTTGCGAAGCTCGAGCGCACCAGAGATGATATTTACTTCATCCTTGTCGAGGTCGTTGACGTCCGTTGTTACCTTTGGAGGAAAGAATTTAGTTACGCGGTTGAATTTTTGGAAAAGAGGATGTAAGGGGTAATAGGACATGTATGAGCACAATTTTTTTTTCCAATAAATAATAGTAATGAAATTATATAAAAAGACTTTTAATTAAAGGTTACGTTTTTTCATATCTTTGTATATTTTTAATTAATAAGATTAGAACCACTTTTGCATACAATTTTAGTGTTCAATTCGCTCAGCCTTAATCTGTTTTAAATTGTTCTACTTTTCTACAACTGATTCAATTACAAAGAAAATAGAAAATATAATACATCTAAAACATTGAATTAACTCTCTAGTAGATTTTTATAGTAATTTCAAATTTTATTCACATTTAATAGTTCATCATCAACTTGCCCTTATCCCTTATGGGTCGGCACAGTATGTGCTGCTCTTCCATACATCTCTATCAGCCGTCATATCTGAATCCACTCCTATCTTAAGCATATCCTGTTTCACACAATCCATCCATACTTTCTTCGGTTTTCAATTTCCTTTGTAACCATCCACATCCCATTCTTAACACTTTCTGGTTTATGTCCCAACGTCTCATAACATGTCCATACCACGCTAACCTTTTGCTTCTTACTTTCTCCAACAATGGCTACTTTCAAACTTCCTCTAATGTACACATTCTTAACTTTATCCATTCTTATCATACACATCCATCTTAACATACGCATCTCAGCCAAATGCAATCTCCTTTCAACTTTCACATTTAATAGTTTAAAAAATGTCGTTATAAATAATAAATACATATATCTTTTGTACAACCTCTACCCCTTACACCCTAAAATTGTTACAACAATAAACTTTTTGTAATGCCAATTCGTCTCACGGATGCATACAAAGAATTTGGAATAAATAGGACATAGGGGTCAAACCCCTTACCGGCATCCCAGCATGCATTACATGTGGTTAAGAAATATATCCACTTACCATATGCTAACCATCCGTGTGAGACAGAGATAAATAATATTAATAAATATACGTACAAAAAATAATAAATTTTCAATCCAATCGAATTAATTATTTACATAAATATAAATAAATATTTTTTATCCTAGCTCGAAGGACCAAATTGAATCATTAGTATGAAAAAAACATTGTTTTGCATTTAGAAATACTGATAATGGCTGATATTTAAAAAAACTAATTCTACAGTAGTAAATCCCGCTTTAACATCTTCGCACGAATTGGCCGGCTCGCCCGGTGTAATAGCACGACCACACAGAAAACAGACGTGAAGTGGAAGCAATTTCGCGTTTCGTCTGATGAGTGTGGTACCGGAGGCCGAATATTAGTCCCTTTTCCTTTCCACCCTTTTCTTAAGAAGAAAGAATGGGAAGGAAAAGTGGTGTCAACGGAACGACGCATAGAAAGGGGAAATGTCCTCTTTATGTGCGTCTCCTCCTCCCATCAATTAAGGGTAGGCAACGCATCTGTAATTGCAGATGTCTATTGCCAATGGTCGCTTTCCATTTCGATGGATTCAGGTGGCTGCTTACTCTTTTGGTACTTTATGTTATAAAACAAAAGAAAAATATAATTGAATCGTATTTTTCGGCACAAAACATTTAAATAATAAAAGGGAAGGCTCTTGAAACATGACTCGGTTAGATAGCCAAAATTATCTCCAAATGGGGATGTTTCCTAATTTTTGGAATTGCTTTTATTATGTAGATAAACCATATCTAAACAAGAAAAAAAATTATAATAAAATCATATACGCAACATTTCATTACAAAAACACTTAACTAAAAACAACTTCTCGAAACACCGCGAAAACGCCCCATGACATGACGTCACTTCTTTGCTAACAAACCTCGCGTCGCGGTCTGTCAAAGTCATTCAAAGTGACCAGACGTAAATTGAATTAGCTATTCAAATAACTTTTACTATTTTTTTTTCGTCATAGTGATCGAAAAATTTGCTCGTAAAATATGTGGTAAATATAAAAACACTTAATAATGGAGTCCTCATAATATAACACACGCAAACTCAATTATTATAATCATTAAAAAAAATTATAACTACAAAATGCACTGACATTCACTGAAGCTGGTCACACTGCCATGTTTGCGAAGAAGTTACGTCACCGAGCTCTGATTGGTGTTTAAGATAGAGTAATGGAGGGTAAAAAATATTGCAGCCTTTTTTATTTATATTTCAATGGAGACAAACATTTAAGGTCTCCAAATGTTATTATAGGTTTTAAAATACTGTCCTTAAAAAATTAAACATAACTTTATTTGAATTTGTAACATTAGGAAACATCCCCATTGTGAAAAATCAATGTTACAGTAAAGGGTTAATATTAAAGATTTTTGCTAGTTAAAAAAAGAAAACTTCTATATCAGTATTTCATTGCAATACACAGGTGTTATTTTTGGCATCTAATAATTGTAGGGTGTCCATAATATCGACTGTAGAATTTCAAAATTGCATTGTGTACACTAAATATAGTTGTCTCTTTCTATTCAATTATAATTATACAAGTTTCAATAGAGTCGTAATGGTAGGTTTTAAAATAAATCCACTTTCAATCATTTTGATATAATATTATTCGATACAAGTCATAGATTGGTAAAAATATCTGACAAGGGCATAAGTTCAAGATCTTTTTTATACTGTAGCTGTCTTGTCAAGTCTTTTTAAGCCTACCTAATCGAGATAGCAGCGCCTTTTACTAGCTCATACATCCTTGTTTGAGTATAGATACAAAATTTATTGTTACAAGTAACAAAAAGTTGATGTCGTCTGTCGTTTTTGTATGATTTTGTATCGCAGTTAAGGGGCGCCGTAGAAATCTATCCCAGGGCGCTAGTAATGAATCTACGCGCAACATTTATGGTCACCACACATATTAAAATAATATACAATGAAATATCTTCTTGTCATCGGTCTTAGCTAGTCATTGCCAAAATTCCATACGCAACGTACGTATATCTACTCAAATTGAACATAGAGAATAGTGTTTTGGACCTACCAGATTGTTTTTTTTTATTTTTTTTTCATATGTATTTCAAAAGCCTACGTACAATGTTTCAATAACCAAGATTTGTTAACAATCCGCGCAGCTAGAACCACAGTATTATAGTTTGTCTAAATAAGATAGATTAGTTTGATAAATGACGCATATGAAGTATGGAATTATTGTATGAAGGCAAATGCCGTACTTAATAGACAGATATCGTAGTGACGAAACAAACACGCAGCGAACAATTGTGAACTATCGAAAGTCGATTTAAAAAAAACATCGAACTTAACTAAAAAATATTATTTGCTTATTTAATAATTTATAGGACAATTCTAGTATTGATTATAGTGTAGAGAATTTAACGATGACAGAAATAATAGCGAAATCCAATTCGATTACGTCCGACTGTAGTAGTAATAAATATTTATTTACTCTCATTATTTGTAATGGTTCTGCAGTTCATTGCTATTTTGAAAATAAGTGTTTTTTTTTTTTTTAATCATAAGTTATAACTATGAATCTATCGATTCCAACTTCTATAAAATAAAAATCGAAAATCGTTAATATTCATGCCTGATTTTACACAACCCATCCTTACTAAATTGTCACATGAATTATCATACTAATCTATCTTATTTAGACAAACTATAACACAGCTAAGATAAAATGAATTTTTATACTAAATTTTTATAGTTATTTTTTGTATAACTTTGCGAACAGAGTCACGGGCAACAGCACAACAAAAAAATCATTCAAAGTCTCTTACCTTGACAAGTTCTTTTAAGCGTTCTCGATTATAAACACTGCCTATCTCCTCGCCTAGGAAATAGTCTAAGAGCTTGCTGACTGGATACGCCATTGGTGCGGTTAGAGCCATCACCGCCTTAAAAAAATGTTGAAATATTTACCCTACACTATAAACTTTTATAATGCTTAAATACCCGAGCTTCATTAATATTACTTGCTAGCTTTCGTCCGCGACTCCGTCCGCGTATAAAAACTGATTAGCCTATGTGTTCTTTCAAGCCTAAGTATCTTCTACATCTGTACCAAATTTCATTGAAATCCGTACAGCCGTTTTAGGTAACAACTCTAACAAACATCAATCCATCTAAACCTTCGCATTTATAACATTAGTATGATTTATAAAATTGCTACAAGCCACGAACAGTTAGTAGGTAATTTTACTAATTATAAATGCGAAAGTTTCAATGGATGTATGGATGTAAGTTTGTAGCCTAAACGGTTGAACGAAATGAATGAATCTTGATGACACAACGAACACATAGGCAACTAAACTATACTAATAGAAAAATACAAATATAAAGAGGAAATATTTCGATTTTTGGATTTTTGTATGTATTGAAATAACTCAAAAACCACTGGACCGATTTCAAAAATTATTTCACCGTTAGAAAATTTATTTATCTATAAGTAACATAGGCTATTTCACGCTTGCGATGTCGAGAACAGCTAGTTATGTTTTATTTTGAATTAAAAAAAAATCGGATAGACGGAGTCGCGGGTGAAAGCTAGTGTATGAATAGTTAAAAAACTCACCTTCGTGACCATAATAGTCTTTGCACCAATCATCAATCCATGCCTTGAACAAATCGCTTGCGGAGTTATCTCACCTAGCAGTACAATAGCTAACGTAGACAATATGACAGCAAAAAGACCAGAAGTCAAACCATCAAGTAATATCGTGAACGTAGAATTAACCGCCACATTACCTAAAAGTATACTACAAAGAAGATAATTCCCATGATCTCTTACTGGCATTATCGCTCTCGAATACTTCCTCTCTTTATCTGTGCCTGTATTTGAAATTATCTTCAATTCTGTCCTATCCAAAGACATTAAGCCTAAATTTAAACCAGAAAATAAAGCTGAAAATCCCAAACAGATGACTATAAGAGTTAACGTCGCCCATAAAGGTAATAAATTATTATGTGTCGCCAACATCGTCCACGTATCGAAGCCCATATGTAAATACTTCTCTTCGTCTTCATCAGGACTTCTTGCACCGAATTTTAAATTCTTGGCGCAAACGTATAATTTGTGGCCATTTATTGGCTGTGGAGCTACCATATCGAAGAGTGCTGTGCGCGGGAATAAGGAATCTTCTTTCACCTGGAAATTATCACAAGTTGCCTTTATGACACTGGCCACAGACTGAAAATCATCATTACCTCCCCTAGGAGATAGTCTAAGAGAATCTTCTAGGACACCTAGGAAGCTCCTCTAGCTCTAGCTCTAGCTCCCCTAGGAGATTTCCTCCTAGACTATCTTCTGGGGGAGATGATGATTTTCAGTCTATCAGATTTAAGATGTGGGCCTTATCCTACTCCCATAGATCACATCGGGTTATCGTCTCTTAAAGAACTCTATCATCCGTCATCTCATTCACTCTCTTCTTGATCATGTCACCTTTCACACAATCCATCTCTTTCTCTCTACCTCTACCGGTGTACTCATAACTAACGTTCTTATAACATGCGATTCATGCCTCCTTTAGCATCATACCATGTTAACCTATTACTCCTTAATTTCTTAACCACTGGGGCTACTCTCAAACTTCCTCTAATAATTAAATCAATAATACTACAAATAGTATTTTTTTTATTGCAAACAATAACAGTGCAAACTGAAAGTTTCCAGCAATATTTAGAGCTAAAGAAATCTGTAAAGGATTCAAATTGCAGTCAAACTGTCGATAATCATCAACCTGTTATCCCTACGGAGTGTAGGCACAGTATGTGCTACCTTATCTCTATCAGGCGTCATATCTGAATTCCATTAGGCTATTTTATGCTCTTTCACAAAGTCCATCCATACATTCTTCTTTCTTTATCTTTGTTGCCGAAGTTTTGTGTTATACTCATTAATTTGTATTTTTTTTGATCGTGTACGAGACGCCTTAGACGACAATTAAAACCTTAAAGATTTAAAAGGCACTTTTTTATACATACCATATATTCTCCTTTGACTAGAAACTTGCAGGGCTGGCCATAATCCATAGGATCGTGGGTAAAGGCTATCACGGTCCTTCGAGTCAGACCTTGACCAAAAAGTCTAAGGACAATAAATAAATTCATTAATATAATTAACAAATAGAAAATAAACAAGAAGTATTAATAGTGAAAAAAACTATAAACCTAACTAATTAACCAAGTTTTAACACAAATTTAATCATATCTCTAACTTCAAGTCGGTGAAACCATTTCGAGCGCACACCCGAAACTAAACGATCGCACAACTGTTTACTCGCTTTGATTCATAGCTTATATGGAGCACACTACTCGATTTCTGGTTGTGGAACGAAACAGTTGAATAGACTGCGAAACAATTGACAATCAACGAGTGCACAACAGTCGTTCGATAGTTTAGTCATAGGTGGCCGCTACAAGCCAACAAGGAGACTTATACGCACACGTAGGACTCTATTGCCTATCTCTCATCTAAATGTCCACTTAGAGACTAACAGTGGTAGACCCCCTTTAACATCTTCGCACGAATGGGTCGGCCCACCCGGTGTAATACCACAACCACACAGAAGTGGTGAAGTGGAAGCAATTCCGCGTTTCGTCTGATAAGTGTGGTGCCGGAGGCCCAATTTCAGTCCCTTTCCCGTCTCACCTTTTTCTTATAAGAGACAGATTGGAAGGGAAAGTGGAGACGCATAGAAAGGGCAAATGTCCTCTTTACGTGCGTCTCCACCGTCAATTAAGGGTAGGCAACGCATCTGCATTTGCGGAAGTTTATGGGCAGCGGTCGCTTACAATTTCGGTGGATTCAAGTGGCCGCTTGCTCGTTTGCCACCTTTTTGTATAAAAAAACCAAAGTAACCAATAAAGAACTGTACGTTTCTAATTGTACAAAAAGGTTTACCTTAAGGTAAATCCACTCCCGGCAAGCACACTCGGTATGCCTTCTTCTATAATAACAGGTTCCTTATCTGACCTTTCAATCCTTAACCCTTCAACAACTATTGGTACGGGATCTGCTTTGACTGTTGTGAAGAACGGCATTCGAGGACTCGTCTGTCGTTTATTCTGGCCATTAACATCATCTGGGTTTACTTTATGGTCTATTTTATCATCAAAAGGACCTATTATATCATCGCTTGTTTTTATCTCTTCAAAATGTTCCCTATTTTCTTTGTTTATAATTTCACGTCTATATCTATACCTGCCGTTTGGTTTTCTTTTAATTCTGTTATTAAAGGGATCATCAAATTCGAATTCGTGCGGATCGAATGTTTCTAGTTTTGCGTGATCTCGAATATTTATTGGGACATAATTGTCGTTTACTAGTACTTCAATATTATCTCGTTGTTTTCTCGTATGTTGCGTGTTAGGTAGATAATTCACATCAATATCATGGGATAGATCTACCCACGTTGTTTTTGCGTTTTCACCTTCTGTGTTCTGATGAATCGATTCGTTTTTTGTTTTCTCATTTGACCTGAAAGTCAATTATAACATTGTTAGTGCTTGTTATAGTTTGTCTATATAAGATAGATTAGTTTGATAAATGACGCATATGAAGTATCGAATTCAATTTGTATGAAGGCAAATGCCGTACTTAATGGACAGGTATCGTAGTGACGAACAAACACGCGTATCGAACAATTTTGAACTATCGATATTCGGTTTAAATAAAATTATTATTTTCTTATTTACTAATTTAGAGGACAATTCTAGTATTGATTATAATGTAGAGAATTTAGCGATGACAATAATAATAGCGAAATTCAATTCGGTTACGTCCGGCCATAGTATTTATAACTAAATATTTATTTACTCTCATTATTTGTAATGGTTCTGCAGTTTATTTTTAAGTTGAGAAAACAGTGTTTTTTTTTAAACTCAGTTATAACTATGAATCTATCGATTCCAACTTATATAACATTAAAAATGGAAAATCGAAAAGTTTCATGCCTGATTTCACACAACCCATCCCTACTAAATTATCACATGAATTGTGAAATCTGCTGACACAGCCGAGAGCGCGGCAGTTCAATTACAGGCAGTTAGACTAAAAAGAGATGGATTGCGTAAAAGGTTACAGAAGAAGGGAATCACTGAGATATAAAATCTGAACGAAAGCTATTGCGTTTTGCGTGAGTGTGATAAGGATGGAGAGATGATGGCAGTTATACACGTACAGGAATGTTGACAAAACATACAAAGTACATAAAAACAAATATACTTTTGTAATAATTTCCCTTGTGGCCAGTCGCGTGACTATACCAAATCAGTACATGTTAAAAAATACCCTGCAGGTCTACTGAGGCCGATAAACTTAGAAATAGAATACATATGTACATTATAATCTTACTAATATTATAAATGCGAAAGTTTAGATGGATGGATGGATGGATAGATCGATGGATGAATGGATATTTGTTAGCGTTTGTAGCCTAAACGGCTGAACGGATCTCCATTAATTTGGTACAGGTTTAGAGCATAGTCTGGAAGAACACATAGGCTACTTTTTATCCCTGGAATAGTTACGGTTCCCGTGGGATTTATTAATTTAGTTTTTTAATGTTTACTCGATTATTCTGCAACGGTTCAACATATCTTATTGAAATTTGGCACAGATATAAAACAAAGTCTAGAGTACACATGGGATAAGCTTCATCCTCGAAAAATGTCCGGTTCCCGAGGGATACGTAGCTTTTTGTAAATTATATAGTTTGTATATTTTCTAATACCACGCGTACGAAGTCGCGGGCAACAGCTCGTAATGAATATATACAACACAAACATAAGTGGAAACGAATGATCTAAGGTTTTCTAGTTATATCACCAGCTCACTAAGACCCCACTGAAGGGGCTCGGAGTCTACCCTAAGTAAGGGCTGACTAGGACATAGGCAACCACGCTGCACTGCGGGTTGTTTGACTTCACACGTATCTTTGAATTTCTTCGCCGATATGGACAGGCATCACGGTGTTTTCCTTTACCGTAAAAACATCGGGTTAATTATGTACATATGAAATTTCAAAACATCACATTGGTACGGCGGGATTCGAACCCAAGACTTGTAGATTAGAAGTCAAGTGCTTAAACCACTGAGCCAACGACGCTCTTATATATTCTTCCATTATTTCAGTCAAAATGTCTTACGGTTTTACACAATTCAAACCTTCCTATTGTTGCACACATAAATAATGGCGATGTATTTATATTTCATAAAGGTAGAGGTTCTTAACAAGTCTTTTTGAACTTAGGCCACATAGTTGTGTATCATCTGAATATTTACATCATATTTACGTAAATGAGAGCACATAAGTTATCTTTTTAATTACTCTTTGATATCAGTGCAAAGCCCGGATGCAGATATTTAGGGTTGTCAATTTTAACTATTAAGTCGCAAGAATATTAAATCTCACAATAACATATTTACTAAGAGCAAAAATACACTAAAAACAAAACATTCTCAAAAAAACAGTACACTAAAAAGTAACGAAATAATTCCTTGAAAATAGTAAACCTACCTTATTGTAACTGCTACGTCAATATTGTACAATTATTATTACTGTGATGTCGGTGTCAGCCGAGGTATGCAGTGATATTTCTACGTAAGGGTTTCCACATTTTTACCATAACAATTGACAATTGAAAGTATAGTAACAATTAAGTAATGAATCTACATTGACTGACACCGACTTCTTTTGGGAAGTCGGTCAAAAAGAGGCGCTTACTGCATCATTTTCACTGCCTTAATGGAACTTTTTTGTCAATTACCCAGTGCTACTAGTCCGTATCGAATTAAAATAAAATTTAGCAAATATCCTACATATTTTTCTAGGCTATTCACATCATCATCATCTCCTTATCCTACTCCCGTAGTGGCGCAACAGGTTTTTGTTCTCCACATAACTGTATCATACGTCATCTCAGTCATCACTCCCTTTTTGATCATGTCACCTTTTACACAATCCATCCATCTCTTTCTAGGTCTACCTCTACCGATGTACCCTTCCACACTCATAACTAACGTTCTCCTTGTAACATGCGATTCATCCCTCCTCATAACTAGCTAACCTTTTACTCCTTACCTTCTCTATTACGGTGGCTACTCTCAAACTTCCTATAATTTAGCAAGTATCCTATATGTTCTTCTAGGCTATCTACATATATACTAAATCCAAATGCCGTAAGCCGTTTTGAAGATACTTAGTGACAAATATTAATCTATCCATCCGATAGCATGACAACCCTTTTTTTTTTTTTTTATAACATAAGGTGGCAAACGAGCAAGCGGCCACTTGAATCCGCCAAAACGGCGAAGCGACCGCTGCCCATAGACATCCGCAATTGTAGATGCGTTGCCTACCCTTATACGACGAAGGAGGAGACGCACATAAAGAGGATATTTCCCCTTCCTATGCATCTCCTCCACCGTCAAATCCACTTCCCCTTCCCATCCTCTCCTTATAAGAAAAGGGTGATAAAGAGAAAGGGACTTAAATTAGGCCTCCGGCACCACACTCATCAGACGAAACACGGAATTGCTTCCATTTCACGCCTGTCTTCTGTGTGGTCGTGGTATTACACCGGGCGTGCCGGCCCATTTGTGCTAAGATGTTAAAGCGGGCACTACCACTGTCAATGTTATGTCAACCCTGAATGTTAACGAGCATTAACAGATGAATGACCCAAACAGATAGTACTGACGTAGACCTGATATGTATAATATAGAATCTATACTAATATTATAAAGAGAAAAACTTTGTATTTTTGTATGTATTGAAATAACTCAAAAACCACTGGACCGATTTTAAAAATTCTTTCACCATCAGAAACGTAATTTGTCTGTAAGTAACATAGGCTTTATTTTTTTATTACTTATGTTTAGGAACTATTAATAAACACCGTGTTTCTGGACGCCGGAGTCAAAAAATTACTAAACTTTAACTTTTCTCGGCTTTCGCTGTCAAAACCGTTAGAGGTGAATAAAAATGATGTATGAAAGAATTGTAGATCTCAAAATGTTCTACAGAAAAGTCCGCGCCAGCATATGTATATCTATCTTTAACGGTTTTTTACAATAACCACTCTTTGATTTACAATATGAATAAAAAACTGCACGCTATTTGCAGCGTTCTTTTATTGGTTTCAATATTAATCCTTATCCAAATAAATGCGTTTGTTATCAGGAGAATTTAACGTAGAATAAAATTGTCCTTTACAGTATTTAAATTGGACTAATAGTTTAGAAGATATCCCGAACACAAACACATCCGGGTAATCGAAAAATACGCGCTCAAACTACCAGGCTTAGGAATTTCGAATCTGGCATCGGTAGATTTCTCTTATTACATAGATTACTACTAAGTTAATACTTTTGGTAATAGGTTGAAAGAAGAAGCGAACGTAAGTTTTGAACTCTCAAATTTCACGCGGGCATGTCGCATGCACTTGGCCAGCGTTGTTGACTATGGCCTAGTCACCCCATATTAGGGTAGGCTTCGAGCCCCTCGTTGGGGACGTATAGTGAGCTGGTGATGATGATGATGATGATGTCGCGCGCAACAGCTAGTATTAAATACACGAATAGAATTTTTATCTACGCACAAAGTTTACATTTCTACCATCTGATGGACATTAAAACAGTCATCTGACGTCATACTCTTAGCAATATCCAAACGTATAAGACTAACTCGTAGTGGAAAACGTAATAAAACTGCTTCCGCGATTAGATGATTGATCGCGTAATGTGCTCTCTATTTCAATGCGGCCTTGCTTGGAATTTAAAGCTGGTTACACACTAAGTATATTTTTTTTTTGTGTAAATATTATCTTACGCTCGCAGCGTCCTCGTTTTAAAAACAACAAAAGTGAGTAGCCTATGTGTTCTTCCAGACTATCCTCTACATCTATGCCAAATTTCATTGAGATCCGTTCAGCCGTTTAAGCTACAAACTTTAACAAACATCCATTTAAATCGCATTCATAATACTAGTGAGATAGTAAGATTGCGATTTAGTGTGTCGTAACCTTTAAGAACGAAGAATGATATTTACGACCGAGTAAAACTTCCTTTCATTTAACCTATATACGTTATATAACCTAATTAGTTTTAGGTAAAGATTATAAATGTAATCCACTATATATTTTTCCATGTATTCAAAGTAATACACTTATAATGTACATTTATTAAATCCCGTTTTCAAAATTTAGTACCAATTTGATACATTTATGTTTCAGAAAATTTTGTGTCGCCTTAACCGATAGATGGCGCTGTTAAGTACCGAAAGATTTGTTGATAAAAATTAATAAAACCCTATAACTATGAGTTTCGACTGTTGACAATTTGCCAGTTTCACCAGACGGCGTCTTCATTTCATTTGTAGTATAAATAATATTTGGGACAAACGCCAAAGATAAACTCTAGTTACGTTATTACGCTGCGAAATAAACCGATCGATGAAAAGATAGTAAGGACTTAGGACTTATTGTTAGGGCGAAAATACTTACGCTAGGGGCACATTTACAGCAAATAGTACTTGCCATATACAGGCATTCGGAAACTCTAACTAATTTACTTGTTAACCCGGATTGGTTAGCATGGCTGACTGTCTTAGTCACCCCTTACTTTAGGTAGACTCCGCCTTACAGTGGGGACTTATAGTCAGCTGGTGATGATTACCGCCTTTATAAGCGTTTAAAATTTCAAATACTTCACTTATGCTGAACACACCAAAACACTAACGAATGGTTAAAACTAGCTGGGAAACAGGGCATTAGTAGAGAAGACATTGAAAGTTTTACGCAATGTAAACGATAAAAAAAGTTTTTTAATGTCAATGTCGCACGAGAAATAGTGTATGTGTGGAGGGGTTGACCGGTGGATGAATGGATTACGTGAAGGTGACATGATCAAGGGAGTGAGTGAGATGACGTATGAAAATTATGCGAAGGACAAAAAAATGTTACGCCACTACGAGAGTGGGATAAGGAGGAAGATAAGTGTGTAAATTTAACTCCATTCAATCTTTGTCGTTCAATCGTCATCTGGGTCATTGCCAGACGTACGTTATAATAGTGGGATTTTGTGTCACTTGTATTTTGTCACCAAAGTTATATAACATCAACTGAAGAGGCCTTAAGGGCTTGGGATCGCTTATACTTCTCTCTTGGGTCGAATCAGGTTAGAGTGGTTAGCCTTCTAACCTTAGGGGAGATTTTAACGATACCCTTTTAATATTGTAAAGAGGAAAAATTTGTATTTTTGTATGTATTGAAATAAATCAAACACTACGGAGCCGATTTTATGCGAGTAAGATAGGCTATATTTGACGTGGGCGAAATCGCGAGCAATAGCGAATAGTGTTATGTAAGGGTAATTCGTAAACCGGTGCCGCCTTTTTTCGTCAGACGTCCTGGGCGATGGACGCACCCTACCCTATTTTGACACAGAGGACGGTTCAAATGTTACTGGGTCAAATTATTAATGTAAAAGGGATATTACAGTCGCTAAAATTAATAACATCGTTATTCAGTTAAATACAGTTAAAAATAATATAATTACTAAAACCATACATTCTTATTAAAAACTAGCTTTTATCTGCGACTCCGTGAAATTTAAATTCCTCGTGAAATTTAAAAAATAATAAATATAGCCTATATTACTCACAAATAAATTACCTTTCTAACGGTAAAAGAATTTTTAATCGGCCCAGTAGTTTTTGAGTGTATTCAAACAAAGTATACTGATGTAAAAAAAATTACATTTATTAATTACGAGCTGTTGCTCGCGACTTCGTCCGCGTGGTATTAGAAAACATACGAACTATATGAATTACAAAAAGCTACGTATCCCTCGAGAACCGGACATTTCTCTGGGATGAAGCTTATCTCATGTGTACTCCAGACTTTGTTTTATATCTGTGCCAAATTTCAATAAGATATGTTGAACCGTTGCAGAATGATCGAATGAACATCAAAAAACTAAATTAATGAATCCCACGGGAACCGTAACTATTCCCGGGATAAAAAGTCCCCTATGTGTTCTTCCAGACTATGCTCTAAACGTGTGCCAAATTTCGTGGAGATCCGTTCAGCCGTTTAGGCTACAAACGCTAACAAACATCCATCCATCCATCTAAACTTTCGCATTTATAATATTAGTAAGACTAGCCTTTGCTCGTAACTACGTCCGCGTGGAATTCACAAAAAACAAAAGTAACTATCCTATATATTTTTCCATACTATCCTCTACGTCTATGTCAAATTTCATCGAGATCCATTCAGCAGTTTAGGCTACAAACTCTAACAAATATCCATCTACACTTTCATATTTAGACTACTAGTTAGATTTAACGATAGTGTATTATTACGAAATACAGCTTATATTTTGTCATTATTATACCTGCTACACCTTAATTTAAGTCCGGCTTCCCAACTTCATTTAATCATTCCTTAGTTTTTGGTTAAATAAATCCACGAAATGCGTTTCCGTACGCGACTTGAGTCTTACTCCCTTGAATCTTAGGTCAAACTAAAACTAGGTAACGAAAAAATAAACGGAAACTTCAGAATCCCCGCATTAGTCAAATATACCGTTACACTAACTATTTTTAACTACATCTAAAAATGTCGGCGCCAGACCTTCAGTATTAACGGGCGTTTCATATTTTACTATCGCAAGTTAATACGTAACGTTATCTATTTGAGTACCTTTTCAAGGTTCCAGTCCAGTACACCATTAGTACCATCTTAAACATTTTTTATGCCACTACAATTTTTTTGTATAAAATTTTAGAATTGTATTTGTATTTTTATATATATTGAAACTCAAAAACTACTGGGACAACTTCAAAACATTTTACCTATAAAAATGTTAACACTGAGTAACATAAGCTATGTTTTTTTAATTACACGCCAACGAAATCGCAAGCAACATTTCGATATATATCTCTATCTATATTAATATTATAAAGAGTTAGTATTTTTGTATGTATTGAAATAACTCAAAAACTACTGGGTCATTTTCAAAAATTTTTACATCACTGTGCTCTATTTTTTTTTAATTTCACAGGGGCACAGTCGCTAGCAACATCTAGTTATTCATATTTTTACAAATAGACTAAACAAGTATACCCAAACAGAGTATTCTAAAAGTTTCTAATTACATTATCATTATCTTGTTTTTCATCAATGCAATGTATTTCAAGTGAATTAAATTACGCAAGAACACAAACAAAAGCTAGCTCGGTATTATATCCAGTTGCTATTGTTTTTTACTTAAAAGAAAAAATATAGCCATGACATAATCTTTGTATTTAGTTTGTTTCTGTTTCATTTTACATACAGTTGACTCTAACTTCAATAATAAAAATCATTAGAACTTTAGTTTTGAATGTGGAGGAACACCTATGTACATCTAAGAAAGAGATGGATTGTGTAAGGTGACATGATCCAGAAGGAAGTGACTGAGATTACAGATGATAGTATCTGGAGGATGAGAACTTGTCACCCGACCCTACAGGATAAGGGGTGAAAATACAGATCCATACTGTAGCTTTTTCCCTGTGAAATTTTTAAAATCGGTACAATAGTAGTTTACATACAAAAATACAAATGTTTACTCTTTATAATATTAGTAAAGATTGAGGTAATAAACATGGGTTATCATGCTAATATTATAAATGTGAAAAGTTACGTTGGATGGGTGGATATTTGTTAATATCTGTAGTCTAAACTATTGAACGGATCTCCATGAAATTTGGCACAGGTCTAAAGCATAGTCTGGAAGAACACATAGGCTACTTTTTATCCCGGTAATAGTTACAGTTCCTGAGATACATAGCTTTTTGTTGTTTATATAATTCATATGTTTTCTAATACCATGCGGACGAAGTCGCAAGCAACAGCTAGTATTCTATATAAATTATTTGCTACAAGATGGATTTAATGAGCAAATATAAGGATTCAGTACTTAATGATAAATGTGTCCCTTATCAAAATATCCGTGATGTGTCTCCATAATTATTTCCAAAAACTGAGGGTAATATAATAAAAACGAAAGCTGACTTCAAGAGAAAAATTTCCTACTTTTAGTACACTTTATTAAAGATATCTAACTAAGATTAAAATATTTTATGATTGTCTTACTAATATTTGAAATCTTAAAGTAAACGGATCTTGGTGGAATTTTACATAGCTGTAGAAAAATTCTGAAAGAATACATAGGGTGTTTATGATGTTTTTTATCTCGCGCAGAGTTGCGGGCGACAGTTAGTCCATAAAAATAGCTTTCAGAACGCACTACTAATCTTGTATAACAATCACAGAAACCAGTAAAATAGTTGGTAGAAATGTTATTTTTAAGAAAAATAAACATTCTTTGAAAACAACTGTTAACACCTACGTATTCATAATCAATATTTACAGCAATAGACAATAGATAAACACAGACACATTTTAACTTTTTTTTATTTATTTTACTTACGTGTTCTTTATATCCTTGGCTGATATTACGTCGTTCTTCGGATCTAAAAACAATTTAGCACCTTGATGGATATATTTCCATCTGGAAAGAACGTCCTTCTTCTGGGGATCTTGTAAACAGAAGTATATTTTTCCATTCAAATTTGGCACAACTACTTCTAAACGAGTATCAGCTTCGCTCGTTTCGACGTTTTTTATTTCATAATTAGGATATAATTCACCACAATCACTGCCCACGGAAGCTGCACCAGGAGTTAATCTCCAAGAATAATGACCAAGGAATTGCACTCCGCGCACATGCAATAAATAATTACAGATCGAGTCTACGCATTGTTTACTCTCCACTTCTAAATTAACTATCCATGGATTTCCTACACTTGGCTCCTCACTGTACACTTTTAAAATTAAATAAAACAATAAGCCACAAGTCCGCAGCACTTTAGACACTGGTGCCATTTTTTAAACGATGCTGAGAATAAACGAATAAACGAAACCGCAACGTATATTTACTTATATATCGACATGTTTCTTCCGATTGACAGTTCGGCGGCAATTGTTGCCGGAACGATGGTTCTATGGTAGGTTAAGAATAAATAAATGCTGTCACATCCGGTAGCAAATTAAAATAAAGACCAAAAGGAGCAAATTAGATTCCAGTAGGTTACGCTAATTAAACTAAATACATTCTCTTACCCTATTGGTGTTTAACGAATTGAGATATGAAATATAAAGAAATCTAAAACATAAAATAAATATCTCACCTGTCATTTTTCCTACTAAGACAGCTGTTTTTTGACAGCTTCCTTCACATAATTAATCTGTGCATGACGGGCGTACGTCTTTTTCATCTGTGCAAATAAGAAAGAAAAGTCAAAAAACTGTGTGTTGGCTCAATTTAGGCAAATATTCATAATTATCACGTAATTATACATTATAATGAGACCTACATCAAACAAAGAGTCATGAAATTAGTTGAAATATATAAATAAATCTAGGCAATATAGTTAAACCGTGAAGTTTCTTTGTCAAATGTCATTATTGGATCGCCATGAGATTTAGCTTGAAATAGTTTAAAATTTTGTATGGATATTTTGGAAATGGAGGTGAGGGAGGCGGGAGATGGGGCTGCGGCTGGAGAGTTCGAACAGGTGCCTTCGAAACGATACAGCTGGGCAGAAGTCCGTCAGGCCGTCCATGATCTGAGAAAAGAGTTATCTTCATTGTCAACCATGGTACCTATGGCAATATCCTTTCGGAAATTAAGCAATGGTAAAACAAGAGTGTATTTTTTGCGAACCCCTCTCAACGGCTGGGAAATTACACTACTCTATACTGATATCACCCATTCTTCACAACCTAATAACACCAGGTTAGTATTTGCAATTTTTTCGCTCTTAAATACCGGCTCAAGTTTTTTTTTAATGACTAAAGTTTAGAGTATATTCTGCCAGTTTCATTTTCAATCCAAATTATGTAATTTTATTTGATTTATAACAATTTAAATTTATCACTTCTATATCTTATCTAGTAATATTGATTATTTCCATTATTCAACTTAAGTGATTTATTCATTCATCATATAATAATTGGGGCAGATATTTGCTTATTAAAATCAGTTGTTTGTACTATAGGCACATATATAAACATTACCTTGTTTTCAGTTGTCTAATCATATTAATATTATAAACAGAAGTTTACATGAAATTAAAATAGTCTTGGGTAGTACACATACAATGTACTAAAATGTAATGTTACTCAGCACTGTAGTAAAAGTAATGTTACCGAACGGCTTCTGTTAATCGGACATTTAGTACTTTTAGTACACTGCATGATATCGGTGTTCGCTTCTTCGTTGTTTGATTCGATTGAATATTTGCTAGAGTAAAGCATACACTTTCGGTAATAAAAAGTGGATAAAACTATAAAAAAAAAAAAAACTATACTAGTACGGTGCACACTTACAGATGTCCGATTATGCCCAAGACTAGTTTAAAAGAGTTTGATAAAAATCAGCACAGAATATAATCTGGAAGGAATGCATAGACTAATTTTTTTTTAATTAATTCCAGAAGTCACAGACTAGTTACCACAGTAGAGCCACAGTTAGAAACAAATTCTAAATATTTATGTATTCATGTGACTTAGCAACAGTTTTGTTTAACAATTAATCTATCTTTAATTAATATTAATCTGTTTTCAATCGGTTTATTGGTATTTAATCTTCTGATAAAACTATTATAGTAATTATGGTTTTTGGGTCAATGGAACAATGAATATTACAAGCATTACCGATGACATAGAATCTTAAAATTGTCCTTTGAAATATATTTTATCTATGGGGACTGGAAATAAATGATCCTTTGTCACTTCCACATACATCAGCTATCTTCAAGTAAAAGTTCCGTTAAAATTGGTTGACCCATTTTAGAGATTACAAGGAACAAACATGGATTTTCAGACAGGCAAAACTTAAAAAATTGATTTTTCATTTTAAAAAGGCAAACTCACAATGCATAGAAATTGCATAATACAAAGACTGATCATTTTTGTTCAATTTAACTTAAATGTAGTCTTGGTGAACTCATAGGTTACTTTTTTTTTTAAATTCTGATTGGATGGAGTTGTGGGGACAGCCAGTAGTTTATTTATCTATTTTCGCCTGTGACTCCCTCTATGTGTAATTAAAAAAAAAAGCAAGTAGCCTCTGTGTTCATGCAGACTATCTTCTACATCTATGCCAAATATCATAGAGATCTATTCAGCAGTTTAGACTACAAATTCTACCAAACATCCATCCAAATTTTCCCATTTATAATATTACTAGCTGTTGCTAGTTTCGACCATGTGAAAATAAAAAATATAGCTTATGTTACTCACAGATAAATTACCTTTCTAGCGGTGAATGGATTTTCTAAATTAGCCCATTAGTTTTTGAGTCATTTCAATACACAAAAATGTAAATCTTCCACTTTACAATACTAGTAAAGATTGACATTAAATAATGTGATATAAAAAGGTTTTTTTAATGTTTTCAGGTTAGATTGGAAGCCACTGATCGAGTCTAACATAGCTCTTGGCGTTAGTTCTGGCAAATGGTCACGGGAAGAACAATTATTGTGGGAGAGACAGCGTGTCGCAGCTTGGGGTATTGCATCGTATGAGTTACATCAGCCATCCGGTCGCGTCCTCTTTCCGTGTGCATCTTCACTGTTTGTAGCTGAAGAAGGAACTAATCAGGTTAGTGACTGGGGGGGGAATCACCGAAATTGTTTCCTGATTTTTTTTTTAATAATATAAGGTGGCAAGCGAGCAAGTGGCCACCAGAATCCACCGAAATGGAAAGCGACCGCCATAAACATCCCAGTTGCAGATGCGTCGCCTACCCTTAATTGACAGAGGAGGAGACGCACATAAAGAGGACATATTCCCTTCCTATTCGTCTTCTCCATTGTCAAATCCACTTTTCCTTTCCATCCTTACCTCTTAAGAAAAGGGTGGAAAGGGAAACGGGCTAAAAATTACGGCTCCGGCGACACACTCATCAGACTGTAGGCGGAATTGCTCCTACTTCATGCCTGTTTTCTGTGTGGTCATGGTATTACACCGAGTGAGCCAGCCCATTCGTGCCAAGATGTTAAAGCGAGCTCTACTGTTAAATTAAGGTGTCCATTTAAGATAGATTATGGTGTCTGTTGTGGAGGCTTTTTATCATTCTCAAAGTGATCATGAAGGGCTTGTTTGGAGCAAAATATCTATATCTGTACTATTATTATAGCTGTTGCCCGCGACGTCGTCCGCGTGAAGTTTGAAAGTTCAAAACTTACGTTCGCCCCTTTTTCAACCTATTACAACCTAAAGTATTACCTTGGTAATCCCTATCACTTTAAGCAGCGTAAGTGGAGAAAAGTTAAAACATTCTGATTTTTTAACTCCGTGGTCCAGAAATATGTTGTTTATTAATAGTAGCTAGTACGTGTAATAAAATTGGAGTGTCTGTTTGTAATGTCAAAAGAAAAATTCCATATTTCATTTAAATATAATACACTAGCTGTTGCTCGCGACTTCGCCCGCGTGAAATTAAAATATATAGCCTATGTTACTCACAGATAAATTACCTTTCTGATGGTGAAAGAATTTTTAAAATCGGCCCATTAGTTTTTGAGTTATTTCAATACATACAAAAATACAAAAATACAAAAATACAAAAATACAAAGTTTTCCTCTTTATAATATTAGTATAGATAAAGCATAAACACACACTTCTTTGTTTGTAAAGTTGAGTTTTGGGAATACTATTGTTGAAATATTGCCGAGAACTGTAAACATAATTTGAAAAAAAAAATTAAGAAAAAGTTTGAAGCACTTTAAGGTGAGGCACTTAAGATAATTTAGAAAAATCAATTAAAAAATGTTTGTTGAGTTCAACAATATGTATTGATCATACTAATATTATAAATGTGAAAGTTTAGATGGATGTTTGTTAGAGTTTGTAGCCTAGACTGCTGAACGGATTTCGATGAAATTTGGTGTAGATGTAAAGAATAGTCTGGAAGAACACATAGGCTACTTTTTATCCCGGGAATAGTTACAGTTCCCATGGGATCCTTTAATTTAGTTTTTTAGTGTTTACTCTATCAAATTGTAACGGTTCAACATATCTTATTGAAATTTGGCAAAGATATAAAACAAAGTCTGAAGTATACATGGGATAAGATTCATCCCCGAGAAATGTCCGGTTCCCGAGGGATATAATACCACGCGGTCGAAGTCGCAGGCAACAGCTAGTATTTTATAATTAGTTTAACAAATTTTATATTTCTTAACAATTTGGTATCAATTATTCCAGTCACCACCACTAGTCCCCCGCTCTCTGAGCACCGGCGGGGGCGCAGCCCTCACTCCTGCGATGTGTCCCCGCGCGCCCTCGCTGGTGGCGCACGCCGCGCGCGGCGACATCTGGCTGGCGGGGGGAGGCCTACAGCGGCCGACGCGACTTACTTACGCTTGTAAAGGACATGAACCTGATAGGTGAGTTGCATTACATAGAGAGAAATAATTACCTTTACACCTTACTCGCTAAAATTCGTTTAATGCATAAGGATTTTGTAAAGTTGCATTTAAATCTATACTATTATAATAAAGCATAAACACACATTTCTTTGTTGCCTAAGATGTCAGCAATTACAGCATATTTTTGAATAACTCTTTTTATAATAAAAAGCCCTATAATTAGGTCACGATTTAGACTGTATGTTTTCACGCTATTAAACTTAGGGGGTAAATATTTTGGATATAAACCCTAATGTGGGAAAGAGACCATAAGTTGTTGCCAACATCAAGGAAACAAGATTGCTATAGTAAGGTAATTGGTATTTTGACATTTGCAATTGAGAAATTGATAAATGTAATAAATTAAAGTTTTAATAATTTAATGCGGATGAAGCCCTTTTCTATATAAAGGTTTTTACCCAATTTATTTACCCCCTAAGTTTAATAGCGTGAAATAGCGTAAAACGTGACGTAAGTGTAAGGCTTTTTATTAAAGAAAGAATTATAAAAAAATATTCTGTGATTGCTGACATCTTACGTCACAAAGTAGTGTGTTTACGCTTTATTATATTAGTATAGATTTCAAACAGGTGACGTCACAAACAGCTAGATAGAGATATTTCTTGTATTTTAGATGTTTAGCCGATGACCCGAAGCAAGCTGGTGTCCCGTGTTACGTCACTCAGGAGGAGTTCTCCCGCTACACCGGCTTCTGGTGGCAGCCCAAATGTGATGGTGAGCCTCATAATTATATACAACATGAATACTGCAAGATGTTAGATTTTTTTTTATTTCTCTTTTAACAATACAAAAAGAATTAAGTCTAGCTTAATTTAAAAAAAAACGCTAAATAAACCTCAATGAATGAGAGATCTGAATGTACACCGGTAGAGGAAGAGAAAGAGATGGATTGTGTGAAAACAGTGGTAGAGCCCGCTTTAACATCTTCGCACTGTAAGGCTCGCCAGTAATACCACGACCATACAGACAGACGTGAAGTGAAAGCAATTCCGCGTACAGTCTGATAAGTGTGGTGCCGGAGGCCTAATTTTAATCCCTTTCCCTTCCCAACCTTTTCTTAAGAGGAAAGGATGAGAGGGTAAAATGGATTTGACGGTGGAGATGCATAGGAAGGAAGGAGGTCTCCTCCGTCAATGAAGGGTATGCAACGCATCTGCAATTGCGGATGTTTATGGGCAGCGGTCGCTTCGCCATTTCTGTGGATTCAGGTGGCCCCTTACTCGTTTGCCTCTTTTTGTTAAAAAAAATGAAAAGTGACATGATGAAGGGAGTGACTGATGACGTATGATAGAGTTATTTGGAGGACGAAAACCTCGTGCGCTCTACGGAAGTAGGATAAAGTAGGGGAGATGATATACATATAAATATTGAAGCTTTTGAAGTAAAAAAAAATATTTACAAATAGCCATCTCTTAGTTAAAATAAGTATTCGATTAAAAAGTGAAATATCGAACAATTAAGAAACAATGAAAGAAATCTTTCAGAATGTCCTACGCATTTTCCAACCAGTGGTTAAGCAAGGGCGGATCCAGCTTTGGCGACCGGGGGGGGGGGGGNNNTCAAGTCTTTTGACCAACTAGCTCAGGGGGGGGATCATTACCGCCATGACACCCCCTGGATTCGCCGTTGTGGTTGAAAGATAAACAATTTTTTTTAACATATTAAGTTTGAGATTAGCGCCATCTATCGCGCAGTATGCGAAAAGAAAATATTCACAGTCTTGTGTGAATAAATGTATTTCTTTGCAGATGATGTGTTCAGGATAGTTTATGAAGAAGTTGATGAGAGTGAGGTGAAGATATTCAGTTTCCCTTCATCACAAAGTGTCAGCGGTGAAGTCGAAGAGTTCAGGTATGTTATAATTGATTTAATTTTTATTATTAAAGTAACGAAACAACCAACAATCGCACAACGGTTGTGCGATTGTTTCGCAGCCCAACTGTTCAGTTGCACAACTAAAAATGGAGTATAATGTTTGTAAGATACGGGTTTCTTACCACGATTGAATTGTTTATTTCCTTATATTTCGGCACATTTGCATGCGCCCTGTTCACGTGCTTACTGAAATGATGCGGTAGTCTGAAAAAAACCAATTCAATCGTGGTAAGAAACCCGTATCTAACGAATATTATATTTGTAAAAACCATGCAAGTTTAAAGTTATATAAAAATGGAGTAGTGTACCTCCATATAAGTCTATAAGGAAAGCAAGACTAAGTTGTGCGATAGTTTAGTCAAAGGCACGCACGATCTTAAAAGACGCTTGAAACACAATAATTATGTCTATTTTAAAAATTTAGATCCATTCAGGCTTTGGACGGATCTGTGTAATATATATTTTTTTATATAGAAAGAATTCTTCAAGAATATGCTGTGATTGCTAACATCCTAAGACACAAAGTAGTGTGTGTTTACGCTTTGTGTTCAAAAATTATATGATCTTAATGTATATAACATCATTTTGTATAAATTTAAAGTAGTGTCGCCTATTTTCAATTACCACGAAAGATTAGCACGTGTGGTTTTTCTATACTATTATAAGAAAGCGTAAACACACTTCTTTGTTGCCTAAGATGTCAGCAATTACAACATATTTTTGAATAATTCTTTTTTTAATTAAAATCCCTACACTTACGTCACGCTTTAGGCTATATTTCACGCTATTAAACTTAGGGGGTAAATATTTTGGATAAAAACCCTAATGTGGGAAAGAGACCATAAGTTGCTGCCAACATCAAGGAAACAAGATTACCAAGGTTTGTCATGTCATGTCATTTTGACATTTGCTATTGATAATTTGACAAATGTAAACAATGAAATAAAATTTTCATTATTTCATGCGGATGAAGCCGCACGGGAACAGCTAGTAAATAAATAAATTAAAAAAATAATAATTCTCTAACGCAATTAATTTTTCCCATCCCCAGATTCCCTCGAGCTGGTACTCCGAACGCCAAGTCTACTCTCAAACTGGTGACCTTCAGGCTGCAGAAGACGACTCCTACCACCGTCCTAGATTACTACCAAGAGGGCGCTGCTGAGGCACACTGTATGTATTAGGTAGAATATGTTCATAACAAATCTGGATTTGAACCTAGGACCTGTAGAATATAAGTTAAGTCTTAAAACCCCTGAGTCACCGACCTTCAACGTAAGCAACCCAATTGCGAATTTTTGGACTGCGGTCACTTCGCTATTTTAGCGAATTCAGGTGGCTGCTCCGTTTCCCAGCTTATACTGTCGGTTGGATAGCTTCTCTAAAACATTATTAACAACACAAGTTGTTGCTCGCGACTTCGCCCTCGTGAAATTTATAAAAGCAGTAAAAAGAGTTACTCGGTGATAACGTAGCTTTTTAATGGTACAAGAATTTTTGAATTAGGTCCCGTAGTTTTTGAGATATTACAATACAAACAAAAATACAAATCTTTCCTTTTTATATTAGTACTAGCTGTTCCCGTGCGGCTTCATTCGCATGAAATTGTGAACTTTTTATTTTATAGTTTACATTTGTCAAATTATCAATTATAAATGTCAAAATGACATGACATTACGACAACCTTGCTTCCTTGATGTTGGCAGCAACTTATAGTCTCTTTCGCACATTAGGGATTTTATCCAAAATATTTAGCCCCTAAGTTAAATGGCGTGAAAAAATATAGCCTAAAGTATGACGTAAATTTAGGGCTTTTTATTAAAAAAAGAATTATTTAAAAATATGGTGTAATTGCTGACATCTTAGGCAACAAAGAAGTGTGTGTTTACGCTTTATTATAATAATATAGTAGCTGCGTCAGTCCATTACTGGACATACTGGACATAATAATAAAAACAATATTTTTACAGCATCAGCAGAAGTTAGTGATTGTATGGAGGCAACTGATATCCGATGGTACGAGATGCGACAGCCGCTAAAGGAGGTCTTCCCCTGGTTTGAATACCTCGCCAGGGTCGGCTGGACGCCGTGCGGGAACTTGTGAGTAGACCAGTATAAACAAAGTAGACCGAAAGACCAGTAGACTAAGATGTAAATTAATTGATTTAAACTTTGTTGGTGAGTAAAGCTAAAACTTGCATTAAATATGTTCTAGTGATTCGAAATATTAGTAGACTAGTAGACGGATAGACCAGTAGACCAAGATATAACAAGATCTTTGTATTGCTGCAAAAAACTAATATACTAATATTATAAAGAGGAAAGATTTGTATTTTTGTATGTATTGAAATAACTCAAAAACTCAAAACCGATTTTAAAAATTCTTTCACTAATACATCCTTATATTATCACTGAGTAATATAGGCTACATTTATTGCAGAATATTTTTTGCGCAGACGAAGACGCGAGCAACAACTAGTACCTTATAAACAAATCATTACTCTTTGAACTTTTAGTAACGCCATCTATTACAACTGACAGTAATAATACATCGAAAACACAAATCCGAATTGATAACAGCGCCATCTATCTACAAACGTTACTAATTTTTTGAATCTGAATTAATAACAGCGCCATCTATCGTAACTTACATTGAAACCTGATTCCGCAGCGTGTGGGTCCAACTTTTGGACAGAGAGCAGCAGCGGTTGGAGCTGGTGCTGATACCTTTGAGTGAGTTCAGCTCGCCCACAGGATATGAAGGTGCGGATGTGACGCCCACAACTGCATATAGCGATGAGTGTAGAAGAGAGGTGAGTAATATATGTTTTTTACTAATATAAATGCGATTTAGATGGTTTGCTAGAGTTTGTAGCCTAAACTGCTGAATAGATCTCGAAATTAGGCATAGGTGTAGAAAATAGTCTGGTAAAACACAAAGGCTGCTGCTTTTTTTTAATTCCACACGGACAGAGTCGCGGGCGAAAGCTAGTACTTATACTTATATTGTAATGAGGAAAGATTTGTTTATTTCTAGGGATATACTCAAAAACTACTGAACGGATATAGAACTTCTTTCATCCATGATAAAGCTATGTTATTACTGAGTGACATCTTACCAATATAAAAATTTGGATGGATGGATGTTTGTTAAAGCTTGTATAAACTACTGAACGAATCTCGATGAAATTTGGCATAGATGTAGAGGATATTGTAGCACACGCGTGGTACTTACTTGTGTTTTTATTTTAATCTCACACGGACGGAATCGCGGACAAAAACTAGTAGACTGGATTAATTACTAGATTTTTTAAATCCCACGCGAGACGAGAACAAGCAAGTAATGTAAATGAAAGAAATAGGGTTATAGTGTCTTAAAACTTAACTAGATGGCGTTATTTTAATTTTTTTTGATATTAACATAAAACTACTTGTATAAAAACAATAGCTAGTTTCTTCCATAGAGTCTAAAAGTGACAGTTCTATAGATTTTTTTTTTAATTCCAGCAACAAATCCAAGTTTTAATATCGGAGACAGCACCTGATGCGTGGATTAACGTCCATGATATCCTCTACTTCTTACCTCGAGTCGCAGTCGATGAGGTCAGCTTCATCTGGGCATCCGAAGAGACGGGATACCTTCATCTCTACCTGGTCACCTGCAAACTGCAACTAAACAACACTCAAAGGACACGGTGTAAGTAGGGCAGTCGCTGGAACACTGGAATGTTACTGACATGTATTGTTTGATATTTGATTTCTAGTGTTATATGGTCATTGATATTTTACTGGCCTATATATGTGCCAGTAACTGGCATGACAATGAAATTTTTGTTTTACTGGCTTGTGTACCTTTAGTATAGCATGACTATGAAAATAGATTAATGAAAGCACTAGAAATGACATCACAAGTGTAGAATTTTCGCATTCGAAAATAATATTTAGCATATAACACTTCTAAGATCGATCTAAAGTTTTGGATGTATGGATGTTTAATTTTTATCTCCAAAGCGGCGTGTCTGAATGAAATTTGGATTTTTTTTTATTATATATCTTAAGATGTAAGATTTGTTTTAAAAAATCAATTAAAAAACAAGTTACTTTCATTGGTTTTCAACGCGATTTTTCTTCCCCTTCAAATACTTAAAATCATGTGTGTGACAGGTTTTGTATCACATTTCAGCGGTGATAGAAATGATAACGGATGATGAGTCCAACGCTGTGGGTCCTAACATCATCAGCAAAGAGGCCATCACCAGCGGAGAGTGGGAGGTGATGGACAGAAAAATATGGGTGAGTACCTTCTTTACTCAACTTATAGGGTAATTTTTCCCATTTATGTATCTTTGTTTTATTTGTGACTAGCTGTTGCTTGCGACTTCATCCGCCTAGTGTTAAAAAAGGAGTAAAAATATGACCTATGTTACTTACTGAAAACGTAGCTTTTTAACGGTGTAAGAATTTTTGAAATTGTCCCAGTAGTTTTTGAGTTATTTCAATATATACAAAAATACAAATCTTTCCTCTTTCTATACTAATATTATAAAGAGGAAAGATTTGTATTTTTGTATATATTGAAACTCAAAAACTACTGGGTAAATTTTAAAAATTCTTTCACCGTTCGATAGGTAATTTATCTGTGAGTAACATGTTACTCTTACTAATATCATAAATGTGAAAGTTTAGATGGATGGATGTTTGTTAGAGTTTGTAGCTTAAACGGCTGAACGAATTCCCATGAAATTTAGTATAGATGTAGAGGATAGTCTGGAAGAACACATAGAGTACTTTTGTTTTATTTTTATTTTCACGTGGATGAGTCGCAAGTTACAGATAGTGTAATATAAAGAAGTATCAATATTTTACTATTTGGGACTCTAAGGAGGAGGGGTAGCTACCCCCTCTGGCAACGCCCTTACATATTTTTATAACTCCAGGTAGATGAAGGCCGGCAATTAGTATACTTCGTGGGGCTGAAAGAGACGCCCTTAGAGCGACATCTGTACGTGGCCCCGCTGCGCCCCGCGGCCCCGCTCACCCTGCTCACCGCCCCCGGACACTCGCACACCGTGGATATTGATGACGTGAGTATTCTTACTATTGGAATTTACTAAAATAAAACAGAATAGATTTAACAACGTTTACAATGTTAGTAAGATTGATGTTATCCGCATGAAATTATGAAAATTTTATTTCATTGTTTACATTTGTCAAATTATCAATAGCAAATGTCAAAATGACATGACATGACAAACCTTAGCAATCTTGCTTTCTTGATGTTGGCAGCAACTTATGGTCTCTTTCCCACATTAGAGTTTTTATCCAAAATATTTACCCCCTTACGTTTAATAGCGTGAAAATATATAGCCTAAAGCGTGATGTAAGTGCAGGGCTTTTTATTAAAGAAAGAATAATTCAAAAATTTGCTGTACTTGCTGACATCTTAGGCAACAAAGAAGTGTGTGTTTTCGCTTTATTATAATAGTATAGATTGTGAACACAGTATTTTTAAAGATTAAAAAAAAAATAAGAACCTCTTTATTGCCATCTAAGAATACACAGAGTTGTACATAATAAAAAACATACATGAAAAAATTATAACAGATGGCAAAAGGGGGAGGCTCAGCTTAACCGATACAGGTTGAGATCCAGTGTCGAGCTGGTTTTCAGCCACCCCCCTTCCCAAGATTATTTATTTTATTTTTATTTATTGAAAACATTACATGACACAAATTAAAAAAACTATGCACAAATATGGCCCCGCAAAAACCATATAATTGGTTTGTCCACGGCTGCGCTGGTTTTTTTTTTTTTTTGTGTAGAATTACATAAAATACATACATATATAAATAAAATATTATATATACTGTATATAAATAAAATATTCTGTTCAAGGGCTATTATCAAAAAGATGGCTTTCCAAATGTTTAACAAATAGTTTAAATTTTGAATTTTGATTTGATGTAAAAGGGAGCGTAGATAGTCGGAGGTCGCTGTAAACTAGTGATTAAATGTTATTTTTTTAGCTGTAAATGCTTTATTTTTGGATGTTTTTTGCAGGATTGTACAACAGCTGTTATAACGACGTCGAATATCAGCAGCGTGCCGAGCACGCGCGTGTACCGCGTACTGCACGCGGAGCGCACGCAGCTGCTGGTGCAGGGCACGCTCATGGAGAGGGCAGGCTGCGGTCAGTGCAACATACATACATACATACATACATACATACATACATACATACATACATACATACATACATACATACATACATACATACATACATACATACATTTATAATATAAGGTGGCAAACGAGCAAGCGGCCATCTGAATCCACCGAAATGGAAAGTGACCGCTGCCCATAGACATCCCCAATAGGAAATATGCATGTATTTTTTTCTTTTTTTAAACAATTCTACTTTTTATAAAATAACCAGAATAAAAATTGACGCGAAAATATTGAACCATTGAGCTAAAAATAATAAAATAAAATTACGACCATTTTCGAGCGACTAAAACACGACCGGAGTTGACATGAGACGATTGACGTCAAACGTCTTATTCCATTCATAACATACGCTCAGATGTCACTTCGATGTAAAACACAACAAAGTTTCTCAAGGTCAAAAAGTCAAAAATCGATTCATTTTTATTATTCCTGATACAAACAAGTGGTAATTAATAATTCTATTCATTATTTTTTTATTTTAAAGTTGGTTTTGATATCGTGTTTACAGTAAAATACTTCAAGACTGTATTTCTATATAAACTAACGTAAATGAACTGTGTATTGTCAACGCAGCGACGCCATATTAGATAAGCCACTTGCTTCGACCAATAGTGTGCGTTTTAGAACTTAGCGAGGGAATTTGAAAAAACACACTCTTTAATGATTAAATTTCGCCACTAAATCACATTATATTTAAAAAAATCTTTGCAGGAATTTTTTATAGTAATAAAGAATACTTAAAAAAAGTTTGGTACAATTTGGCGTTATATGCATATTGCCTATTGCAGATGCGTTGCCTACCCTTCATTGACGGAGGAGATGCACATCAAGAGGACATTTCCCCTTCCTATGCGTGTCCTACACCGTCAAATCCACTTTTCCTTCCCATCCTTGCCTCTTAAGAAAAAGGGTGGAAAGAGAAAGGGATTAAATTAGGCCTACGGCACCACACTCATCAGAGTGTACGCGGAATTGCTTCCACTTCACACGTGTCTGTGTGGTCGTGGTATTACTGGCGAGCCGTACAGTGCGAAGATGTTAAAACGGGCTCTACCACTGTTATATACATGCATAATACATATATACCCACGAGCTGTTGCCCGCGACTGCGTCCGCATGGTATTAGAAAACATACGAAGTATATAAATTACAAAAAGCTACGTATCCCTCGGGAACCGGGCATTTCTCGGGGATAAAGCTTATCCCATGTGTACTCCAGACTTTGTTTTATATCTGAGCCAAATTTCAATAAGATATGTTGAACCGTTGCAGAATGATCGAGTAAACATTAAAAAACTAAATTAATGAATCCCACGGGAACCGTAACTATTCCCGGTATAAAAAGTATCCTATTTGTTCTTCCAGACTATGCTCTAAACCTGTGCCAAATTTCATGAAGATCCGTTCAGCCGTTTAGGCTATAAACTCTAACAAACATCCATCCATCTAAACTTTCGCATTTATAATATTAGTAAGATTAATCTGTCAGTACATCGTTCTGTCAGTGTTAGCATATACATTCATACATCGATACCTTTGTACGTAAATCCGTCTAGGTAAACTTTACATCCATACAACAATCGAGGTATGGAGTGCGGGGAGGTGCTAAATAACGAACACGTCTGATTTGGATAACGCACTGCTTTAATCTTACTGCTTACTAATATTATAAATGCGAAAGTTTAGATGGATGGATGTTTGTTAGCGTTTGTAGCCTAAACCGCTGTACTGGAGATCCTCCATGAAATTAGGCACAGGTTTAGAGCATAGTCTGGAAGAACACATAGGCTACTTTTTATCCCGGGAATAGTTACGGTTCCCGTGGGATTCATTAATTTAGTTTTTTAATGTTTACTCGATCATTCTGCAACGGTTCAACATATCTTATTGAAATTTGGCACATACATAACAAAGTCTGGAGTACACATGGGATAAGCTTCATCCCCGAGGTGTCCGGTTCCCGAGGGATACGTAGCTATTTGTAATTTATATAGTCCGTATGTTTTCTAATACCACGCGGACGAAGTCGCGACAGCTCGTGTAACTTAAAACTAACACTAACTTACATACTTAAAGAAATATGACGTTCCCCTACCTCACATCTATCGATTCATCAACCCATCGGTACATCCATCCATCGACATCTACAATTTTGACAATAGTAAACATTGAATTATTATTTTTTGTACATGTTAATATTTTGATTATTTTGAAGGTTTTATTTCTGTTTTTTAGAGTCATCATCAGACAGCCGCAACTTCAACGGCACTTGGGACAGTCGAGGTGATGGTGATGAAGACGGTGATAGTACATTATTAATTAGAGGTTTATATTATTTTTATATGTAAAATAAGCGACCAGTAGGTACACTTAAACCCTATGGGTTTTTGTACTGCTTCAAATGTTAGCGTATTTTGTTTGTGTACAAAAAAACTCATTTATACTGGCTTTCGTCCGCGACTGCGTTTGCGTGGAATAAAAAATGAGTAGTCTATGTGTTCTTCCAGACTATGCTCTACGTTTATACCAAATTTCATCAAAATCCGTTCAGCAGTTTAGGCTACAAACTCTGACAAACATCCATCTAAACTTTCTTCTAATAAAGAGGGAACACGAATAGATGATATACGAAATGAGTATATTAGAGGAAGTTTGAGAGTAGCCTAAGTGGTAGAAGGTTAGCATGGGGGCATGTTAGAGGAGGGATGAATCATGGAACAAGGAGAAAGTTAGTTTTGAGTTAGTGGTAGAGCCCGCTTTAACATCTTTGCACTGTAGGGCTTTTTCCGCGTACAGTCTGATTAGTGTGGTACAGAAGGCCTATTTTAGTTTACTTTCCACCCTTTTCTTAAGGGGAAAGGATGGCAAGGAAAAGTGGATTTAATGGTGGAGATGTATAGGAAGGGGAAATGTCCTCTTTATGTACGTCTCCTCCTCCGTCAATGAAGGGTAGGATGTTTTTAGGCAGCGGTCGCTTTCCATTTCGGATTCAGGTGGCCGCTTGTTCATTTGCCACATGTAGAGGTACACCGGTAGAGGTAAACATAGAAAGAGATGGATGGTGTGAAAGGTGACATGATCAAAGAGTGACAGAGATGACGTCTGATAGTTATGTGGAGGACAAAAACCTGTTGGCTACAGGAGTGGGATAAAGAGAAAGATGTTTCGATACAGAGCGCAGTCTGAGTGCGATAAACGTGCCGCCGCCGGAGATACTGGAGACGCGGCTGTCGTGCGGCGCGCCGGCGTACTGCACGCTGTGGCGCTGCGCACGCGCCGGCCGCAGCCCCACCGTACTGCACGTGTATGGCGGCCCTGAAGTACAGACCGTCACTAACAGCTATAAGGTAACAACTTAACAATTTGCTTAAATATGTATAAACGAGCTTTCGCCCGCGACTCCGTCCACGTGGAATTAAAAAAAACAGAAGTGAGTAGCCTATGTGTTCTTCTAGACTATCCTCTACGTCTATGCCAAATTTCATCGAGATCCGTTCAGCCGTTTAAGCTGCAAACTATAACAAACATCCATCTATCCATCCATCCATCCAACCATCCATCCATCTTTTTTTTTCCAGATCTTAGATCCAGATTTTAGTTTGATTTGAACATAAAATATGTAAAAAACAGTATATTTTGTATTCAAATCTATACAGGGTATCCGTCAACTACGTATGCATATGTTAGCGGCTCGTGGCTTCAACGTGGTGTCAGTTGACTCGCGCGGCTCCAAGCACCGCGGCCGCGCCTGGGAGGCGGCCATACGCGGCAAGATGGGACAAGTCGAGTTAGACGACCAGGTAACGCCAGGGGAGGGGATGTCCCCTGTGTCCTTAACTTGCAAATTAACTATACTATCATTCCTTGTTTAAAATTGAGGTTTGTTATGTTTTTATACGGGTTTTAATGGTATTGGTCCTTTAAGCAGGATTTTTTAGTGTAAATGTAAAAAAAAATAATCAGTGTGCATAGGGACAAATATCCACTTTTTTGCATCCCTTCTCTGTTTATTAAGCCTACCTGTTTTTCGCTATTTTCGCGAATTCAGATAGCCGCTTACTCGTTTGCTACACTATGATAAGAAACAAACCGTTTGTAAGAATAGAAAATAATGTCTAATTTTGAATTCTTCAGTTTAATTGGATTTATTTTGGTCCTTGAAGTCGGATATTTTTGAATTTTTGAAAATAAATATATTTAAATATTGTAGACGTTATTTTTACTATAGGTCGAGGTGCTCCAGTGGCTGGCGAAGGAGACCGGCTGTATAGACATGGAAAGGGTCGCCATACACGGATGGAGTTACGGTAAGAAATTAGTTATTGGTTTTTCTATACAAATAAGCTTATATTTATGTAGTAATACAATACGTTAGTTATTATAAGATGATATATAAAAATTAAAAAAAAGCGAAGCTACCGTTATAAAAACACATTCTCAAGTAAAGCATGTGAAGGGAAAGTTTAACATTGGAAAGGACACGAAGGGAAGGGAAATATAGTCTTTTTGTTCTACTTTTCTATCGATTAAGGGTAGGGTTCGGAAATGCAAGTTCGGGTGTCTATGGGCAACGGTTGCTTCGCTATATCGGCGAACGGCGACGTAAAGTAATACTAAGTGGTATTTTCACTTGTGTTTCTTGTAATAGATGTTGTCTACGAGTGTTAAAGCAAGTTTGTTGTTATAGGTGGCTACCTCTCGCTGTTGGGTCTAGCGACTCGTCCCAACATCTTCAAGGTGTGCGTGGCCGGAGCCCCCGTCACCAGCTGGCGGCTGTACGACACCGCGTACACGGAGCGCTACATGGGGCTGCCGGCGCGCGCGCCGCACGCCTACAGCCGCGCCAGCGTGCTCGCACACGCGCCCTTCTTCCCTGAGCGGTAACACGACCCCACACACCCCTACACACCGCGCCACGCCCCTACACAACGCGACACGCCTCCACACAGCCCTACACACCGCGACACGCCCCTACACACCGCGGTACGCCCTCACACACCCCTTCACACCCCTATAAACCGCGACACGCCCCTACACACCCCTTCAACCGCGCCACACGCCTACACATTTCAAAATGTCCCTGCAGACATCTACACACTGCGGAACTTCTCTCCCCCACAGCCCATGCTTGTTTACTGCGTACTCGGACTAAAGTGATAAATCCGACTCCAAGGACCATCTAACCGATATTTTAAATTAAAAAGTTTGGATGGGTACTACGTACCTCCTAAATAGTTTAAAAGATCTGGATGCTTGTAACAGAAGTAGAACATAGTCTGAAAGAACACATAGGATACTTACTAAGTTGTTTTTTAATCCGCGCAAACGAAGTTGCTACAAAAAGTGTAGTAGAAAGATGTTATAAAAACTCCTTCATATGTTTTAATAAGCTTTACATCCTGCTCGAAGGACCATATTTAAACAGTAAATAGCTTAAGCCCGCGACGTCGTCTGCGCGGAGATAAAATAGACATTAATAAGTGAACTATGACAAAAAAATGTCGTGATCTGTTGAGTCCTTTTGGAGATACATAATAACAAACATCCATCCAATTTTCGCATATATATTGATATGTTTTGTTCCCAGCGAAGGCAGACTGCTGATCATCCACGGGCTTGCGGATGAGAATGTACACTTCTGTCATACCGCGGCATTGCTCGCTGAGCTCGTGCGACTCGGCAAGCCTCATCGTGTGCAAGTAAGAGATCTACAAAACTATCTTTTACTAAAATAACAATATTTGTCAACTAAAAAACAAGGCCGTATAAACATCGAAAAAAGGTTTAGAATTGGAAGAAAGTGGACCAATGACATTTAAACTAGCTTTTATTACTAAGTTTTTTTGAATGTCCCGAACCAAGAATATGATTCAAATAACACAGAGATTTTTGTTTAGATTTGTAATGACTAAACTCAAAAACTACGGTACCGATTTAAAAAAAAATCACTATTAGAAAGCTAAATTATAACTAAATAAATACCCAGTGTAGACAAATAAATAAAAATAAATATATAGACGCAATGAACCTTTTTCACTGATACTTTCTTTGAACAGTACTATATCAGGTGTCAAATTTAGTGCCATCTCATATTCCCACATTTTGCAAGAATTATAACAAGCTCCATCTTTTGTGATAAAATAAAACATTTCAATAACGCCTGTATAGCAATTAATTAAAATAAAATTAATTAAAAGAGCTCAAGTGACAGTGGTAGTGCCCGCTTTAACATGTTAGCACTGCAGGGCCGGCTCGCCCCCAGTAGTACCACGACCACACAGAACAGGCGTGAAATGGAAGCAATTCCGTGTACAGTCTGATGAGTGTGGTGCCGGAGGCCTAATTTAAGTCCCTTTCTCTTTACCACCATTTTCTGATGAGGGGATGGAAAGGGGAAGTGGATTTGACCATGGATGAGATGCATAGGAAGGGAAAATGTCTTCTTTATGTGCGTCTCCTCCTCCGTCGGATAAGGCAACGCATCTGCAATTGCGGATGTCTATGGGCAGTGGTCGCTTCGTCATTTTGGCGTATTCAGGTGGCTACTTGCTCGTTTGCCTCATTATGTTATAAAAAAAAAAGTGAACTGTCAACTATGTGGATCATTTTTTTTAACTATTTTGATAAAACATAAACAAGTAAATAAAATATCCAGGTGTACCCAGGGGAGAGACATTCCCTGCGCTCTATGCACGCTGCGAAACACTACGAGGCGACATTACTGCACTTCCTGCACGAGAATCTGTGAAACCTGCAATATACTGCCCATGAGTAAATTAATTTGTTAATGCTTTGTGTAGTTTTATTTTACCCTTATTTATCTCCTACCTTTCGTCCGCGATTTCGTCTGGAAAAAAAACAAAAGTAAGTACTTTATATGTTCTTCCAGACTATTCTCTCCATCTATACCAAATTACATCGAGATCCCTTCAGCCGTTTACGCTACAAACTCTAAAAAACACCATCCATACTCGCATCATACTAATATTGTAAATGCGACTCTCGTCAGAATGGCGCGCTCCAATACGCTTGAACGACATTGACAGCTGTCATAGTGACGGACGTATGTGCCGATAATCTAGTGTTGCGCCGATCCTCCAGCGCAGTGGTGATTTTTAAACGGTAATATAGTTAAAAATCCTATAAGAACTGTAATAAATTATAATTAATGTTATTTGTCTTAACATATATTTCCCATTATTTCTTTATTTTCTTTACCTCTCTCCTAATCCTGTCGGTACTCTTCCTTACATCTCTATCAGCCGATATCTCGATTTACTCTCAGCATATACTCTATAGCAATGTCGGCGTTAGTATAGGGTTCGGTTGGGCGACAGCCCAGGGTTTTTAAGAAAGCGACACAAGTGTCCAATTAACTCTCTCTTAACCCCCCCTGCTCCTTTGCTGTGGTCAAAAATAGTGCTGTAAAGCAGTAAGAAATCTAGCCCAGTGCGCAAGTAATGACTAGCACTCTTCTGCATAATGTTTTCTTCGGTCTTTTGTAGTATCCACAATCTTAGTACTTATTGTCCCTTACCCTGTAATACAGGGTGCAGGATCATGTTAAAATAGCGAAGTCTTTACACATATTTCTATTAAAATGTACAGTGCATAGAACATTAATTAGACAGGGAAGGGAACCAACATTCACTTACCCTGAAAAACTACTAACCCTATACAACTTTTTCTGAGTAAATGATGGTCCCACAAATGACAGTCGATTTCAATTTAAGCAATAAGGTAAAAATTTTCAAAGTTATAGTTAATTTAAGTATTTACCATTAACTTGAGATATCTCAGAATTTAGATATTTCCAAGTACACAGAAAATGTCAAGCTGTGTTTATGTTTTTTTTTTTTATTGATATTACTAACAATATGTGTTTAAAAAATACTATGAATTAATTAAATCCAATGAGGATAAAATCACAAATTTGAACAGCAAAAAAAAACATTTAATACTAGTTGGCCTATTTTAGGATTAACCGCAGTTCATGTTTTTACAGTAACACAAACATGACTGCTAATTAAAGACGACGGTTACCCAGTCTGGTATTTCCCACGCATCGACTATTGTTAGGTTTGAAATACAACCAATTAAAATATAAAAACCACATGATTTCCTTGTTTTCAGCATATGTATAACATACAAAGGTACAGTCGGGGAAATCTGCGGTGTCTATCTTTGAGAGTATTGCCTTATTTCTTGCAGAACTCCACCTCTTACATAAAACCAATTAGTTAGCTAGTTCCGAAGACGAGATATTGAAATACAAATAATTGTCAATCGTCTCCCGACCTTACCTTACTGCCCCAGTGTCTGTCAGGTATTCGTCCTCCAAATAACTATATTATAAGTCATCTCAGTCATCACTCCCTTCTTGATCATGTCTCCTTTTACGCAATACATCGTCCACCTCTACCGGTGTACAATTAGTCATGTATCACTGACCGTTTTTGTCAGACACACACAGACACATTTCAAAGAGTTTTATTATTATTATTGTAGCTTCACGTCTCAATGTGTACAGCACGTACAAATAATTGTAGTTTTAAAACGGAACACTGCCAAATTCCCCGACTGTACATTTTTATATTAAGAGCGTTTAACCATAGTAACTAGTATGACATAATTTAACAGTGGTAGGGCCCGCTTTAACATATCTCACTGTAGGATCGTCTCGCCCCCAGCAATACCACGACCACACAGAAGACAGGCGTGAAATGGGAGGAATCCCGCGTTTCGTCTGATAAGTGTGGTGCTGGAGGCCCAATTTTAGTCCCTTTCTCGTTCCAACCTTGTAATTGGATGGGAAGGTGGAAGGAGACGCATAGGAAGGGGAAATATCCTCTTAATGTGCGTCTGTTCCGTCGATTTAGGGTGGGCAACGCAATTGAGGATGTCTATGGGCAGCGGTCGCTACGCCATTTTGGCGGATTTAGGTGGCCGCTTGTTGTTTGCCACCTTATATATGAAAAAAAATCGAAAATCATTGGTAAATGACAAAGATCGAATGTGGACTTTATAGTCTTTGGTCCAGTTCGATCAAATGCATAACAATTATGCCGCTGTTGCTTTCGTAGTAACAAAATATATTTTTTATTTCAAATATCGAAGATTTACGATAAAAAGTTGCGGGTAGATCACTCAACCTGGCTGACATTTGTTCAGAATCACCTTGGGACGATCTTATATGTATACTTCAATATAATTACGTTTAAAAATTATTTAGCAAATTCACAGAAAACCGGACTGGCCAGTTAAATAGTGATGTGCTACTGTAAGTATATATAGTATATATCGAAAAACGCTAATAAATTTAGACATACAAAGTAATATTGAACTAGCAAAGAATTTTTCAGCTTTTATACTTTATACATGACTAGTTGTTGCTCGCGACTTCGCCCGTTTGAAATTAAACAATGACACTAAATTTAGCCTATGTTACTCCCAGATAAGTTATTTTTTTAATGGTGAAAGAATTTTTTAAAATCCTTTCCTCGTTATAATATTAGTTTAATAAAAGAAGTGAAAGAGGTAGTTACATCTTTTCTATTAGCTTCCCAACTTATAGTCACGATACACAGACGATATACTAATATTCAACAGTTATACGTGTTTCCATCAACGCGAATTATTCCATAAACAGTATGTTAACCATAATACTTGCGAAGTCGCAATTTTAATAGAAATTACAATTAGATAACAACTCTGATCGCGTCGTTAAACGTTGTGTGGAAATATTCATATTATAATTTATTTAGTTATCGATAAAATAAAACCTGGAACATCATTACATCTCTATAACATCATCAACTTTGTCCTCAGTTCGCGATTCGCGCGACGCTGGCATGACGTGTTTATGCGTTAATTTTAAAGTTTAATTTTAAAACAATAAAATAAGAGATTAGTAAATTATAATAAATATCATTGTGCTGTACTTATGTTATGTTGAAAATTTAATGTAAAATATATCTGCAAATAAAAGGTACGTTAACTTTTTTTATTTTAATTTTCTGTCTTGTTTTCCTTAAACACTAATTGATGTAAAGCCAGAAAATAATAGTTAAATCGAGTTTTGATATTAATAGTGACAAAAGATTTTATATGTACGGGTTTCTTTAATTTGTAATACGTCTTTTTTTGTCTAATGTCCAGTTTCCTAGATGCGTTGAACTAATTATTAGTGTTTTTGGTTCGAGAAATTCTTGAAATGCGTTTCCGAACTACGTAACAAGAGTTTTATCGTTGACATTTAATTAAACTAACTCTAATTCATCAACCCAGCATGAGATCTTCAAGATTTGCCAAAGATTCTCTACATTAATATTTGAATTATTTCACTCGCTGTTGCCTGCGACTCCGTCTGCGCGGAAATAAAATGTAGCCTATGTCTTCCCGACGCTTTAGATCGGGAAATACGATGTCACATTTATCTAAACTTGATATATTTAGAATTTTAGTAAAATCATATTGTCATCTGGAACACTTGCATGCTACGGACATGTGTGCAAGTAAAGGCTGGTTGTGGGCTCAGTTTACACTTAGCCAGTACAGTTTGTCAGTAGACTCAATAACTAGACTGGTAATCAACTGGCATAGTGTGACTAAATGGCGCCAGAGTCCAAAATGACTGGCTGTCGTTCTCAACTGTAGTGGCCAAGTGTGTACCAGGCATTACGAAGCTTTGTCGATAGTTTTACGATCTCGTTGACATATATGAACTAATTGTGCCAGTAACTGGTATGTGCCAATATTAACTACATGTGTAGCGTTACTACTCCGTTATCTTCTCATTGTCATCTATACTTGTATATACTAATAATATAGAGAGGAAAGATTTGTATTTTTGGATTTCTGATTGTATTGAAATAACTCAAAAACTATTGGCCGATTATAAAAATTATTTCACCGTTAGAAAGGTAATTTATCTGTTAGTAACATAGGCTATATTTCATTTGACTGCTAGTAAAACATATTTTCAATCTCTTAATGCTGCTCTCAGAGAATTTTCATGGCTGTGTTATTTTTGTTTTTTCGAACTTCGCCATTTTGGCGTTGAGGATATATTTGATTAGGTGTTAGACGTAGTTATTAATTATTACTCGATATGACGTGTTCTAATGCTTGTAGTAATTTATACGTAAGAGCAAAAAACCATTGGGTTTTTGTATCGCGGACAAAATAATTATCTAATTGTCTATATCTTCAATCTATACATATAATAAAATTGGAGTGTTTGTAAAATCAAAAATAAAATTCCAGCTTTCGGGAAGATGACGTATTTTCGATGATAACGAAAATTGCATTTTTTTTTCTATCTGTCTGTCTGTCCGCATGCCGCGTTTGTTCCAAGTAATCTCCTAAACGACTGGACCGATTTCGACAGGACATTCACTGGACGGTAGCTGACATAAAGGCGTATAAGCTACTTTTTTTAAAATTCCGCGCCGACAAAATGGCGTAATGAGTGGTCCGATTTTGTTGGGACTGAAAGATAGCTGGTAGAAGGTAGATGCACGCGGGTATGTGATAGATGACTTCGTCTCGTCTGTAATCTATATTTATACTTCTATACTATTATAATAAAGCGTAAACACACACTTCTTTGTTGCCTAAGATGTCAGCAATTACAGCATGTTTTTGAATAATCCCATTTTTAATAAAAAGCCCTACACTTACGTTACGCTTTAGGCTATATATTTTCACGCCATTAAACTTAGGGGCTAAATATTTTGGATAAAAACCCTAATGTGGGAAAGAGAACATAAGTCGCTGCCAACATCCAGGAAGCAAGGTTGCCATGGTTTGTCATCGTCATTTCATTTTGACAATTTGAAACATGTAAACAAAAAAATAAAATTTTCATATATGCGGATAAAGTCGCACGGGACAACTAGTGTCTTCATGTCCATTTATTAGGATGCACCCTAGACTAAACTATCGCACAACTGTTCGATTGTCGATTGTTTCGTAGCTCAACTGTTTAGTTTTACGATAGTTTCAAAGGTGTGCGGACGTTGTAAACATTTTAAGAGACCTTATGGGGTTTTGAAATGACATTTAAAAATATGTGGACTCAAAGTAAATTAAGAACCTGTTTGAAACCAACGTAAAGAATTACAAAAAGCTATGTCCATTTTAAAGATTTATTATCTAGCATTTAAAGTTAACAACAAACTTCTTTTATTGCTTTTGGTATTTTTAAACTATTAACATACTTTTTATTAGCGACTGGCTGTTCTCGTGCGGCTCCATCCGCATGAAATTATGAAAATTTTATTTCATTGTTTACATTTGTCAAATTATCAATAGCAAATGTCAAAATGACATGACAAACCTTAGCAATCTTGCTTTCTTGATGATGGCAGCAACTTATGGTCTCTTTCCCACATTAGGGTTTTTATCCAAAACATTTACCCCCTAAGTTTAATGTCGTGATAATATATAGCCTAAAGCGTGACGTAAGTGTAGGGCTTTTTATAAAAAAAATAATTATTCAAAAATATCGTGTAATTGCTGACATCTTAGGCAACAAAGAAGTGTGTGTTTACGCTTCATTATAATAGTATAGATATTAATTTAACCCTGCACTATAGATCTCGTCAGGAATGCGCGCGATAATCCCAATCCTTCTAATGACATTGACAGCTGTCGGCTAGAGACGTGACGTTTATGCCGACAATCTTGTGTTTCATAGAGCACGGTAATTTTTTTTCTCAACAGTATATTTTGCGCCAAAATTTTATTTGACAAGCTACAATTATTGTTCATTTTTTTCCTTATTAAATGTAAAAGGTAAAGGTTGTACAGCCATTATGAAAACGATTTCTTTTTATTAACGTCCCATTCACACTTCTTTTATTTTAACGAGTCTGTTTTAAATTGAAAAGAATTGTTAATAGTGGGTTATGAATTGATAATGCTGGCATAAAAAAATCAAGTCCGCTTTGAATATAAAAAAAAACTTTATTTATGTACAAACTTAAACCAAGTAAAATGTGATGTATTTTTTTTTGTTTTTATACAATTTTTAAAGCGTTTTTAATATCTACTTTTTCATCGATTAGCATGTAAATATAGATATTTCTTAATAAATGTAGGAAAAATAAGTACTTATTGCACAAATCTTTCAATGGACAAAGATCAGAGACCTTGATGTCACAACATATCTGAATTTGTACACAATTCCGTTTATGAGAAAGAATTATTGCAGTACTATATTTAGTAAGGCTTATACCGTACTTTATGTACAATTTAGAATTTATTATCTATATTTATACTTCTATACTAATAATCTATGCTATCTTACTAATCTTACTAATATTGTAAATGCGAAAGTTTAGATGGATGGATGTTTGTTAGAGTTTGTAGCCTAAACGGCTGAACGGATCTCCATGAAATTCGGCATAGATGTAGAGCACACTCTGGAAGAACACATAGGCTACTTTTTATCCCGAAAAAAGTTACGGTTCCCGTGGGATTTATTAATCTATACTATTATAATAAAGCATTAACATACACTTCTTTGTTGCCTGAGATCTCAGCAATTACAGCATGTTTTTGAATAATTCTTTCTTTAATAAAAGCCCTACACTTACAACACGCTTTAGGTTATATATTTTCACGCCATTAAACTTAGGGAGTAAATAATTTGGAAAAACCGTCATGTGGAAAAAGAACCACAAACTACAAGGTGCCAACATTAAAGAAGCAAGGTTATTATGGTGACCGTAATTCTGACATTTGTAAATGAGAATTTACCAAACGTAGACAATAAAATAAAGTTTTTATAATTCCATGCGGATGAAACCGCACGGGAACAGCTAGTTTATAGTAAAGGTCACTACATATACACAGATAAATACTTCATACTTGAACCATTGGGTTACGTAGAGTTAATAAATCGTTATAGTGTGTCTAAATAATTTAGATTAGTTTGACAATTCATTTCAAATTTAGTAGGGATGGGTTGTGTAAAATCATGAATCTTATCGATTTTCGATTTTTATTCTTATAGAAGTTGGAATCGATAGATTTATAGTTATAACCTATGAATTTAAAAAAAAAACACTGTTTTCTCAAATTAATAATGACCATAACAAATAATGAGAGTAAATAAAGGTTTATTACTACTACAGCCGTACGTAATCGAATTGGATTTCGCTATTATTTCTGTCATCGCTAAATTCTCTACACTATAATCAATACTAGAATTGTCTTATAAATTAGTGAATAAGAAAATAATAATTTTAGTTGAGTTCTATAATTATTTAAACCGAATATCGATAGTTCATGATTGTTCGCTTTGTGTTTGTTTCGTCACTACGATACCTGTCTATTAAGTATGGCATTTCCCTTCATACAAATTGAATTCGATACTTCAAATGCGTCATTTATCAAACTCATCTATCTTATTTAGACACACTATGGAGCGCACAACTTGGACTAAAATATCTCACAACTATTCATTCGCGGTTTGATTCCTACGCGCTTATATGGAGGTGCACACTACTCGATTTGTAGTTGTGCAACTAAACAGTTGAGGTTGCGAAACAATTGACAATCGCACAGTTGTGCGATAGTTTAGTCAAAGGTGTGCCTGCTCTAAGTAAATGACGACAAAAGCCATGCATAGTTTAGTAGTGCAAATTATGTTTCCTTAAGTTAACAACTGATGACGATATGACTATGTTTATTATGTACTCAGTATAAATAAATTTATAAACTAATTACAATATAATAAAGGTATTTAATCAGTAATTAATAAAATAATAGATTTTTTTAAGTAAAATAAATGTTAATGTGGCTGAAAATCTTCAACTAATTCCATTAATGAAAAAAAAAGTCAACGTCAAATAAACGACTTCGATTTGAGCGCGAAATCAATAATAGTTTTGACAGATTATGGACGTAGTTAATTTTTTTAATTTACTAATTTAATCGTATTTCTAGAATTTGTAATTGAGCGATTAGTAATTAAGTATAATTTTCGATGCGTATTTCGTTATTTTACGTAATCAGCTTTTAAAGTTAAAAATAGAAATATTTTGAGTAATATTCAGGTTATATCTATTAATTATTCTTCTTTCCTTTTTATCTGTTTCACTAATGTAGAATGCATTAAAATATTTCCGGTAAAAATGAATTGTGATTCTCGTTTTTCGCGCCCGATATCGCAGTTTAGACAAAGACAAAAGGTCAAATGCCACGGAGTTCAATCGACTAGAATAACCAAGTCGACTAAAATAAGATATTAAAATTGGAGATGTTTTTTTTTTATTATTATTGTCTGCGAATTTTATCCGTTTGACCATGAATTTCTTATTTAATAATACGATTATAAAATATCAGCGAATTATGAAATAGATAATATTTAGATAAAAATATACAAGAAATTTTAAACTAATTTGACATTTGCTATTAATTTCTTATACTTTACATAACGTAAAATTCTCGTTAATATAATGTCAGTATCTATACTGTAATAATTACTAAATAAATACTGACAGACTGGTTTGAAAACAGGCGTGAAGTGGAATCAATTCCGCGTTTCGTCTGATGAGTGTGGTGCCGGAGGCCTAATTTTAGTCCCTTTTCCTTTCCACCCTTTTCTTAAGAGGGAAGGATGGAAAGGATAAGTGGATTTGACGGTGGAGGAGACGCATTTGAAGGGGAAATCTCCTCTTTATGTGCGTCTCCTCCGTCAATGAAGGGTAGGCAACGCATCTGTAATTGCGGATGTTTATGGGCAGCGGTCACTTTCCATTTCGGTGAATTCAGGTGGCCGCTTGCTCGTTTGCCACCTTTTATCATAAATTTTCGTGGGCCGTTTCCGAAGACAGACGATTTTTAAATTTCATATATTACACTCAGGGGCCTATAACAATACCCTATGCAAGCAGACGCACGTTTCTGATGGGGCAAACGACCTTCCATACTACGAACATAGGTACAATATCATAATATGATACTACTTAGAATTATATTATCTGAAATTTATATCCCGTCATATTTTATTTTATCTGTACTAGCCGGTTTTCCTTCATTATATTTCCGGTTCGTGTTATTAGTAATTCTTAAAGCGTCGGCACAATGCACTAAAAGGTTATCACTGGCAATTAAAGATTCTTTTACACTTATCTAGGGAGGGGATCACACTCTTGCGCGGGTAAAAAATAGTTTTTATTCCTGAAAGAATCCTTAACTACACGTGATCTGCTTTTAATAAAACATTTGCAAGTATATACCACTACAGAAATTATAGACAACTATGAGCTTTGACTAAAGTATCGCACAACTGTTGTGCGATTGTCGATTGTTTCGCAGCCTTCAACTGTTTAGTTGCACAACTAACGAGTAGTGTACCTCCATAAGCTCATAGGAATCAAAGCGAGATAACAGTTGTGCGATAGTTTAGTTCAAATGCGCCCTCTTTTACTATTAAAAACGTAATATAATCGCTTATTGAGTTTGCACAAACAAAACACGTGTATTTATTGTTTTCAAATAAATTTATACAGAAGAATTACTTAGATTTATTTAAAAAAAACTATTAAAACACTAAATGCAGCAGTAACGACATTAATTTCTAAATTGCAATAAAATTGTATGAATTTCCGTACTTATAAGCCTGATCGTTGTAACTCTGCAATATTGACATCTCTTTCACACTATTTGTAAGAAACAGAAACAAAATATCAGTTTCACGCTATTTGAATTATGTATAAATTCAACAGAAGATGCTGGTCTACTTTCTACTGCTGGGTTCTACCCTGGCGTACCCTCAAGTTACGATAAAACCGGACGTCCTGGTAGACGTGTTTGGCACACCGCCTACCACCAAGAAAGCACCAGGACTTGAAGATGTAAGTAACCAGTTGTGTTTGAAATAAGGTAGAGAAATATCTGAGTAACTATGCTACTCCTTACGATAACATCTTACTCTTCAAAGTTGTCTTGACACAATGGACATACGTACAAACACAAAAACGCTAAAAAAGTAATTACTCCCTTCTGATTCTGAGTCAGTCGGTTAAAAAGTTTGAATTTCAAATATAATGAAATTTTTTGACAACTGTTCGTTTTTATTACTTGAAAAACCAATTAGTCACTAATGGCCAGTATCTAGATACTTTTAACCATTCGGTATTCTTTTTGATTCGATAACTTGAAATGCGTTTCCGAACGTAACTTGAGTTTAAATTCTTCGAAATTTAGTTCATCCTAATAGTTATGTAATTTCAGCATCCCAGCAGAATTGTTACTTTTGGTTACAAAAACTAACAAAATCATTTCTTACCCCTTCCAGATAACAGTGCGACCTACGGACAGTACATCTACGTTCGTCGACAGCAACGGGGATGCGTGCAAATGTGTGCCTTATTACCTATGCGATACGAACTTGAATGCTGTGGACGCGTACAACGAGACCGTCACTGGCGCCTTCAAATTGGATATTAGGTATGACGTCATCTGTACAGATACATAATTAAATGTATAGACCATAATAGTTTTATCTTCGGGTAGGCTATACTTAGTATAGCAGAAGCTAAAAGCATAGTTTTCTTTTTTTATATATTTTAACTGCCCATAGACATCCGCAATTGCAGATGCGTTGCCTACTCTTAATCTGCGGAAGAGACGCACATAAATAGGATGTTTTCCCTTCCTATGCGTCTCCACCACCGTCAAATCCACTTTTCCTTCCCATCCTTTCCTCTTATGAAAAGGGTGGAAAGGGAAAGGGACCGCCGGTACTACACTCATCAGACGAAAAGCGGAATTGCTTCCACTTCACGTCTGTCTTCTGTGTGGTCGTGGTATTGCTGGGGGCGAGCCTAACCATTCGTGCGAAGATATTAAAGCGGGCACTACTGTTAAATAGTAGAATAGAATAATCCTTGTCGGTTTAAACGAATTTATATAAAATTTCAATAGATTCGGCGTTGACGAATGTCAGGAGAGCGTGGAGCGTTGCTGCAAGGACCCGAAGCCCCCGCAGCCGCCGCCGGAGCCCGACACTAAGAACCTAAAGGGCTGCGGCTACAGGAACCGGAAAGGGATTGATTTTAGTATTACTGGTGGTTTTGTGAGTTATGATTTTAATTTTATTTTTATAATTGTGTACTTTTAGAATCGTATGTAACAAGAGTACAGTAAAGGTAGATAGAAAGAGATGGACTGTATGAAAGGTGACATGATCAAGAGGAGAGTGACAGAGATGACGTATGAAAGAGTAATTTGGAGGACTAAAACAAGGTGCGCTCTACGGCAGTAGGATAAGGTAGGGGGGCTGATGCTGGTATGTCCAGAACGTTAGCAGCAGACATGATAAAATTTGTTAAAAAAAAACTTTTTTTATTTCCGCGTATTTCTGCATCAAATCGATTACACTGTTATTTTGATTTTCTTGATACTTCTTCAGTATTTCTCAAAGTTAGACTATCCAGCGGTTTTTTCAGTTTACTTTCTCATCCAGGGTTCAGAGGCTCAGTTCGGTGAGTTCCCATGGGTGGTGGCATTACTGGACTCTGTAGACGGTCGCTACGCGGGCGTCGGTGCCCTCATTCACCCTCAAGTTGTGATTACAGGCGCACACATCGCTTCCAAGTATGTTACTGAATAATTGTGAATTTTGTTTATACTAGCTTTCGCCCGCGAATTCGTCCGCGTGCTATTTAAAAAGCCAAGTAGCCTATGTGTACTTCCAGACTATTCCTATATCTATGCCAAATTTCATCCAGATTCGGTCAGCCGTTTAGGCTACAAACTTTAACAATCATCCATCCATCCATCTAAACTTTCGCATTTATAATATAAGTAAGAAGTAAGATTAATAAAAATCTACTAATATTTTACTTAAAAGAGAAAAAAAGCTTGTAGACTAAACTATTGAATATGTTTCGATGAAAGTCATACACATAGTGCATCTGGAAGTACTCGTAGACTACTTTTTTTTAATTCCACGAGGACCTCCGGGCAAAAGCTAGTTCTAAATAAGACGCGAACTATTAAAAAAATCATTAGTTGTTATAATAACCATTTACATAATTTAATTTTTGTATTACAGATTCCAGCCTGGCGGGCTGAAGATCAGAGCTGGTGAATGGGACACACAGACGAACAAGGAGCGTCTGCCCTCGCAGGAGAGGATAGTCCAAGAGATCTACCTACATCCAGGTATACTCTTAAAATGCAGGACTCAGGCTAGGTCGCCCAGGGCGCCCAGGGCGGGTGACGGAAAGGGGCGTGAGGAGTACAAACTACTCTCACATAATACTCTTAACCCCCACTAGTTATGGTAAAAATGCGCCCTAAAAATCGCCCAGGGCGTTAGTAACCGGTACTAGAGAATGTGTCTAATCCCATATACGACGGCCATCTTGTTTCTTCACTTTTTCCGATTTATTAGACAGTCTGGTTCTAGTTAGGTTAAGCACTTGACTTGTAATCTAGGTTCTGGTTTTGATTCCCGCCGTACCAATGGGATTTTCGTATTTCACGAACACAATCTACCCGACGTTCTTACGGTGAAGGAAAACATCGTGATATATCTGTGAAGAAATTCAAAGATATTTTTTTTATAATATATGGCGGCAACGAGCAAGCGGCCACCAAAATGGAAAGCGACCGCTGCCCATAAACATCCGCAATTGCAGATGCGTTGCCTACCCTCAATTGACGGAGGAGGTGACGCACATAAAGAGGACATTTCCCCTTCCTATGCGTCTCCTCCACCGTCAAATCCACTTTTCCTTCCCATTCTTTCCTCTTAAGAAAAGTGTGTAAAGGAAAAGGGACTAAAATTAGGCCTCCGGCACCACACTCATCAGACGAAACGCGGAATTGCTTACACTTCACGCCTGTCTTCTGTGTGGTCGTGATATTACACCGGGCGAGCCGACTTATTCGTGCGAGGTATTAAAGCGGGCTCTACCACTGTTACTGATATGTGTGAAGTCGCGCAGTGACCAGTGATCAGTGATAGCACACAGTAGCTACAGCCTACTCTGAGTTAGTAACAGCCTTTGTCAAAGTGAAATCCCATTGGTAAGGCACAAGGGCGGATCTAGCTTTGGCACCAGGGGGGGGGGGGTCACATAGTTGTGGTCAAGTCCAGAGGTTGACACAATATGTAAATACATTTTGTCAAGCTCTCGACCAACCAGCTCGGGGGGGGGGGTCATGACCCCCTGGATCCTCCGTTGGTACGGCAGGAATCGAACCCAGGACATCAAGTGCTAGAAACACTGCACTATTGACGCTCTAGTGAAGATACAGTCTGGTATTTCTAGAATTCCACTCGAAGAGTCTTCGTAACGACCTGGCTCTGCTCCTGCTGAAGGAGCCAGTGCAGCTGGCTGACCACATCAACGTCATCTGTCTCCCGTCTCAGGATGAACTGTTTGAAACTAGCAGAGATTGTGTCGCTAACGGTTGGGGAAAGGATAGCTTTGGTATGTAATCTTACTAATATTATAAATGCGAAAGTTTAGATGGATGTTTGTTAGAATTTGTAGCCTAAACTGCTAAACGCATCTCAACCAAATTTATCATAGATAGCTGTTCCTGTGCAACTTCATCCGCAGGAAATTATGAAAATTTTATTTTATTGTTTACATTTGTCAAATAATAGCAAATGTCAAAATGACTTGACATGTCAAACCTTAGCAATCTCGTTTCCTTGATGTTGGCAGCAGTTTATGGTCTCTTTCCCACATTAGGGTTTTTATCCAAAATATTTACCTCCTAAGTTTAATGGCGTGAAAATAAGCCTAAAGCGTGACGTAAGTGTAGGGCTTTTTATTAAAAAAAGGATTATACAAAAATATGGTGTAATTGCTGACATCTTAGGCAACAAATAAGTGTGTGTTTACGCTTTATTATAATAGTATAGATTCAGAGCATCTGGAAGAACAGACTACGTATTATGTTACTTTTTATTTTCACGCGAAGTCGCGTGCGTAAGCTAGTATTTTCATAAATGAAATCCGACAGGTAAAAAAGGCAGTTACGCTGTGATTTTAAAACTCGTCGAGTTGAATATGGTGAGGCACCAGACGTGCGCCGCCATACTGAAGTCCACACGACTCGGATACAACTTCAGACTGCACGACAGCTTCGTGTGCGCGGGGGGGGAGGAGGGCAAGGATACTTGTCAGGTTTGTATTGGGAACGGTAATAACAGGGGTGGAGTCCACTTTTTTTCTTTTTTTATATGATATAAGGTGGCAAACTCGCAAGCGGCCTCCTGAAACCACCGAAATGTAAAGCGACAGCTGCACATAGACATCCATTGACGGAGGAGACGCACACAAAGAGGACATTTCCCCTTCCAATGCGTCCCTTCCACCGTCAAATCCACTTTTCCTTCCCTTCTTTTCGTCTTAAGTAAAGAGTGAAAAGGGAGACTAAAATTAGGCCTCCGGTGCCACACTCATCAGACGAAACGCGGAATTACTCCCACTTCACGCCTGTCTTCTGAGTGGTCGTGGTATTGCTGAGGCGAGCCTGAATTTCTTCACCGATATGTGTATCACGATGTTTTCCTTCACCGTAAGAACGTCGGGTAAATTATGTATGAAATTCGAAAATCGCATTGGTAAGCGGGATTCGAACCCAAGCTGTAGATGACAAGTCAAGTACTCAAACCCCTGAGCCACCGACGCTCTTTTAGTGTCAAATATGCCTTATTCATGTTTTAATGTCTGCTTTTAGTACTTAAAAAAGTTTGATTTATTATACTTATGCGATGTTTCCGCAGGGCGATGGCGGGGCTCCGCTGGCGTGTCCCGTAGGCGATGACAGATACAAACTGACAGGTTTAGTCGCGTGGGGCATCGGCTGCGGGGAGAAGGGAGTGCCCGCTGTTTATGTCAATGTGTCAAAATACCGCGCTCTTATTGACAGCAAGATGGCGGTCTGGGGCTTCGATACTAGCGCCAATAACGTTTAATTTTTTATTATATTAATAAAACAATTCATATATTTTTGTCGCTTTATTGAACTGAATTATGTTTTTTTTATTATTCTTAACTGTTGGTCAAGACTTTGTCTATGTGAAGTTATAATAAGCCAAAGTATAATTATGTATCCGTAATATCGGATTTTGTTCTCTTATGTGACAGTGACGTCATTTTTAACCTATCTGAGCCTCTATCAGCCAGTGGTAGAACAGGTCGTAAATATAGCCTTTGTTAAGCTCTGATAATTTAGCTTTTTAATTGTGAAAGAATGTTCAATTTGGTGCAGTAGTTTTTGAGTTATTTGGATACATAAAAAAATCCATAAATACGAAAAAACAGAAAATGTATAAAATTTCTGTAGTTTATTGCAAACTTTTGTTCGTGACATGGTCTTCAGGTAATTAAAAATCAACAATCACATATATCCTGTCACTACTACACTTCCTAAGAATTATGTTTAAGGCGCAGTTCTAGTGACATTTGCGTTCTTTGGGAGAAAGTAGGCGCGCGCAAACAAACATTACAGTGGTAGTGCCCGCTTTAACATCTTAGCACTGCAGGGCCGGCTCGCCCCCAGTAATACCGCGACCACACAGAAGACAGGCGTCAAATGGAACCAATGCCGTGTTTCGTCTGATAGTGTTGTGCCGGAGGCCTAATTTAAGTCCCTTTCTCTTTACCACCCTTTTCTTATGAGAGGATGGGAACGGAAAAATGGATTTGACGATGGAGGAGATGCATAGGAAGAGGAAATATCCTCTTTATGTGCGTCTCCTCCTCCGTCGGATAAGGGTAGGCGACGCATCTGTAATTGCAGATGTCTATGGGCAGCGGTCGCTTTGCCATTTTGGCGGATTCAGGTGGCGGCTTGCTCGTTTGCCATCTTATGTTATAAAAAAAACACGGGCGGACTGGCGCGAAATCCGAATGGTGTTAGGAGTTACATATACTAAAATATCACGAATCAAATCTTTGTAGAAATCCTGTTGTATGCTTCCAAACATGCGCAATTGGGAACAGCGCATTTAAAATTGCTCCAGTAGCTCGTAACATACAAAAATACAAATATTTCCTATATTATTAGTAAATTCATGTAGAGGGTGACCAATGGGATTTTAAATTGAAACATTTGTTTATTTAACTTCATTTATTATTTTTTTTTAACATTTTCCTTAAAAACACTTTTTTCTTAACATCTGTCATCTTATAGATCTAATTTTTACAATATATGTCAAACATCGAAAAAAAATAATGAAAGAATATAAAAAGACTTACTACACATACCTAAAATATAAATAAAATTTGAAAATGGAAAATGGATAAAAACTTATGTAACTTTATTTACAAACGATTTTCTTAATAACATACTATTGCTCGCGACTATACCCGCGTGGAATTAAAAAATAGTATAAATGTAGCCTATGTTACTCACTGATAACATAGCTTTATTGAAGGAAGAATTCTTGCAAATTGGACCAGTAGTTTTTGAGTTACTACAATACATACAAAAATCCGTAAATACAAAAATACAAATCTTTCCTCTTTATATTAGAAATAGCTTTCGCTTGCGACTCCGTCCGCGTGGAATGGGGATGTTTCCTAATTTTTGGAATTGCTTTTATTATGTAGATAAACCATATCTTAACAAGAAAAAAAATATAATAAAATCATATACGCAACATTTAATTACAAAAACACTTAACTAAAAACAACTTCTCGAAAGACCGCGAAAACGCCTCATGACATGACGTCACTACTTTTCTAACAAACCTCGCGTCGCGGCCTGTCAAAGTCATTCAAAGTGACCAGACGTAAATTGAATTAGCTATTCAAATAACTTTTACTATTTTTTTTTTCGTCATAGCGATCGAAAAATTTGCTCGTAAAATATGTCGTAAATATAAAAACACTTAATAAAGGAGTCCTCATAATATAACACACGCAAACTCAATTATTATAATCATTAAAAAAAAAATATAACTACAAAATGCACTGACATTCACTGAAGCTGGTCACACTGCCATGTTGTTTGCGAAGAAGTGACGTCACCGAGCTCTGATTGGTGTTTGAGATCGAGTAATGGAGGGTAAAAATATTGCAGCGTTTTTAATTTATATTTCAATGGAGACAAACATTTAAGGTCTCCAAATGTTATTATAGGTTTTAAAATATTAAACGTAACTTTATTTGAATTTGTAACATTAGGAAACATCACCAATGAAAAAAAACAAAAGTGAGTAGCCTATGTGTTCTTCCGGACTATCCTCTACATCTATGCCAAATCTCATCGAGATCCGTTCAGCTGTTTAGGCTACAAACTCTAACAAACATCCATCCAAACTTTCGCATTTATAATATTAGTATGTTAGATTTTATTTTGCTTAGTCACAGTATACCATTCCTATTTAATTTTCAAAGTAGGTAACACTGTACTGCAGTTAGCCTTCTCTAACTCAGCTTGGAGTTGTTTCAGACGCGCTTTAGCTAGAGTCAAATTTGCATTCGTCGCTCGCATACTCTCCTGAAAATAATACACAAGTTAACAAACACAACACTAAAAACATCTGTTAATGTTACAAACATCAACTTGCCCTTATCCCTTATGGGTCGGCACAGTACGCTGCTCCATACATCTCTATCAGTCATATCTGAATCCACTCCTCTTTCACACAATCCATACTTTCTTCGGTCTTCTTCCTTTACAAGTAAGAGATGGAAAGAAAAACAAGAGATATGTGAGTTCTGTAGATTGCAAAACCTTTTTTTATATAGACAGGGTTCTTTTATCTTAGGTTTAATACTAATGCATTTATAGTCGGTTTCCTAGCTTCATTTAATGACAAATGCAGACGGATTGCATGATGTTATCGAACCAACAACTAACGAATGATTAAATATAGCTGGGAAACTGGCCATAAATTGTTTACAAGAAATTTGTCTGCGTAAAAATAAAAAAGATATTAAAAATCTATGTTACTAAGTGATAACATAGCTTTTTAACGGTGTAAGAATTTTTTAAATTGGTCCAGTAGTTTTTGAGTTACAAATCTTTCCTCTTTATAATATTAGTATATATTACTATAGGTACTATAGGCCCTGGATGCATAGGACCAGGCCATGATAAACCAATGAGAGAGGCCTATACCAGTCCCCTGCCCAAGGGGAAATTAATAAAGCATTTTTTTTTTATATTCAGCTATGGACGACATATGGCTGACAATAATGATGATGGTAGATTATTTAAAATCTTACTTGTACTGTGAGCAACATTTTGTCAGTTTTTGTCAATTTCTCCACTGATATGTCAGTCGTGTGACGCATTAGACCTTCCAGTGTGGCTCGGAGAGACACATTGCATTCCCCTATAAGGCAATAGATTAAAAATTATAACTAAAAATACAGCAACGTTTTAAGAAATCTTATATGGTAAACTAGCTTTCGCTCGCGACTCCGTCCGCGTGGAATTAAAAAAAAACTAAAAGTAAGTACTCTATGTGTTCTTCCAGACTATCTTCTACATCTATACTAAATTTTATCGAAATCTGTTTACCCGTTTATCCATCCATCTAAACTGCCGCATTTATAATATATAGTATGACAAAATTAGATGGATGTTAGAGTTTGTAGCCTAAATTGCTGAATCGATCTCAATGAAATTTGACATAAAAATAGAGATGTCGACGTAAGTCTGGAAAAACAATGTGTATTTAATTTGTTTTTTTTTTTTAATTCCACGAGGACAGAGTCGCGTGCGTAAGCTAGTATAAAAACATAGTACAGTTGAAGAATTAATTTCATATTTGGATTCCACATGAGAGGTATATTTTAATACATATATGGCTCTGAAAACTTACTAATGGGCTACTCTCAATGTCTATGTCAAAATATATAGGAATCTAGAATAAATAAGTCACAGACATGTTATGCTTAAATAAAATATAGTCTATCTATCTATCTTTTGTGTTAATGGCGTTTCCTTAGAGATTTTGCTAATGTCAAATATATATAATACTCTAACACAACAAGACAACCACGATATATATACAGCACAGACAAACTACAGCTTAATATTATTATGGATAATAAATGAACTAAGAACATACACGAAAGGTGAGTTCACAAGAGAAAGAAGCGATTTGAGATCAATGGGGTAAAATAGTCTTCTTTACCTCTTATGTTTTCTTTCAATTTGTACAGAATAACCTTACCAATATGGCCGTCGTGTCAAGCTAATGCAACACACTTATTTTGACATCCGACTACTATCCGATTATTAACATAACAAGCAGAATTACGACATTTTAAAACAATGACATATATATTTGAATAATGTGTTGGGTCATAATTACCAAGCTTATAAAGTTATTTCAAATGACAAATGGTATTGATTTATAGCACAGACTACATAAATAACCTCCCAGAATACAGAATACATAAAAATAGTTAAAAAGCTTACATAACTTCTGATGCAGTATTGAATTGTACAACATCTTTGTTGGAGTTTGCGGCGACATTGACACTTGGAGAGGTGAATCTATCTCGATGTTGTCACTTTGTGATGGTAATTTCGATTCTGAAATATTTAGTCAAATTAATTTATCTCTACCCCAGAGATAAATTGAATATTGATTATTGCTAGTAGAATCAAGAGAGAAGAGAAATTATTTTTTTTTTTTATAAGAGAAGGGGGCAAACGATCGGCGGGAACACAAAGGTGGTCAACGACGCCCATGGACATCCGCAACACCAGAGGAATATGTTAATTATTTATAAAATATGTGAGAAACATTTGAGTTATTGACAGATTATGGGCATGAATTATGTTGAAATTTGAACAACTTTTCATAATGCTCACCATTGTTGTAAAAGAAACCTGTGAATTTTTTCTAAAAATTTAGCCTAGTAATTTCAGCTTTGTGTTTATATATTATTTAGTTTGTTTCTTCTTTTTTATACCTATCTTATGTGCTTTACTTACCATCATCAGACTCTGGAGCTTCTCCGCTGATCACAAAAACTTTGGAATTGGAGAGAATGGAGTCCTACAAAATTAATGCGATATACTAAAACTGGTCAACACGAAGAAGTGGGAAGTAAAAATAACAAAATCTAAGATAAATAATATGGTTCTTTTTTCAACTTTTGCTGATAGAAGTTTAGATAATTAGACAAAATATCTGTCTTTATTAGTTTCTCTTTTATATTACTTACAGGTGATTTAGCTACTTCTATTTCCGAGTCCGATTCGGACGCTTCACCATCCACTACGTGTGCAGATTTAGACATGGTTATTTCTTATTAATTGTTCTAAATAAGGAAAATATTTACTAAAATATCCTTTGAAGAACTTGTTTACATTTATCAAATGTCATTCAGTCACTGTCAACTGTCATCTTCTTTGGGATTATGTTTTTAAAACTGATTGCCAGGCAAATGTTTTGTGATCACACGTATATCTCTTTAAACATTTAATAATAATAAATACTATTTAAGTATTTTTATTAAATACAAAAAAACCTTTATTATAGAATGCATCTTACTCATACTTCTTTTTTAAGCAATACATAATTTAGACAATTTTAAAATTATGGAGTGTTCGGAATAAATCTAGTACTTTAGGATTTTGAGGTTTTACGACAAATTCCCAACATCCCACCAACAAACGCTTACTTATTTCATTATCAAATACCTGCGTTGTGTTAACATTCGTTATGGATGATTGGTGAAATAAAACAATTTAAAACATGAAGAACTGACTTTATTATCAGACGTAACGTGGACGTTTTGACACAGCAATAAATTGTATCTATTTACATAATAAATTACACGCTTCACAATATTTTTAACGTCTTAAGAATAAAAATGACAAATCTATACATCCATGCTTCACATTAAAGTATCGAAAAGATGCATTAAATCGTACTAAACTGAGTTTCCATTCTCAAAACACTCGTACGTACAGTCACGGAAAACCACGGTGTTCCACTTATAGGAAATACCAAAAAAAAAACAAATTAGATAATAATGTGCGGCGAACCACGGGCCAACAATTTTCGTACACACTTAAAAGCTGTTTCATATTGTTTTTTATTCCGTGTCATCGTTTAGAAGCGTTCAAACGACTGTAGTTTTAGAGGTTGACACCGCTTGATTCCTCGACTTTACCCATTGACATCACAGTTTTTTAAGAAGAATGAAAACAATGACAACAAATTGGAATACGAGTGTTTGAGCAACGAAAACCCAAGAATAAATTTCTAAATCTACACATTGTAAGGCGAATTTTGTTGCTATATTTTGTCCTACCGTATTTGGTTGTTATATTTAATCAACAATTTTTAAACTATTATGTTTTGTTATACGTTTTCCCCTATTTTCATTCTATATTAAACACGCAGTCTATTTCTATTTTATCTATGACCTATTAACTTTACTAAGAATGGTTACTTGAAGCTACTAAAAATGACCAATTATTTACCTGGTTTTTGTGGTAATATAAAAGCTGGTTAAAATCCTTATTATCAAACGCATTTTAATCAAGCATACATTAATAAATTCATTTCGTTCATATCAAAGATATTTATACCTTTTTTTTCTACTTATAGCCTGACCACGATTATAAAAATATCCTGGGGCCGCTAAAATCGCCAAGTTCTATCGTTATCCATAAAGTACTTATAGCCTTACAAATAAACGCGGTATAAATTTAAACTTAGGAATAAACTGAGTATTAGCAAAATATATACTATTTTTTTTATATTCTCAGTTTATTCCTAAGTTTAACTTTATACCGCGTTCATTTGTAAAGCTGTTTGTGGTTTTATATCTGGTCAAGCTATAAAAGAGTGCTTTCTTGCTCTTACAATATTATGTTGGCAGTATTGTAAAGGTTTTTTTTAAACGATTTTTTATGTAACATATAGATTAAAACAGTATTAACATAATTTATAAAGGTAACATACACGGTAGGATCTAATAATATGCTAGTTATTAAATTAATTTATATATTACCTTCTCGGAAATTTGATAAATCCATTTTATTAACACACGTCTGAACAAATACAATTTTTAATAAAATACAGAGATCAAATGCACAATATTCATTGTTCCTTAATGTTGGCAGAATGTCCTTATATATTTGTGTCTTTCAACAGAAAAAGACGTAAATTGTCAATGGATAATTTTTATGCATTTTTTTAATATCGACAAATAATTTTTAATTAGCTGTAATTACATAGAATGATTATAAAAATGTTTTGTTTAAGATTGATTTTTTTAAATAGTGTTCATAGATTTATTTCTAATAATACATTTAAAGACAACACGTAGAATAAATTAATTCTTAACTAAAATCCAACATTCAATATATCAGAAAAATCAACAGTTTATAAAATTTATTAACAGAACCAACATAGATATCTTTCGATATAACTATTATTAGAGGACAAAGCGTCTCCGAGAAATGTTCCGCGGCGCGTTCAAAGAGTAACTGACTATTCAAAACTAGGCGTCACCCCAACGGTCGTGTGTTTAAAATCATTCGGTTATTTTTAGACCAATAACAAGCATCCATGGATTTTGTTGAGCTGATATAGACAAAGACCTACCGTTCTGCCACCCTTTCAGTGTTACCATCTAATACTATATTATAATAATAATTTAATTTACTATTATCGCGTCGTATTATTTTGAAAAAAACAAATCATAGCTAAAATAAATCTGCAAATATCTTATTTATGAAATAATTATCTCATTTTTGACTAAATTGACGTGGAGATGGTCATTATGATATCTGTAGTTCATCTTTTTATAATAAAGAGATATCGTTTACTATTTTATGCAACATCAACTAGAAACATTTAGAGTCTATCTCACTCGCACATCCCACTAACTATTAGCCATCTCTTTCACAACATACTAATTCATAAGATATTAACATTTTAACTCTAACATTAGTTAAGGAAGAGTTTAAAATATCTATGATTTATTGTTTTCTTTGGGTGATTAAAAAAAACACTGACAGCATTGAAGCTTTGACAGCTGTCAAAATAAGCATCAGCCATTTTTAAATATAACTATAGTTTGTCTAAATAATTTAGATTAGTTTGACAATTCTTTTCAAATTTAGTATTTTCGATTTTTATTCTTATAGAAGTTGGAATCGACAGATTTATAGTTAAAACTTATAAATGAAAAAAAAACACTGTTTTCTCACATTAATAATGACCATAACAAATAATAAGAGTAAATAAATGTCTATTACTACTACAGCCGTACGTAATCGAATTGGATTTCGCTATTATTTCTGTCATCGCTAAATTCTCTACACTATAATCAATACTAGAATTGTCCTCTAAATTTTATTTGAGTTTGATAATTATTTAAACCGAATATCGATAGTTCAAAATTATTCGCTATGTATGTTTTTTTCGTCACTCGATACCTGTCTATTAAGTATGGCATTTTACTTCATATAAATTGAATTCGATACTTCATATGCGTCATTTATCAAACTAATCTAAATTATTACACACTATAATGGGGTGATATTTTAAATATTTTGTTGCATATAATGTAATTGTTAAACATAATGTAAATACATGAATATTTGTGACTAGTTCATAATATTTTAAGACTATGAGAAAGGAACTATTTATTAGGACTTAAACAGCAAAAATATTTCTATTAACATATTTTAAATTATTATCTTGCTAAAATTGTCAAACTAAATAAACTATGATATGGTTGAAACGATTGCTTATATGGTTTATAATAAAATTGACATAAATTTAACGCTAATAAAAATTTCTTTTCTAACCTATACAAGAATATTAAAACCCTGGTTTGGGGGAGATTTTAAACAAAGTTTCGTATTTTCTCCGCAATATGAACAGGGTTTTCACAAGCATATTCCTGGTCAGGCTTTATATGTCTTTTCAAATATCTTGGAAGCTCCACTGGACCTCTCCAAGTAACCACGTAACGAATCTTTGTTTCAAGCCACCAAGACATTTGTTGATTACTATACAAAAAACCTGGTTCACAAAAGTTTAATTTTACGGTTTGAGTCGTCTTATAGAGACGATTTGTCTATGGTCATGAGTAATTAAAATTATTTAAATCCAAAAATATACAGAATTACAAATTTCAAAATCAAAACAATTAGTAACAGATTTTAATTAATTACAATTACAATTATCTAGATAATTTGAATTAAATATGAATTTCGGTTCACATGTTTAATAAGTCAATAACGGCTAAAAAGTCTAGTTATTTCGTCTCTTTTGTGTTCATCATTTTCTGTAATTTTATAACCTCAAAATATCTTAAAACGTGGAGAAATGAAAAATTGTGCGGATTATTCGAATATGACATTACCAAATGTTGCCATTTCAGAATTCGGTGCACAAAATTACGTAAAAATAATATTATTCTCAAAAATACTTCTTAAGCGCATCCAAAATTTGAATATCGTTGATTGGTGTCTGTTCAAATAATTTATAAAGTACTCGCTTTGAATAAAGCGGCAAATACCCTGTTTTGATTTTAGAAAAGAAAAATGAAGTGAAGTTTTTATGAAGTATTTTTAGAATTCGTGTCATCTCATTCGTGAATCGGAACGCAAAAGACCAGAGCGACCGATCAAACTTGATACTTGCCTCATTTTAGAATAAATAATTATCACGTGTTAAAATGCAATAATATTACAGCAGTCGCTGCTTTTCAATTCCCTTTCAAATCCTTTCTACACTAAACCTTTCCCGTATTCCTACCAACACTCATTACGACCATAGATTAAAAATATACCATAGATATTAAGTTACACTAGAATATTAAAATGTAGGAATATGGTTGAAATCAAAAGTTTCTAACCTAAAACAGCGTTAAACATCAACTAGTTGTTAACCTTCTATATTTTTAATATCCAAGGATAATGTATTGTAAACCTTTCTTTTGTTTACAGAAAAAAACAACAAAATTAGTTCAATTGTGTAGTTTCTTTTAGTGTAATGAATTGCTAACTTAAAATTTTAAAACGATAATAAAAACAAAACAACCTTTTCATTGTTCAATACTGGCTCAAAACGTTAAACTTATTAAAAAAATACAATAAAAATCAGTTGACAGCATGTAGATTTCCCGCGCTTTTTGACGTAAACCTAACCTAGAAATGGAAAAACATGACGCTTTTGATCTTGGGCATGAGCACGCGTCGGTAGAAGTGATCGAAGGCGGCGAGGCAACGCGCGCATTCAGCCAATGCGGCGGCCGCGCGCCACGCCGCGCCCCCGCGCTCTCCGCCAGCACGGCGGCAGCGGCAGTACGCCGCGCGCTTCACCACACTCCTAATAAGAAAAAGTAAAAAAAATAGATCAAAATAAACACGGCCCAAGACTAGGTCCTGATCTATCGGAAACATTGCTTCAATTTGTTTGATTTAAGCTCCGCACGGGAACCTTTCACGATATTTGACTATAAGTGTACCCATTTTCAATAGCTTTTTAATATTGTCTTATTAGCGCATGCATACCTTTGAATAAACTCTCGCAACACTATTTAGTCACGATTTCGTTCCTATGAGCCTATATGGTGTGCAAACTACTCGGTTTTTAGTTGTGCAACTAAATAGTTGAATTACCTGCGAAATAATCGACAATCGCACAATAGTTGTGTGATACTTCTGTCAAAGGTATTCACCCCCTCTTAGTGTAAACATTCAGTAGCACATTTACTTAAGGTTGGTACCTAGCACTAGTGTATGTACATTTATTAAAAGTTGGTACAGTAAAACCTCGATAACTCAAACCTCGGTAACATAAAAACCTCTATAATTTCAAAAAATAATATGTTCCCTTCCCTTCAGAGCCCAAAACCTCTAAAACATAGACCCTTGATAACTTAAAACCTCTATAACTTAAAATATTTTGTGTTTCCCTTGGACTTTAACTTCTCAAGGTTCTACTGTAGTATGTAGTGTAGTGTTATTTACTTTAGGTTGGTACCTACCACTAGTGTACATTTATTGAAGGTTGGTAGTAAATGTAGTGTTCACAAGGTACCTGGCAGCGACGCGCGTGTGCGCTGGGTCAGTCTGGCGTCATAGCGCCGTGTCGAACATCTGCAGCGATCGCGTGATGACGTCATCCTTGAGGCACGACTCCAGGAACTCCTCGATGGTGATCACCCCGTCCTGGTTCAAGTCCAGCTTCCTGAACACCCTATCCACCTGCGAAAACGTTACACGAGTGAGATAGAAGATATACGATCACGTAGTAAGAAAGAGACTTATCTATACTATTATAAAGAGGATTTGAATATTTATTTTTTTGTATTTTTGTATGTATTGGAATAACTCGAAAACTATTGGGACGATTAAAAAAAAAACACCATTAAAAAGCTACGTTAGCAGTGATTGAAATAGGCTATATTTTTTTTTACTTTTTAATTTCACAGAGGCGAAGACACTAGCAACAGCTAGTTTTATAATAAAGATGGTGCGTGAAGTGGGAGCAATTCTGCGTACAGTCTGATGTGTGTGGTGACGGAAGCTTTCCATCCTTTTTTTATAAGAAAAGGATGGGAAGGGAACATGGATTTGATGCTGGTGGAGACGCATAGGAACGGGAAATATCCTCAATATGTACGAATGTATATGAGTAGCGGTGGCTTCGACATTTTGGCGGATTCAGGTGGCCGTTTACTCGTATACCACCTTATGAAATAAAAAAAGGTGTGCGTGGTCTTAGAAACTGAAGTCAATAAGTGAATACCATCTGCCAGTCTGCTAACTGGACTGATCAGCCACTATTTATTCGTTTATTACCTGTTCGTTTGCCTTAGCATCATCCAGTCTGGCAGCAGGCGAGCCAGGTGGCGCACGTCTGCCCAACAGCTCATGGACAGCCACCACGACTTCAGCAAGCTCCTGTCTTGTAATCGCACCATCACCGTCAACGTCGTACAGCCTGAACGCCCAACGTAGTCGCTCGTAGACAGAACCTCGGAGCAACGTGGATAGCGTGACCAGTAGCTCCTGGAATCATTCCCACATAAATATAAAATACCTGCTTTCACCCGCGACTCCGTTCTCGTGGATTTAAAAAATAAGAAAGTACCCTTTGTGTTCTTCTATATACCAAATTGCATTGAAATCCGTTCAGCCGTTTACGTAAAAAACTCTAACAAACAAACATCTACCCATCTAAATTTTCGCATTTACAATGTTACTAAGATAAAAAACCGCTGATTCTCGCTTCCCCTACGTATATGTTAGATAACATAACATACTAATCATTTTTAGTGTCTAAGAGCTGTAACCGCAAACTTCGTTAGTGCATATTTGGGCCACCCGTTACGCCATTTTGATAGCGCGGATAAAAAAGTAGACTATAATATGCCTATCTGTGTCAGCTACCCTCCATTGAAAGTCCCGTCGAAACCGGCTCAGCCGTTTCGGAGATTGCCCGGAACAAACGCGGCTTGCGGACAGACAGACAAACGGACAATCCAATTTTATTATATGTATAGATATAGATAGAAGATAGATACACTATCCAAGTTCTTTCATCTTAATTATTTGCTAGCAAGTTAATTTAAGTCTTACGTAGAAGGTAAATATACTATCAAAGTTCTAGAACCATCTGTCGGGGAAGCACCGTCCGTAGTTAATTGGAACACAGGAAATGAACTGATAAGTTAGGGTTGCCACATCAAACTCAATATCGTCTCGGAAAATTGTGGTAGAATGTTAAAATTACTGACGTATTTAATAAATAGATATAGTTAAATTGAAATATTTTAAACTGCATGTTATATTAGCCGTCTTTTATTTTTTTCTTGCAAAGGAAGGCCTCATAATACAAAATTGTCTTATTCTTTATAACTGCAATTTACATAATTTACCGATTGCTGAATATAACATTCTAAAAACACTAGACGATAACGTTATACATCCATATAACCAAATCGAATCAAACAAATAAATCCAGCCAAATACAAACTACGATTTTAAAAAATCAAACAGGTGACAACCCTAACAATACGAGCTGGAATGATTCTAGATTCTAGATCGTGTAATTAATTGTACCGCTCCGTGTGCAGTGTAATTCACATACACAAGTATATGTAAATCTGATAAAACTTCGACGACATAATCGCACGACTATTCTGCGACTGTTGATTTTTTTGTAGCCCAACTGTTTAGTTACACAACTAAAAATCGAGTAGTGTGCGCACCTCCATATAATCAAAGGCTCATAGGAATCAAAGCGACTAAACAGTTGTTCGATAGTTTAGTCAAATGAAGACGAATCAAATAACACCACACTAGACAAAATCGGTTCCGTCGTTTAAAATATTCTGAGGCAATCGGGTAAAAAAGATTTTTTCCTGCTTATCTTTTTCGAAACAAAACATGAAAGAAAGGAAATTGTAAGTTTTCCCTAAGCAAACGAAAATGTAAAAATTAATGACGTAATTCAAGAAGCCATTGTGTTGAACTTTTTAAGTATCAATAAAGGCACAGGATGAAAGTTGCAAGTTGTTCCTGTCAGGAATTTGGCAAACTTTTTAACGACTTCTTTCGACTTTAGAATTAGCTGAATAATTTCCCATTTTTTAATAACTACATGAAATGAGTTACATCTCTTTCACTCACTCTGTTTACGACAGAGATAGTAATAGAGTTCACATTTGAAATTAATTGTAAGGTCACGTTAGTGTACCAGTTGGAATTTAAGCAACCAAACGTCTAGTCAATCCAGTGGGGGTAATTTAACTGTCAAGTGGCTTGGACGGTTGCCAGATTCGGAAGGATTCCAGCCCACGTTGCAAAGTAACAATCGATTAGCGATATCGCTAGTTATCTGTTAAAACGTACCAGAATAAATACGTAACTAGTATTTTGAATACTGACTAGACTTAGGGCCTGTCCCACCAAATTGTAAAATGTCTAATAAATGATAAATGTCTGGTGTCCAACGTGTAAAATATGTGATTTTGTTCCCTTATCTGACAGTGACGTCATTTTTAAGCTATCTGATCGTCTATCAGTCAGTGGTGGAACAGGCCCTAATTGTGATATATTTTTTTTTTATAATATAAGGTGGCATACGAGCAAGCGGCCACCTGAATCCATCGAAATGGAAAGCAACCGCTGCCCATAAACATCCGCAATTGCAGATGCGTTGCCTACCCTTCATTGACGGAGGTGGAGACGTACATAAATTCATTTCCTATTCTTATGCGTCTCGTCCACCGTCAAGTCCACTTTTCCTTTCCATTCTTTCCTCTTAAAAAAGGGTGGAAAGGGAAAGGGACTAAAATTAGGCATCTGACACCACACTCATCGGACGAAACGCAGAATTGCTTCCACTTCACGTCTGTCTTCTGTGTGATCGTGGTATTTCATCGAGCGAGCCGGCCCATTCGTGCGAAGATGTTAAAGCGGGCTCTACCACTGTCATTACTTATAACATATCGATAGGCTATATTGTTGATTAAATATTACTTTGTCTGCGGATCTAGAAAACTATTTGAATATTAAAAGCGTTCAGTATATTACTGATAAACAGTTAAAATTTCTATTACTAAATAAAATTTTAACTATCTACCAAATCCGTAAAAAACATGCTCAGGAACATAACTATCATAGATATTGTAGAAACAATTCAATTAAAGTGATCTAATTAACAATGTTGGCAGCAATCGGCAGATTTCAATTTCGATATGGCAACATTGGCGAGCAAATTGTCGCCCGTTCGGATACTTGTAGAAATGGTAGAGTTGTGTTCTTGCAATAATTGAGACGTATTCATTAAAACATTTTAAAAAATTAGCTCCGTAAAAAACTAATTAAACATCTTTTATAGTTAAACAGTTTTCATACTTTCTACACTCTTAAAGTACATTCTTAAAGCCTTTTTTTTCTAGTGGATAAAAAAAATAAAATTATTTACACAGTGTAAGTGAGTGTGTGTGTGTGTGTTTTATGTTTAATTGAATACCTATCTATACTATTATAAAGAGGAATGATTTGTATTTTTGTTTGTATATTATGCTACGGCGTTAGTACATGTGCAATGTTTTAATTTTGCGTGGGCGAAGTCGCGAGCAACAGCTAGTCTTTTATATTCTTGAAACTCATGTTGAAGTTTGTCTTTTTATTTGCATTATTGTAGCTGATTTCTCCATAATTGACTCTATACGAGTATATCTCTATCGCACATGCAAAAATATTAATTATTAGAAAAAAATTCCCTCATCTTAATCCGTCCCTGCTTGGATGCTTGCCAACTAAAAACTTTCTCCCGACGAATCAAACAAATTAACTCTTAAAGTATCACAATGTTCAAAGCTTTTTCAAAGAAACAACTTATTCTGAATAATATTGTGTTGACAATGAACAAACGTACTCAAAGAAATCTTGTTCCTTAATAATATTATAAATGCGAAAGTTTAGATGGTTGTTTGTTAGAGTTTGTAGCCTAAACAGCTGAAAGGATCTCGATGAAATTTGGCATAGATGTAGAGGATAGTCTGGAACACATAGGCTACTTTTTTTTTATTCCACGCGAACGAAGACGCGGGCGAAAGCTAGTGTTTAAATATTACTTCATTCTATAGTTTTAGTTTTTTTTTAACAGAATTTTTTTAGATGAATCCTTAACTGAATAATCAATACAGTCGATTTTTATGGTAAACTAATTACACTAAAACTTCAATAAGGTATTCTCTTAGTAACTATTTTGAGTGAGGCTTGAAGCATGTTACACGAAAAAAGCAATTAAAAACAAGAATAGTGTGTTTAATTATGTAAAATACTTTTTCGCGTACAGATTCATCCGCGTGAAATTATAAAAACTTTATTTTATTATTTACATTTGTCATATTATCAATAGCAAATGTCAAAATGACATGACACGACAAACCTCGACAGTCTTGCATTCTTATATGTTGGCAACAACTTATGGTCTCTTTCCCACATTAGGGTTTTTATCCAAAACATTTACCCGCTAAGTTTAATGGCGTGGAAATATATAGCCTAAAGCATGACTTAAGTGTAGGGCATTTTCTTAAAAAAAAGAATTATTTAAAAATATGGTGTAATTGCTGACATCTTAGGCAACAAAGAAGTGTGTGTTTACGCTTTATTATAAGAGTATAGATTATTACCGTTACATAAAAGCTAATATTGCACAGGTTATACCAAAATTCGAATTTCGAACTATAAATAATTTAGTATGCACGTTTAAAGTTTCTATAACAAGTCCATAGTTACTGTAGTTTAACGCAAAGTTTGTTAATGTTTTTGTTTTGATCGCAGTGTGGCTTGTTTTCGTGTTCAGCGTAGCTTCCCTAAACAAATAACAAGCACGAATATATTAACTACTAACTTTCGCCCGCGACTCCCTCCGCGTGGAAATAAAAAAAAATAAAAGTGAGTAGCCTGAATCCGCCAAAATGGCGAAGCGACCGCTACCCATAGACATCCGCAGTTGCAGATGCGTTCCCTAGCCTCATTCGACGGAGGAGAAGACGCATATAAAGAGAATATTTCCCCTTCCTATGCATCTCCTCCACCGTCAAATCCACTTCCCCTTCCCATCCTCTCCTTATAAGAAAAAGGTGGTAAAGTGGAAGGGACTTAAATTAGGCCTCCGGCACCACAGTCATCAGACGAAACACGGAATTGCTTCCATTTCACGCCTTTGTTCTGTGTGGTCGTGGTATTACACCGGGCGAGCCGGCACTGCAGTGCGAAGATGTTAAAGCGGGCTCTACCTAAGACGTTAAACTATCCTCTACATCTGTACTAAACATCGAAATCCGTTCAGCTGTTAAGGCTACAAACTCAAACAAACATCCGTCTAAACTTTCGTATTTATAATATTAGTGTGATTATTGTTTTGAATTCGTCATAATGTACGTAAAATAAGCGGTGTTCCACCTTAAACCTTTTTGCGCTACAAAATAAATTTAACAGATAAGCTTTCTCCTTTTCCCTCAACTTCTTTAAAAATATAACTAAAAACTTCGGTACTAACAGATAAAACTGGCAACATTTTTACGTAAAAGTTCGTGGGAAATTTCATTTATTTTTCTTAAAACTCGAAAACATCAGATAGCCAGTAGCAACAGCTGTTTATTTTTAAATATCTTTAAAAGGTTTTATTAAAGTTATATCGTTTCTAAAATCAGTTGAAGTTTATAATTTCTTTCTGATCAAGATACGGCACGTTTTATATTTATGAAGAGTTGAAAGATTGATTATTTTTAATGAGCAAGAAAATATTAACCTCGCATAAAAAAAGAAAGATTGTCTTTCTATTTTTTTATTTAATTCGCGAGATATTTTTAATTTTAAATGTTGGCTAGCTTGCACAATGACATTCGCGCGTTCGGATATTTGTCATAGCATCGAATGAGCGCATAATGTCATCATCTAAATGTTGCCAGGGTTGGACATCATGCGTTCAATAATGGATTTTATTTATACTACAAGTAGTATATATTGCCGCTTCATTATATTAATATATATATAGATTAACAAATAGTATATTGTGGTAATACTCACTCTAAAGCTGATTGCCCCGCTGCAGTTAACATCGAACGCTTTGAAGACATAATGCGCGTATAGTGCTGAATCTAAAAAAAAATATATTCAGTTGGAGTCTCAATGAGTCTTTTCATAAACAATTCAGATATTTTGCTAAAAAAATATATGCAGATAAAGGCAAGTAAATCGCATCTAAGAGTGGCGCACCTTTGTTTAAAATATCGCACAACTGTTGTCGATTTTCGATTGTTTTGCAGCCTTCAACTGTTTAGTTGCAACTAAAAACGAGTAATGTGACCTCCATATAAGTTCATAGGAATCAAAGCAAGACTAAACAGTTGTGCGATAGTTCAGTTTCAGGTGTACGCATGCTATTATAACTTTCTTTCTTATTATTGGTATATTTTTTTAATAATATTGTGTATCATAAAACAATACTTACTTCCATGTGGAAAGAATTTGGCATAAATATCTTTGAATGACTCTTCGTGAACCACGCCCTCTGGACACTCCTGAAACAAAAGAAGTCTTATTTAAAAAAACATACGTCTACTAAAATATAACTGTTTTCGCTAACGACTTCACAAAACCAGTAAAGGTTGTTTTAAAACTGTTGTCACCCTAAAAAAAATATCGTTGTCTGTGGTAGTTTATACTAGGGTTGTAACGGAGGCCATTTTAACGGAAGCGGATGCGGATGCAGCGGCGTAGGTTTTCACCTCTGCGGAAGCGGAGGTTAACGGAAGAGCAAGCGGAGGTTAATAATAAAACATTAATTGCGATTTATTAAAGAATTATAAACTAAAACTACGTTAATTCAAAATACAGATTGGTACATACAAGATACAGTTTATTATGCAAATATAATGTATAACAATTATAGTTAGTTGACCTAGCACGCCCGTGCGGGCATAAACGATACCTAATAAAAAATAACTGAAGCGGATGCGGAGTCAATATTTCTTGCGGAAGTTCCGCACTTGCGGATGCGGAAGCGGAGTTCCGTCACAACCCTAGTTTATACTATTAAAAGTTGGCGTTTTCGGTGCGATTGTAGACAATAACGCTAAAATATCTCCCAACTAACGAACGATTTTTTTTACACCGCTTCTAAAGTTTTGATTAAGAAACAAATGTTTTAGAGATAGAGCTTTTAATTTTTTATAAAATCACTAAATTGTAATAAATGAGACTGTCTGTGTGCAATTTCAAAAAGAAAAAAAACGAAAATCGCATTTAAAAACATTTTGTCTGTCTGTTCGCAAACCGAGTTTATTCCAGGTAATATCTGGCAGCGAACGAACGCAATTGCAGATGCGTTTCTTTATTTATGTCAAGACTACAATGTGATATTTTAAAAAAGTAGCCAATGTTTCATACAAACTATATTAACAAGAACATACTAAAATCCAAATAAAATAGTAATGGTCATAAACAGAATACAATGCGCATTTCCAAAACAACGCAGCAACGCCACGCCAGGTCGCGTGCGGCGAGTGTCGGGCGTCGGGGAAGCGGCCTTGTAGTCCAGGGTTGCCAGTGTCAACGTCAAAATTTGCATGGATTATAGATAATCTGGCATTCATTAACATTTACTGCGGTAAATATCTATAGTTTAATTATTATTAAAATAGTTAAATACTTTGTTAATTAACATAGGTAGAATTCTGATGGATAAGATACGAAACGAGTATATTAGAGGAAGTTTGAAAGTAGCCCTAGTGGTAGAGAAATTAAGGAGTAAAAGTTAGCATGGGGGCATGTTATGAGAAGGGATGAATCGCATGTAACAAGAAGGACGTTAGATGTGTGTGGAGGTACACGTGTGGAGGTACACCGGTAGATGTAGACTTAGAAAGAAATGGATAGATTGCGTGAAAGGCGACATGATCAAGAAGGGAGTTACTGGGATGATGGACGATAGTTTTTTGGAGGACGAAAACACGGTGTGTCGACCCTACGGGAGTATAGTAAGAAAGAGGATAGTAAAATTAACATGTAAATTATTTTCCAATTAGGCAACCCTGTTTAAAATTGAAAATAGGCCGAAATGGCGCGAAGACTTTATAGCTATAATTCGAATTGAGGTTAACTCAAATTAGTTTTTGATGTCCGATAAAAGATTACATGACAAATTTACGATTCGCATTCGAATTTTAATTGCGAATAGTTATTTATTTTGGATATTTATGTTTGTTGAACATGAAATGCGCATTAAAAAGTTTTTATATAATTACAACATTTTTATTCTTTGTGTCAAAAAAGGTGTAAAAAAACGTTCATCATTTTTTTATCTCGATAAGAAAAAAGGCGATCGATGCTTACAATTGTACGAGTTAGTAAGAAACGGTGGTCATTTCTAATTGGTAGTTCAATTCCCATTTAACATTAAAAAAAAAGCTATTATCTACATTGTTCTTTATTCTTTTAAGTGAGAAGAAATTCTTCACAGCCATTTTAAAACGTCGCCATTATTTCGCTTTCTGTCCGTAGAACTCTAAGATGTTATAAAAGTGACAATTAAGTTCTTGCATTTTGAGGCCAAGTTGTAGCATGAAATAATGACATCTGTAAAATAGGAAAAAAAGTCCATTAAACTTTTCATTTCGTAATTCCAGACAGTCGAGAGAGATGCGATGTCAATATTTATTTCATAACACGAAGAGTTTATAATAAATGTTTGTTACGAGTTAAGTCGACTCAAAATAAACATCATGGCACGTTACATTAAGCTGAACGCAAATAAACCTTGCATAACGCATTTATTTTAAAGATGGCCGACATACAGCTGTCAGTTTGACATGTAGCGCGCGCTCCGAGTTATTTTGGCGGGAACGGTCGTCGACTCGTTCACCTACTGACCTTTTCATTGTGGATTATTACACTGTACCATTTTCACACCTTCATTTAATACGGGCCGGTGTTAAAAGCATTATTTTTGTTTATATAGTTTTACGGCTCAAACAAGTCAAGTCATTATTTTTTAAAACAACAATAAAAAACATAACTAACATCCAACTAGTATCAATATCATATTTGCCCAGATTTTAGAATAATGTTTTTAAATTCTTAGCCTTCTGTTGTACTAAGCCAAGCTTCCAATAAATAATTTGTGTATAACAAGACATCAGTGCATGGTACAAAAAACATAACCTCAAAAAAATCTTCACATATTCGCGCCATCTTACAGTTTTAATGGTCGTAAATCGCGCCATTCTCTCGACATTCATAAAAACGTCGTCGCTCGGAATCTCGCTTAGACATTCACAAAGGTATGTTCTATACATCTACAATACTAGGTGTTCCCACAGGGAAATACAACGCGCTTTGAAATGGAAAATGAAGGTAAATTCTTGGCAAGTGCTTGGATGGAAATATTACAGATTAAGGCCCTGTCCCACAAAATTGTAAATTGTCTGATAACAATCTAACGTGTAAATGTGATGGAAATATCGGGTTTTGTTCCTTTATCTGGCAGTGACGTCATTTTTATGCTATCTGAGCATCTATCAGCCAGTGTTGGGAAAGGCCCTGTAAATATTGGATCATATATTTTTGAACTATTCATCGACTATCTATATTTCTTTACTTTACTGGTATTATAAAGAGGAAACTTTTGTATTTTTACATGTTTTCGATTTACGTAAAAACTACTGGGCCGATTTTAAAAATCCTTTCACCATTAGAAAGGTAATATATCTGTGAGTAAAATAGGCTGTATTTTATACTATTGTTGACACGTAGACGAAGTCGCGAGCAACAGATGCTATATAACCTAGTTGGATCATAGATACATGCAATAATGTAACTCAAAAAGTGAATCTTTTTGCTTCAATTTAGATATTTATAGGTTATGTTATATTTTACTTGCGAAAAACATTGCATCAGTGAAGGTCTATACGGAAAAAGATTAGCGAGTATGATAAGACCGTTTTGTTTAGACGGGCTATAAGACGTGATTTTTGTCACTATTTTACCTATCAACAACACCGATAGCCGCTTTTAAATGGAAACGAAGCTGTAATTTCGAATTTCAGTTATATAAGTGTTTTGATATTATAACAGCAAAAAATCAATGTCTTAATTAGAACGCCGTAAGTACATCACTTGTACCACGCCCGATCGCACCTCTAGGCATGTAACAAGTGTTGGCTAACACTTCAACATTCTATGAAGCTGATTTTATCCACTTCTCAATTTTACCAGGTGAATAAAATTGGTTTTAAACAGATAAAAATGTTACTGTATTCTGAGAGCTAGCAAAAAACGTCTAGCGTTAAAAACGAGATGTTTTGCGTGAAATTGCATTGAATTTAAAAATTCTGTTGAGTGTTTCATTTTACGAAATAAATGAAAGTAAAATTAAAATGTGCAAATAATGGTACGTTAGAAAAACAAATGAAACGCATTATTTTGAACAAAAATACAATTACAGTTGCTCGCAACTTCTCCCGCGTCAAATTAAAATATAGCCTATGTCACTCACAGAAAAAATAATCGTAGCGGTGAGGGAATTTTTAAAATCGGCCCAATAGTTTTTGAGTCAGAGAGAGTCTGCGTTTTAACAGTGGTAGAGCCCGCTTTAACATCTTCGCACGAATTGGCCTGCTCGCCCGGTGTAATACCACGACCACACAGTAAACAGGCGTGGAAGCAATTCCGCGTTTCGTCTGATGAGTGTGATGCCGGAGGCCTAATAATAGTTCCTTTTCTTTCCACCCTTTTCTAAAGAGGAATGGATGGAAAGGAAAAGTGGATTTGACGGTAGACGAGACGCATGTGAAGGGGAAATGTCCTCTTGATGTGCGTCTCCTCCTCCGTCAATTAAGAGTAGGCAATGCTGCAATTGCGGATGTTTATGGGCAGCGCTCGCTTTTCATTTTGGTGGATTCAGGTGGCCGCTTGCTCGTTTGATACCTTATATTGTAAAAAAATAAAATAAAAAAAGAATATTTCAATACATACAAAAATACGTATCTTTTATTATAATAAAAGTATAGATTACATATGAATAACATACTATAGACAACCGAAACCTACAGTATTTCTTATTTAATTCTTACAGAAGTGAACTTTCATGACCATAGTTAGTGTTAAAAAAATGTACAATCGCGTAAATCCGCGGTGTTTAATTTACAATGCCTTTTTCCTTGCAACAAGACCTTATTTCGAACACACATTTAAAAGTGAATTATTGGCTACTGTACCGCGTCATTTCAATTCGTCTAACATAGCTTCCAAATTGGAACATCGCCATATTCCTTAACTGTACAAAAACATTTTATTATCTCTATTAAGTCATCATTACCAGCTCACCATACGTCCCCACCGAGGGGCTCGGAGCCTACCCTAAGTTAGAGTGACTAGGGCATAGTCAACCACGCTGCACTGCGGGTTGACTTCACACATATCTTTGAATTTTTTCGCCGATATGTGCAGGCATCACGATGTTTTCCATCACCGTAAGATCGGGTAAATTATGTATATGTGAAAAATCGAAAATCCCATTGGTACGGCGGGATTCGAACCCAATACCTGCAAAGTACAAGTCAATTGGTTAAACCACTGAGCCACCGACGCTCTATTAAGTACAAGACCAAAATTAATTCTAGTTTTTTTTTCAGTAATTATAAAAAGAATATAGCCAGTAAAAGAACGAAAATAATCTTAAAAACAAAAGAGCTAACATAACTTCAAATTTGAGTGTACACAAAATAAGTACAGCTAAAATGTTTATAACGCGCTTGTGTGCCAATAACAAGATTACTGCTTAATTGGTTAAGATTTAAAAGATGTAAGGTTTCCGAACGTCATAGGATAACAGCCGTTTTGAGGTTCTGTAGTTTAGTACTAGCATTTTCATAGCCTTATCTATACTAAAATTATAAAGAGGGAAGATTTGTAATTTTTTAAATATCTTGCACAATTAAACAGCTATCAGTGAGTAGTATAGGCATTTTTTTCAGCTAGTATTTTTTTTTTATAATAAAGGGGGGCAAACGAGCGGCGAGAACACCGAAGTGGTCAGCGACGCCCATGGACATCCGCAACACCGGAGGAACTACAGATGCGTTGCCGGCCTTTGAGGAAATGATAGGCTCGCTTCTTGAAGGACCCTAAGTCGTATTGGTTTGGAAATACAGAAAGTTCCGCGAAAACCGCACGGTTGTGGAATGCCAGCCATCGAGATGGTGAGGATGGTATCTTGCGGTCTGTCAATAGTATTACATCAATAGACATTTTTGTAAAAAGATTTAAGGGGTGATAATTTTTTATATCCTAAAGTGGCAAACGAGCAAGCAGCCACCTGAATTCGCCGAAACGGCGAAGCGACTGCCTATGTCTATAGGATGTCTATCCGCAATTGTAGATGCGTTGCCTACCCTTAATCGACGGAAGAGGAGACAGCACATAAACAGGACATTTCCCCTTCCTATACATCTACTCCGCTGTCAAATCCACTTTTCCTTCCCATCCTTTCCACTTAAAAAAAGGGTTGAAAGTAAAAGTTATTAAAATAGGGCCTTCGTCATCACGTCTTTCCATATTTCCGCTACGAATCGAAATCTCTCCTTTCTTTATTTCTTTGCTCATGTACTTATATTTAATTAATCTTTATTACAGTTAATTTCTTAATGCGTATATAAAACGTTGGTACAGTTTGTGCCGACTGCGCCGCACACTTCTCAACACTTGTTACGCTAGGCCTCGTGGAACCCTAGCGAACAGCGTTTGGTACAAGCTGTAAGCAGCAAGCGAGTCATTAATGACAATTATAATAAACGAGTTGTCGCCCGAAAACTTTGTAAGCGGAAATTTGGACCACCCGGAACGACATTTTGACAGCGTAGAATAAAAAAGTGGCCTATAATATGCCTATCTCTGTCAAATACCCTGAATGAAAGTCCCGTCGAAATCGCAAAGCGCGTTTGTTTCGGAGATTACCCGAAACAAACGCGGTTTGCGGACAGAGAGACAAAAATTTAAATGCGATTTTCGATATCAGCAATACAAATAAATCATCTTCCCGAAATCTGGAATTTTTCTTTCGATATTACACTCCACTTTTATAATATGTACAGAAAATGGGTTGTCAATGTAGGGTAAGATTTCTACAATACCCTCTTCATATCTATCATAACTAGGGGGATGACAAGTGTTATGTGAGAGTAATTTGAAGACCAGTGGCACCACTATGCAAGCTAATAGTCAGTACCTTCTATCAGTCATCTGTCTTCAATCTGATATAAGAAGTGTTAAGAAGAAAGTTAGTACCGCGCTGTAGAATTGCCGCAACACTAGTTTATTGGCATAAACGTCACATCTCTAAGTGACAGCTGTCAATGTCTTTAGAAGAATTGACTTGTGGGACCGCTAGTTCAGTTTTTAAGTTAATATCGCTAGTTAAAATTATATTAATTGTTTAAAAGTAGGTACTTATAATTTCAACTCAATTTAAAAAAAACCTCGAGAAAACTTATTTTTAACGAACTAAAGTGTTTTGAAGCATTTTTCACTACTACACACTATAACAATAACCTGGGTTCTACCTTCATCGTCCTCTACCAACAGCACCAATTCTAACCTTTTGTGATCTTGTTAAATGAAAATATAAACTCGCTTATCGCTTACAGATTGTACCACACTCATCAATTCTGAGTGGCACTCGTCGTCAGTGCCAGCTCCGATGTCAAACGGCCGTTTACGTCGCTACACAAACACGCCATCTACGTATTACAGACATAAATGACAATCTTCACTAGGTTAACAAGATATCCAAAATTTTTAGACCATTTCATGGTTCATGGACAACTTTCTGCGACTTTAAATGCAGTTTTCTGTTTAATTACAGCGCGTTTTACTAAACTATCTAGGTAGAATCGTGGTTTATTTCTGACTAGCTGTGGCCTGCGACTTTGTCCACGCAATATTAAGATAAAAAAATAGCATATAAAACGCCCGTCTATGTTACCCTTCAGTGAATGTCGGTCGAAATCGGCTCAGCCGTTTGAGTACCCGGGACAATCGCGGCTTGCAGTCAGACAGACTAAAAAAAAATTAAATGCGATTCTCGTTATCAGCAACGCAAATATCTTCCCGAAATCTAGATTTGTTCTTTTGTTATCACAGACACTCCAATTTAAATATATGTGTTACATAAAAAAAACTATCGCACAACTGTTAAGTCGCGTTTTGTTTTCTATAATATTAGCATATATGGAGGTGCGCACACTACTCGATTTTTAGTTGAGCAACTAAACAGTTGAATTGACAGCAAAACAAACGCACAACGATTGTGCGATAGTTTAGTCTAAGGTGTGTACCCGCTCTTAAAACACTACCTAGTATCTATACTTATTATAACAAAGCGTAAACACACACTTCTTTGTTGCCTAAGATGTCACCAATTACAGCATATTTTTGAATAATTCTTTTTTTAATAAATAGCCCTACACTTACGTCACGCTTTAGGCTATATATTTTTACGCCATTAAACTTAGGGCGTAAATATTTTGGATAAAAACCTAAAAAAGAAAGAAAAGAGACCATAAGTTGCTGCCAACATCAAGGAAGCAAGGTTGCCATGGGTTGTCACCATGTCATGTCATTTTGACATTTGTAATTGATAATTTGACACATGTAATAAAATAAAATTTTCGTAATTTTATACGGATGAAGACGCAAGGGAACAGCTAGTATCGTATAAGACACAAGTCTTGTTAGAAATATGTTTATATTTCACTTTAATGATGGGACTAAAAGAAATTTCCCTTTTAAATAACTTCAAGGTGAGTACACTATCTGTGAAATTACTAAGCCAACGTCAACGCCAAGGCAACAGGAAATGCAGCAAAACTAGGTCTCTAACGCCGGCGAGGCCTCAAATATTCATGCATTCTAGCATTTCACAGAATGTTACCTAGGCATTACAAATGAGTTTATTTTTAACACGAATTTAAAATATTCGATTTCATCTGTAGGTCTGGCTGAATGGTACGAACTTTTGCCTTATTTAAAAATAAACTTTTGACATAACAGATTAAAAATAAAATAGCAACTTACCGTTTTAAACCCTCTATACATGACTCTGATTTCTTGTTTCGAGAATTTTGTCTGTCTGCATAATTCCTCCAATGCAACTGGTATAGGTTTCGGGGTTCTGCTGGGTTCTAATTCGTAAGCGTGTTCCTCAACCGGGGATTCCGGTGGAGTTGCCATCGTCACTGAATATTTTTACCACAACACTAATAATCACAACATAATATAACACTATTTCTAATCCGCCATTAATCACACTGGCGTTTATTTTTTATTTTTAATCTATGATAATATTTGGCGCGCTAACTTTTTAATTTGACAGCTCGAGGTCATCGATGGCGGGAGATTACTCCATTTAAATTACGAGTTAGTGTTTCTTGGAAGGTAAAAGGCAGGAATTCGAATCTGAAACAAGAGATGCAAATGTATAATTCAATGTTCAAGTATTTAATTAACTATAAAAAATAGACTTCAAGTGCTTGGTCTGGATTATATTTTTTATTTCATAAAGCCTGCACACATTGAGTTATATAGAACTGAATGTACAATAATTACGAGTGTACGCAAAACTGAACAGAATACAGTTTAACTGACAATTATAATGTTACCTGCGAAAAAAATTACAAAACCGTCGTAAAACCTGTCATGATGTATGGATCTGAATCTTGGGCAGTAAAAGGGACAGATGAAAGGAGAATACATGTGGCGGAAATGCGAATGTTAAGATGTGTGGTAACACGATTGGATAAGATACGAAATGAGTATATTAGAGGAAGTTTGAGAGTAGCCCCAGTGGTTGAGAAAATAAGGAGTAAAAGGTTAGAGTGATATGGGCATGTTATGAGAAGGGATAAATCGCATGTAACAAGACGGACGTTAGTTATGAATATGAAGGGGGTACACCGGTAGAGGTAGACGTAGAAAAAGATGGATGGATTGCGTGAAAGGTGACATGATCAAGAAGGGAGTGACTGAGATGACGGATGATAGAGTGCTTTGGAGGACGAAAATCCGGTGCGCCGACCCTACGGGAGTAGGATAACGCAAGAGACATGATGATGACCTGCGTGCATTCATTACACTCCGACTGTTCAATCGTTCTATTCAGTCAAAACTGAAGGTTTTAGTGGGCCTCATACAGTCTTAATAAACAAATTTAATTGATTCCCAAAAAATTATTGTATAAAATTGTTTTCAAAATAGGATAATATTTTCACACATCGAATCGTACACATGATAGACCTCTGTAAACTAATTCAATTGAAGCGTCAAATAGCGCGGGATTTGGCCGGCGGCCATCTTGCTTTGCGCAGGTTTGGCGCCAAACGGTAACGCCCGGTGATAATTTTGGCATTTGACACATCGTTAAAAACTTTACACCGCGTATGAACAACAATCACTTTTATTAGATGGGTGGTTTACATATTAACAACACGAAATTAAATTTATAAATCTGTCTCTGGCGACTTCGTCCGCGTGGAATAAAAAAATATGGCCTATGTTACTCAGTGATAGTATAACTTTTATGACGAAAGAATTTTTTTAATCTGCCCAGTAGTTTTTGAGTTATTCCGATACATACAGAAATACAATTTTTTTCTCATTATATTATAAGTATAGCTAACACACTTCGCCCTTTTAAAAGTAAAGATTATAAAATTCCATTTAATGCAACGCTGACGTACAGTTACGGAAATTTCCGGTGAACAATTGAATTGATCAATTGCCTTGTTTTCATCATCACCAGCTAACTATAAGTTAGTTAGTTAAAATATGTCTATGACCATAGATATCTTTTTAACTTTCATTCAAGATGCGATTGAGGAATAAATTAGAACAATATTATAATTTTTGCTTATCCAAGCTTTTTATAAGACGTACTTGACATTTCATCCCCATCAAGATAATAACGAGACCTCTTCACTTAACCTTACTTTAAACCTGCTTATTTTTCATAGTTAACATATAAAATAATATAGAACATATTTTTAACTTCGACTTCGGGCATGCAATATTAAAATAAAAAAGTAGCTTATAATATGTCCGGTCGAAATCGGTCCAAACGCGACTTGCAGATACAGACAAAAAAAATTAAATGCGATTTTCGTTATCAGCAAGGCATCATCTTTCCGAAATCTGGATTTTTTCTTCTAATATTCAAAACAGACACTCCAATTTTATTATATGTATAGATATCTCCAAATATAACAAATATTGAAAATGCTTCCCCAAATCTGACCTAGATTTCGTCTACATATTCCATGTAAATGTTGGATCATTTCTATGCAAAACTAACAGACAGAACTGCGCTCTGACGCCCCGTTTTATTGGCCAGTGTATTGTTCTCTAGTCACATAGCATACATTTGGCCAGCCAATATTGATGAATGGTAATTTTTATTAACACACTAGCTGTTCCCGTGCGACTTCATCCGCATAAAACTATAAATAATTCATTTTATTGTTTACATTTGTCAAATTATCAATAGCAAATGTCAAACTGACATGACATGACAAACCTTGGTAATTTTATTTTCTTGATGTTGGCAGCAACTTATGGTCTCTTTCCCATATTAGGGTTTTTATCCAAAATATTTACCGCCTAAGTTTAATGGCGTGAAAATAGCCTAAAGCGTGACGTAATTGTAGGGCTTTTTATTAAATAAGGAATTATTCAAAAATATGGTGTAATTGCTGACATCTTAGGCAACAAAGAAGTGTATGTTTACGCTTTATTATAATAATATACAGGTATAGATTAAGAGTAATAACTGGCATAAAATAGTAATAACTCTTGTAAGTAAAAGTTATTTTGTGAATGTGTTTCGAAAGTTTCTTATTATTTATAACTAGCTTTTGCCCGCAGGTCCGTCCGTGAGTAATTAAAAAAAACTAAACTGAAAGTAAGCTTATGTGTTCTTCCAAAAATCTATTCATCCATTTAGGCTACAAACTCTAAGAAACATCCATCCCAACTTTCTCATCTTACTAATATTATAAATGCGAATGTTTGGACGGAGGGATGGATGTTTGTTAGAGTTCGTAGGCTAAACGGCTGAACGGATCTCCATGAAATTTGATATGGATAGTCTGGAAAAACACATAGTCTATTCACTTTTTTTTAATTCTAGGCGGACGGAATCGCGGGCGAAAGCTAGTTTATAATATTAGTATGATTAGAATTATCTCAAAATCTGTTTCATGTTTGCGTGGTTTAATTTACAAGCTATTTCAAGTGGATGCCGTCTAATATGGATTTATTACATTTTACGCACGTGTAGGTCAACCGGAAGATTATAAAAAAAACAACTTCCGCGCAACGTGACGCAGAAAATACTTTTTTACCAAACCCCTTAGAGATGTACCTGATAATGAAATATCGATATTCCAAAATTAAATTTAAAATCAAAACATACAGATTCAATTGACATTTTAAATTTTACCGACACTGGTATAGTTTAAATGGAATTTTCGTCGATTCAGATTGTTATTTTGATAAAATTGGCAATATCGTCATTTCTCTCACTAAAACAAAATAATAACGTCGCATTTAAAAAGTTGTCGACCGATCTAGGATATGACATTTTGCAATGCGACTTCTCGATTACTGAAATCTGTGGCAAGAATTATCCTAAATAGTCCGCGTGGGATTAAAAAAAAATTAATAGTCTATGTGTTTTCCAGACTATCATCTACATCTATACCAAATCTCGAAATCGGTTCAGTCGTTTAGGCTACAAACTTTATTAGAGAGAGCAACTATTAATTGCAAAGCGTCATTAGGGGCGGCGAAAGTGTTCCATTTGGAGATCCCGCGGCTCCTTATTATGGCAGTTGGAGGCCAACGTGGGGTTTTAGTCGGCGCAAATCCGACATAACTACCCTTGTCCCTGCAAGGGTGGTATGCGTTAGGCATTTCCCCACGTTAATTAAAAAAAAAGGCTACAAACTCTAACAAACATCCATCTAACCATATAAACTTTCGCATTTATTATATGACTAGCTTTCGCCCGCGACTCCGTCCACGTGGGATTAAAAAAACAAAAGTGAGTAGCTTATGTGTTCTTCCAGACTATCATCTACATCTATACCAAATCATCGAAATCGGTTCAGTCGTTTAGGCTACAAACTCTAACAAACATCCATCCATCTAAACTTTTGTATTTATAATATAGGTAAGAAAGTAAGATTAACAATTATCGTCATATTTTTTGCATCAGCACAACACTAGTTAGTGCTAATTACCAGCGATGTATAACGATCGATACTTATCAAGATACAATCCGATGTGACGTGAGGTCACGTTAGCGTCGATAAAACATACGTTTTGCACAACACTATAAGGTACGCCCAGATACAATACTATACTCTATCTATATCTATACTATTATAATAAAGCGTAAACACACACTTCTTTGTTGCCTAAGATGTCAGCAATTACAGCATATTTTTGAATAATTCTATTTTTTAATGTGAGCCCTACATTTACGTCGCGCTTTAGGCTATATATTTTCACGCCATTAAACTTAGGGGGTAAATATTTTGGATAAAAACCCTAATGTGGGAAAGAGACCATAAGTTGCTGCCAACATCAAGGAATCATGTCATGTCATTATGACATTTGTAATTGATAATTTGAAACATGTAAACGATAAAATAAAGTTTTTATAATTACCTGCGGAGGAAGTCGCACGGGAACAGCTACTACGTATTCTCAAAGTACAATTTAACAGTGTAAGAACGCGCGCACACCTTTGATTGTGGTCAGTGCAAAATACAACCTCTTTGGCCGACAAGTGTGAATACAGCCAAAGAGGTTGCATACTGGCCACTGAGACGTTGCATAGTTTAACTATTAAAGAAAAGATGATAAAAACAAAAGAAGGAAAAGACGTTTACAAGGTCAAGATGTGATCGCGATATCATCATCAACTTGCCCTTATCCCTTACGGAGGGTCGGCACAGTATGTGCTGCTTCATACATCTCTATCAGCAGTCATATCTGAATCCACTCCTTTCTTAAGCATATCCTCTTTCACGCAATCCATCCATACTTTCTTCGGTCTTCTACCTTTGTAGCCACATTCATTTTTAACACTTTCTGGTTTATGTCCCCATCGTCTCGTCGCATAACATGTCCATACCACGCTAACCTTTTGCTTCTCAATGGCGCTACTTTCAAACTTCCTCTAATATACACATTCTTAACTTTATCCATTCATGTCACACCACACATCCATCTTAACATACGCATCTCAGCCACACGCAACCTTTGCAATCCGCAACTTTGGTGGCCCAACATTCAGCATGTTAACATATGACCGCGACATAATATTGTTAATTAATTGTAAATATGTAGATAATTTTAAAGATGTTTTAGTTGGAAGAAAAGTTTTGTATTTGGCT